TTTATTACAACTCACTCCCATTTTCTTCCGCCTGCATAGTTTATGATAACCTCAAAATCTCAGTGACAAAGACCAGCAATCAAGCAGTCTGTTGCATCAGCTTCTTTGAAGTGAGTTACTGAGACCAATTAATCAAATCCCAAGCCAAAGATTACTCTGGTCTATGAAGACTGAGAGGTAGAGACAGCGGCTCCTGATGTTTGTAGTTGCAGGCATCTATTGATGATTGAATTTTCATAGATTGTGTTAACACTGAGCTGATAATTCTGTTTAAAGTTTTATAATTCTTAACAATATTGAAGATAGATCTCAGGTCAATGATAGTAATGATATTAGAAAATAGAGAAAAACAACCATTGATATAAAGAAATTAATTATTTTATTATTATCTAATATCTTGAATAACTTTTAGACAAAATACTTATTAATTTTATATTGATGATTCCTGACAAGAGAATACTTTCAAAAGAATAATTATGATAAAAATGATATTTTCAGCAAATACTTCATAATGAATAAACTCAATAGCTGTGAAAGAATTTTTATATTCTGATATCTATATTTATACTACTGAATAAACTGATATATCTCAAAGAATAAGTTATACAAAGTGAATAATTTTCAGAAATTTGAGAATTTAAAAACTTTTACTTTGAATTTAATAAATTTATATATTTAGAAATACTTTAAACTAAGTTAATTAAGTAACTTAAGTAAAAAATAATTAAACTATAATAAAAAATAAAATAATAAATTTAATAAATTATTATTTATAATTAAAGGTAAATTATTAAATAATATTATATAATATTAAAGTAACTAATTTTAATTTTAATTTTTAAAAATAAACTTTTTAAAAAATTAAAAAATTATCAAGTTTACAAGTTTAATAATTTTATTATAATTTTAAAAAATAATTATATTTTTAATTATAAAATTAATTAAACTAAAATATATTAATTTTTTATTAATTTTTTATTTAAATTTATTTTCTTAAAATATAATAAAAATATTTATTATATAAATTAACTAAAAGAATTTAAATATAAAATTATTACTATTTATTAATATAACATTGAAATATAAAATATTTAAAGATTTTTAAAATTAGAAAAGATATAATATTTATTAATTATTATTAATTACTTTTAATTAAACATAATTACTTAAAAGTTTTATATATAAAACTACAATATATTTAAAATATAATTTAATATAACTCTTTATATTATTAAAATAAAAAACATGTTTATAAAGTTAAAATATAACTTGAAAGTTAGTAATATTTATTTATTTTTTATATTATTTTACATGTGATAAATAAAATTTAATTTTTTTTATATTTATTATTATTTTATACTTTTCATTTTATATTATTAATATAAAAAATAAATGAAATATTTATTATTTAATAATATATTTTAATTTTTTATTTATAAACTAAATAAGTAAAATTAAAAAAACTTTTAAAGTATTTTTTTATAATAAAATTTAAAAGTATATATTTTAAATTATTATTAAAATTATAATATTATTAATTAAAAGTTAATTTTTTAAAATTAAAAAATAAATATTTTAAAAATTTTTAAAAATATTTATACTTAAAAATATAATTTTATAAAATAAAAAATATTAAATTTATTAATAAATAATTATAATATTTTAAACTTTAAACTTTACTAATTAAATATTTATACTTTATATTAAATATATTTAAATTTATATCTATTAACTAATATATAAAATTAATTAATAATTAATATAAAAATTAAAGTTAAAGAATAAATAAAACTATATTAATTTATTTTTAATTATAAATTATAATAAATTTATAATATAAAAAATATAATTATCTATAAATTAATTAATTATATAAAAAATTTAACTTTAAAAATATATTTATATAATAAAAATTTTATATTTAAAATTTTTTAAAGGATATTAATAAATAATTAACTTTAAACTTATAATATATAACTTTTAATTTAAATTTAATAGTAATTTATATATAAAATAAATTTATTATTAATTTTATTAATAATATTTAAGATATTAATTAAATATTATATAATATAAATCAAATAGTTAATATATTTAAATTTAATTATTATTTTATAAACTAAATAAAAACAATCAATAAAATTAAAATTTTTATATAAATATTTAATAATTATTTTAATTATTTAATTATAAAAAATAATTTATATATTTATTATTTATTTAATAATAAAATTTATAATTTTAAATATATAGCTATTATAAACTTTATATTTATTTATATATATTTTATATATAATAAAGTTTCTTTAATATAGTAAAAAAAAATAAATATTTTAATAATACTTTAATAAAATATAAAAACTAATATTTTAATAAATTAATTTTTCAATTATTACTTTTACTATTTTATAAATAAATATTTAATATTTTAAATTTTTAGATATATTTTTATATTAATTTCAAATTAAATAAGTTATATTTAAAAAATAAAAAAAAATTTATCTTTATCAAATAAATATTAGATTTTAATAAGAGGTTTAAATAGATTTTGACATTCAAACTAAATATTTTATAGAGAATAAAGATAATATCCTGATTTACAATAATTTTAATTTTGTTGAATTGCTTTCAGGCTTTTACTATGAAATCAGAATAGCATTGAATTTAATTTGTAAATAATCATGATTTTTCAAACTCTAATCTTGACAAATTTCACCCAGCTTTTATAGCAATGAATCATGTATTTTTACCCCATAATAAGCTATATGGGTTATGCATGTTAAATTACGCACATCAATCAATCAATTAACATGTGTGGGGGGGCTAAGGTTTCCGAATTCGGAATAATTGAAGCAAAATAAAATAAATCAGCTAGTTTTCCGGTTTACTGGATATTTTTGAGTAGCAGCCGGCTCCAGCCTCCGACACCACACCACTCTTCCACTTGCCAGCTCTCAAATCCTTCCGTGCAGAAGGCATTCGGTATTACAGAAGATACACAGATGGCCCCGCGCAATCCACCGGAGCTTCACTTCGAACCGAGAGCGCTGGATATATCCCACCTCGAAATATGCTCGAGTCAGCCGTCCAGGGCACCCCATTTTGAGTTGCATCCAAGATAGCTTTGACGGGGAGAGTCTTCTATTCCGTGACCTTCGCTTGCAAGGGCCCTGCGAACATTTTTGGCCTATCTCGGGGTATACGCACCTTGCGGCCCTGATGAAATACTGAAACCAAGCCAAAGGCCGTCCATGTCTTGTCCTCCCTTCGCTGCTACAAAGAGAGCTTTGAAGAATTCAAGGTGGATCTGGGCAGTACAATATACGACACGCTCCCGATGACTGAAATAGAGCTAGTTCTCAGTGCTTCGTTCATCTTCAACCGGTTTCGCGAATTACCACCGTTTGTTTTGCGACGACTCGATCTGCCCCTTTTTTTTTTATTTTATTAAATGTAATGCAAACGAACTACCTGCGTCTCTGGAACATGTCAACCATTTGTACATGTAGATGGGGGTTCATTCGCTATATCAGGGAGCTATTTGATGAGCAAACGTTGGTGGCGCCTGAGCTTATGCCATCCATTGGGAAAATTGAACTTTTTGGAATCATCAAGGAATCCCTCTATTTTCAACAAGGAGCTGAGGCGGATAATCTTGAGCAGGCATGTGTGAAGATGGCAGATATGTTACGCAAAATGGAGATACAGCTGTTTGCAGCTGTAAATCATTCACTCCGTGGGAGTTTTTCTGATCGTAAAATGTGTTCCTGCGAATTGAGTATTGTAACGGGTATGGGTTTCGTGTCGATATTCAGGAATTCGCCTAGAGAATTCTCGTGGGTCATTGCAGCTCGAGATTGAAATCCTTAGATTTATGAAATGGGAGAGTGATAGCAAAGAATATATCCAGTATCAAGCCGTTTAAATTGTATTAACAAATACAGGCCCCGCACACTCCTAGCTCAACAAGCAACGCCTCTGTGGTGTAGTTGGTTATCACGTGAGTCTCATATTCATGTCCTATTACAATATGATAGGTAGCACAAACTACTTAGCGATCTCAAGGTCGCCAGTTCGATCCTGGCCGGGGGCATTTGTTTTTTCTTGCCCTCACACTTCTTTCCACCTGTCGAACCCCTTTTAAATTTTTTTTCCACCATTCATAAAACCCCGTCTCTCCAGCCTGAACACCTTCGTTTGCCATTCAAATCAATACGTTGTCGCCACAAGGGATTTTTCGAAGCTAGCGCGAATCGCTAACGCTTTGAATCTCACATTATGAACACTTTCGCTTTTGTGGCTGCTACGAGCGATGTGTCTTCTAAGTTTGGTGATATAATGCCCAACTGTTTGCATGGATGGACAGAGGCTTTAGGTTCTGATAGAAATAATCAATCACACTTGAAGAACAAAAACAAAACAAGTATTCTAGATGATATTTCATAGGAACAGTAAAAATTATTACAGGTTCAAGATACAATGACTTTATATGTCATTCAACTCCAAAATATATACATCGAGTTCCAGATTCAAAAATAGAGGAGAAGGGGGAGTGAGTGTCTCTTAAATTGTTTCCCCCAATACAGTAACTTGTAAAGCTGCGGATTACAGAGGACAGCAATAAAATGTTGTAGATGAGAATGTGAAAAGAAGAAGAAACCATGATTAGAAAAGCTTTGGCATATATATAAAGAGTTGAATATAATAATAAAAAAAAAGGGGGTGGGGTGTACAATTAGATACCACAATTAAACAGGTATATACATGTATGTGTCAAAATGAATGCAATGAATCTAATAAATCCATATCAACTGACAAAATCTTCACACAGAAAGGAGTGAAAATCATAGATAAGAATAAGTTGAAAAATTAAAAAAAAAATATGAGATAAGAGTTGCAGGGCAAAACAAACTGAGTTACAAAATCAGCAAAATTATATACATCATGCCTAACTATGAAAAAATGTGACTTAATGTGATGTTAACAATATTAAAAAGTAACCAACAACAAAAGATAGCTGTGAATTATTAAAAAAAAAAACTCTTTTAAGATGCTGTATGTCAGCAAAAGGGGGTAAAAATGAAAGCTCAAACAAGCAACACTAACCATCAACCCGCCGCCGCCTGCCCCTCTGCCTCCTCTCTCGAACTGGCATGAACCGGAGATGGGTCCGTAGATGACCGGTACGTGTTCGCATGCTTGCTGAAAATCCCTTTGTTGGCTGGCGGAAGTTGCTGCTGTGGTGGTGGTGGGGGTCCGTCGCCGTCCTGTCCCTGTGCATGTCCATGACCATAACCAGAACCAGAACAAGCATCATATCCAGCGAAGGAACGATGCCCATGGTTCTGATTATTGGTATTATTGCTGGGGGTAGGTGGTGGTTGTTCAGGACTTCCTCCACGTCCACCACTGCTTCCTCCGGCCGAACCGCCCTGTGGTAAATCTTCTCGAGAATCTGCCCCTGTTCCTCCTCCTCCTCCTCCACCGCTCTCTTTTCGAGGGTACTTATTCCCAACGGCACTGTTTCCATCATTTCCATTGCGACCACCACCAGCAACAAACCGCACCCCACTACTCCGTTCTCGCTTAGCACTGCTCTCCCGCTCCCGCTCTCGCTCCCGTTCCTGCTCCCGCTCCCGATCCGAATTGTTTGAACCCCGCCCCGATGTCGGCTGATCATTTTCGTTTTCCTCAGCCCGAACTAATGATGCCACATGCATCTGCCCATGCCTCCCCAGTTCCGGGAAATCGCCAGAATATTTCTGCTCCTGGCCCTGCGGTTGCGATTGGCTGTGTGACTGGTTCTGATGTTTCATATGTCCCCCACTCCGCCCATTGCCCTTTGGCGGTGTCCTTCCCGGCGACGTCTCAGCTCTTGGTGGTGGCGGGACTGGTTGATGTACGAACTGCGGCTTCCTCTTCCTCGGAGAATTCTGATAATCAGAACGCAGATGGGAATTGAGATGCGCGGAATACGGTGAGTTATTTGGGCTTTTACTTGTACTTGTCCCACCTGCTGATGTTGAGGGGCTATTATTGTGCTGTAATAATTGGTTCGGTGGAACCCAGTGATGGAAGTATATTGAGGGGGAGGATGATGATGATGACTGTGACTGACTACTAACTTGAGGTCGATGCGATTGCGATTGGGGATGAGCTGGTGCTGTGCCAGCTCCCGAATCGGATTTGGCTAGTGATGGCGATGACGGCCGCTGTTGCTGTTGCTGTTGAGGTCTCGTTGCTGGAGACGAGACAGTATATGATGGATTCGCGTCAGTGTTGGTGGGATGAGGATGTTGGATGTTCATTTCAGCTGTGTTAATACGTGACAATGGGGCTGCGTTGGGCATTGGATGACCCGTCGTCTGACTCGGATTGGGCGGGCGGGTTGATGGCGCACGGCCGTACGAAGGATGAGAAGATGGAGATAAAGGTGATGACTGAGAAGGCCCGGCTATGGAAGGGGGCAGTTGTGCAGCGTAAGGGTTTGGAGGAATCATGCGATTATCCCATGGAGTTTCGGACGGTGCATGTTGGGCTGCTGCTGGTATTTGAAGAGGGGGGGGCATAGATTGTGCTTGCGGCTGTGATTGCGCTTGTGGTTGTTGAGGAGACGGAGGACGGCAACGAGAGACTGGTGAAGGAGCGGGCTGGGAAGGGTGAGGTACGTGCTGCTGTTGCTGATGCTGATGCTGTTGCTGATGCTGTTGCTGTTGCTGTTGCTGATGCTGATGATGTTGCTGCTGCTGTTGCTGTTGATTATGTTGTTGAGGCGGCGGGTATTGTTGGGGCTGAGATTGCGGTGATGTGTGCGTATGCGCATAAATATGGGAGGCTTGCTGAGAAGGATGTGGCTGCGAGTTCCCCTGGCCGGACATCTGTGAGATATACTGCTGAGTCCATTGAAGATTCCCACTGCCTCCCATATTAGCAAATATTAAAGGTACCATGTAAGGAGGTACGCCAGCCATGAGGGACTCTCGAAGCATCGATTGTTCAATCTTGCGCTGGTCCAGTCGGTATCCTTCCTGGCGCGTGCGTTCCTCCTCTTGTTTTCGGCGATCCTCTTCAGCTTTCGTCTGCAGCCACTGGCGCATGGACTCATCCGTATTCTGCAATTGGGAAGGAGGGGAAGGTAGATGGGACAGGGACGTGTTCATAGGAGCCATGACCGGGGGACCACGATCTAGGGGGGCGAGAGTTATCGACATTGGTGGTAGGTTTCGGTTGGTCGAGTCCATAACCTCGTTGGCCTTTGTAGAAGGGGCAAACTGCGCAGCAGCAGCAGCGGCGGCGGAAGCGGGGAATGGATCTGGGGACGTGACAGGAGGAGTCTCGCGCGTGACAAGAGGGGAGGGGTGGTGATCGTGGTGGAGGAGATGGTGGTGGTGGTGATGGGAAGAAGGCGGTACAGCAGCGTAATCATGGGGAGCTAAAATTCCCTGGTGCGAAGGAGGTTTCACGGTGAGCAACATGGATGGAATCTAGCCGTGATCCATAAAAGAAAGACGCAATGGTAGTTGGTTTTCAATGTTGCATGGTGGCTCGATGCGTGAAAGAGGAGATCAGGGCTTCTTGAAGGGGAAACCGAAATTGGGTCAAACGGAAGTCTAAGCTCGGACTTTTTTTACTTTCTTTTCTTTTTCCTTTTTTCTTTTCTTTTCTTTTCTTTTCTTTTCTTTTGTCTCTGTTTAGACTGGGGTTGGTGACCATGGGGAGTTAGTGCGGACTGAGTAAGCAAGCTGTATATATGGCGGTCAATAGAAATGAGAAGAATGTAGAATTCTGGTGCAGCGCTAGGAGAGGGATAAATCGATTTCCGCGGTTTTTTGGGGGACGGCCGAGGAGGATAGACCACAGAGATATACAAAGGGTCGCTGCGCGGTAGACCATGAGAAGATGAAGGGGAAAACAGAAGAATAACTAGAATGCCATAGGGGAAATGACAGACGAGAAATATGATGATGTCTGTACAGAGAGGAAAAGCGATGGTGTAGGGCGGGAGAGGCGGGGGGGGGGGGGGGGAGGAAAGCGTGCACAGACAACGAACGACAAACAGGGCGGGAATAAGAAGAAGAACAAGATCCAAGTGTAGATAGATATGGAGTGACCGGGGAAGTGAATGAGTGTTTTTAGCTAGCAGCGGCAGTTGGTTCTATCATCTATCTATGCCTTTTGCGTTGCCTTCTTGGGTCGATTAACCGTGGATGCACTCCGTAGATGTGAACGTGGATGGCGGTGGTTCCAAGAATACGAGTACCCCAGCACGAGCAACACACTTACCAGATACACACAATGATGATTGTTTGTGGTTGGTTTGATCCACAGCCAGTTGTCCGGTAGTTGGCAGTGAGGGAGTTGGACTTCGAGCCGTCTGAAGCTTTGTCGTCCGTTTGCAATTAATCTGCTGTTGGATGCTGAAGCTGTCAGCTACACGGATGCGGTCTGCAGTTAATGGTTTTTTTTTTTTTTTCCTTCTCTTTTCCTTCTTCTTTATTGCTTCTTCTTTATTGCTTCTTCTTCTTCTTCTCTTCTTCTTCTTCTTTCTTCTTTTTCCTTCTTTTTTCTTTCTTTCCTGCTCTCCTCTGCTTGGGCCGAGCAACCAATCTGCCAATCTGATCGAAAAGGGCCACAACGAACAAAAACGAACAAAAACGGACAAAACGGACACAAACGTGCACTGTTGTACCGTGTTGTATTGATGGGCCGTATTCTTGGTACAGGGAGCCTTGTGACCCCCAGTTATGACGCCACCAACATTTCAGAACAGCAAGTCAAGCCGCCGCAGCTAGGCCGTGCTGGGATGACGCTAGACAAGAACCGACTGGGAGGATCTGCCAAGATCTTACAGGACCCGGCGAGATATGGGACGGATCTGGTAGGATGAGACGATTGATAGGGAACATACGAACCCAAACGACAACCACCAATCCCGGCCCGCGAAGCGGCGGAGCTGCTGGTTGACATGGTCCCCATATCAGGAAAAGTCACATTTCCCGAGGGTGGTGGAGTCGGTGGAGCCGGTGGAGCCAGTTGGAGTCAGTGGCCTCCTCAGTGGCCTCATTGGCCTGTAGCCTCTGAGGAACCCTTAGCTTATCGTATGCCAACTCAACCACACACTCCAGCCCGGATTGGGAATATCCTCGCCTCTCCCCTCCTCCCTCCTTACCCAACCTTCCTTACCCAACTTCCCCCCCCCCTCCTCGGGTTCCTGCTTGAACGTACCGAGTCTCTGTTAGAGTAGGGAAACTTGGCTGAGCAGCCGGAGGCAAAGGAGCCCGTGGATTTGTTGGGAGCTACGAGTCATAGCGCGTGTCAGAATTACCTTCCCAGCCAGCTTCACTCAGATCCATGGAATAACATTCATGGAATGAATTAATAGATACATGGATCTCCGGATGGACTATCTGTTTTGAGCAAGCTATCAGCTGGCCAGGCTCGGTAACCGAGGTGCTTAAATCTTCAAATCTTAGTCAGTTCTGGCAACAATTGGACCCAAGAAAGAGTTGGATCCAATGACAATTGTGTTCTTCATACGGTTCAAATCCTGCCTTGATAACTTACACGGTTGACTTCACCACTCCCACGCTTCCGAGCCACAATTAGCTTTTTTCTGCACAATCACGGCACTGGAACACAGCCGTGTCAAAAAGTTTAGCACATTTCTCCTATGATTTCCTTTCTACTATCCCCTTAATTACGCTTTCTCCTCTGCACTCCGTCCGGAGGAAGCAACTTGAAAAGGAAAATAGGGGGGGGGGAATAAAAAATAAAATAAAAAATTGGGGGACAACCTTGCATAGCAACCAACCCAGCCGCAGCCACAACGACTCTGACACAGCCACATTACCCTCTCCCGTCTAATCAATGCAAACAAATAACTCGAACCTCTTGTCCCAGCGTCATGCCCAAACCGGCAATTCGGGTATCAAGACAACGATTGTCTCTTGCTCTGCATTCCAGTCTAGCCCGTTTCATATGCCACAGCTTTCCCATCTGGTAAAGATTGCGGCTGGTCAACCAGGAATGGTGGCGGATTATCAGCCATCGCTTGTCTGGACAACACCGAGCTTTGCCTGATTGGAATAGCCGATTCATCCATCCCATCTTCCAGTGTACAGCCGCCCTTGGAAGTTCGGTTACTCGTTGCCAAGACCGGTGTCAGTTTTAGCGACAGGGAGCAAGGAACGCGTAACCAACCTCGCTGCACATTAAATTACTCTTCATCATTCATAGGAGCTTCGTGCAACCGCTCACCGAACCTGACCTTGTATTCCCTGAAAACTGGGATGTTAAAACAGCTACAATTTACTCCATATATCTCCAGGTCAAGCATGAAGGTCAGGGTGGTTTAATCCCTGATACACCGAGAGTTTTGCATGGTTCGGCTACCGGCTACCATATCCAATACCTGGAAGCTTCCAGAGGTTCTACGGAGTGCAGATGCAGCTGTCTCCTATCCCATTACTTAGTGACTTGATTGTCGCGGGTGGCCATCACAAATGAAGAGATATCTGCAACAATCCCGGGTTCAAATATACAAATATATATGTATATATATATATATCATCCACCTAACCTAAAATTTCCCCGTCCATTACCACTCTCTCATGTGAAATGGAATAAACTAACTCCACAAAAGTGGAGAAACCCTATGGCTGGAAACGCGAACTGTCACATATAACCAACCCCATTTACATCGCGGGGGAAAAGAGATTGGAGTCACGGAAAGTGGTATGCCGAGGCGGATCGAGTAACTTAATCAATCCATATCCAATTCCGCTTTCCTTCCAAAATTGTCGAGATTTTTTTTTCTTCTTTTTTTTTTTCCCCTCCTCCTTGTCGGGAGACGAGGATCAAAAATAGCACTCCTTTTTTCTGTCAGCCGGGTTTTCTGGTCGTTTATTAGCTTCCTTTAACACCTGTTCAGGTGACCAATTGGCCAAATCCGGTTGGTTGAGCCCAACGAGCTACCAATATATATAATCTTCACATTTTTCCACCATCCCCAACCCCCAAGCCATTCTTCCTTGCAGACATATGATATCAGGACCATTGAAAGATATTGGTTCTTTCCAGGAAACTGTTTAAAAAGTATAGATTAACAACTATGGTGATGTTGAGACAATGCAGCATTTTTGAACTTTTGACCTGAGGCTTCTAATTGTTGTTGACCCTGATAAAAATCATCAACGTGTCCGAGGCGAGACCTTTTTTTTTTTTTTTTAAACTGACATTCGACACCATCCTACGGGAGTTCGAACAACTAGTTAATCCGTAGCTGTTCCTGGATCCGCGCGAAATCAACAGGGCGCTCTGCATTTCCCTTCATGTAGCTGGCCTCCCGAGCCCGGAGGCTGGAGGCTGGAGGCCGTCAGATTTAGATAACTAGTTATAGTTAGTTAACTATCTCAGATGATGACGAAGATCGCGTTCGTGCTTTCGTTCGGGGTTCCCAGCTAGCTACGCTATCCAGATCACGTGCAGCGGGACGTCTTAGTGGTTTGGTTGTTGCTGTCTAATGGGGCTATGCTGTGTCCGGGGCGCTAGTCCGTAATAGGACGCACAACAAAAACAACAAACATTATCTTCTGATTATGTGATTGAGCTAGTCCGAATCGGGATGAGCCAGGGAAAGTCTTCCAGCGATTAATTTTTCACGTCTTCAGCCCAAAGAGACGGGGCACGTGGACGTTTTCGCAGCGGACTTTTAGAAGGAAATTCTAAGTGTTTATCAATTGGACTATATATAAATACTTCAAAGAGAGCATTATAGTGGTTAAAGCAATCGGATTCACAAATCTGCATTTTATACTTGAAAGAATATTAGAGTTTGCTACAGTGTAGTAGGAGTTATTCATGTATTAAAAGGACTATCTATCTACAAGGGACCAAGTAGAAATAAGGAAGATGATTGCATGCATGCCTGTTAGTGACACAAATGGTATAACTATTATTCAACAACATACACAACTCCACAAAAGGTCCAGCGCGAAAAAAAAGAAGCAAAAAAAAAAAAAAAAAAAAAAAAAAAAAAAAAGATCAGAAGAAAATAATGAAGAAAAATTATGCCTTCATTTATTTTCCATCTGACTGCTTGTTCCTTTTAACTCAAAAAAAGAAAGGGGAACCACTAAATAGATGATTTAACTGGCTACTCCAGGACAGCAACCTAAGCCAAATCCTGTTGACACGAACCCTCATCTCAAATTCCCACCCTCCTGATGCACAGAACTTAGCTCCTATCAAACTTGTTCAAAAACTCCGTCGGCACGGTGGGTATATACTTCCTCTCCCTCTCCCGATTCACACCCCCAAACCCAGCACCATAGCTTACAAGCATATCCGTGCTTGTCGGGAGTGAAAAGGGGAGTGTCTTAGATGGATTCAGGAGGAGTGTTGAAGGGTCTGGCTTTTGGGGGGCCGAGAAAAGAGACGGTGTGGATGGAGGGGTTGGTTGGATGATGCTGGTTAAGGAGGATCCATTGTTATGAGATGGACGTGGTGTAGATGGTGGTTCTTTTTCCCCGGTGGATGTGGTTGGTGGTGGATTTTCGGTTTCACGGTTATTGCTCGTGGTGGCCGACTCCGGAGCAGATGCGCCTTTCGAGTCTGTGGCAGGAGAAGAGCCGTTTTCTTCCTGTTTTAGCATCGGAGACTGTGGGTGGTAGATTTGGTCGAGACGGGATGGGTCGTTTTGTAGCTCGACAAGGAACTTCATTGCGGCTTTGGAGAGGCCCTTTTCTCCCACCTCGGGCCGGTAGTGTTTCACGGCATGTAAGAGCTGGCTCGGAGTGAGTTGCTGGAGTTGCTGAAGGGTCGCGATTAGGGATTCGGAGTCATCGCCTAATGAGGAGAAACATTGAAGCCACTGGAGCAGCTGTATAACCGGGGCTAGGTATTTGCGAGCAGAATCTACCGTGATGTCACCGGTGCATGATGTTGAGCCGTTCTCGTAGTGTTCTGGCTGCCGGTTGTTGCTGCGTGCCCAGTCTTCTAGTGCAGAGACATTCATACGAATCTGGCATCGCCTTTGTTCGGGCTAGATACCGTTTAGTGGTCATAATGCGGTTGAAGAGCTCTGCCCCTAACCAATAAAAAAGCTGCGCTAGAACCTGCGTCGTAATGATAGAGTGCACGTCGTACAGATCTAATACGAACAACGTTGACGAAAGTAACGACGTGATATTTCGGGGGCGACACCTGCGCCCTCCGTTTAGGTGACGGAGGGCGATACCTCTTTTCCAGAGGCTCAGGTTTTACCTTCGTCTTTGAACGAAATAGTTTCCATTCGTTCTGGAAATGGACATCTTCAAATCCAGGAATAGTCTCGTGGTCCAGCATGGCTGTATCCAGAACCTTATCCATGCGTCGCTCAGCGTCCCGGATGATAAGGATGAAGATCTCGTGTATTAGTTCAGCAAGATGGAGCTGAAATTCAACTGTGGCTTGCACCAAGTCACCATCTTTCTTCAGATAATGTAGGAGAAGGGTTGCGTTCGATATCCAAAAAGCTAAAATGGTCATATCCCACTGGTGCTTCTCCACCACCTCATTAATCCGCTCAGTCGCCGAAATGAGCAGTTTCGCCAACAGCTCCTGGCTCGAATGGTAATGTGCGTATCTGGCGCTGAGGAAAAGGAGGTTGGCTGGTACGGGTTTCTGCGAAGGTGATCGCTGCGGCGTCATGTTCGTAATAACAATATCCAGAATATTTTCAAGCTCGCTCTCTTGGAAGACAAACATCTGATCATTAAGACATCGATCCCACACAAATTCCTGCTGATCCTCGAAATCATCTGGAGACTATCATTGGGCGTATAGATGTCAGTAAATATATAGATGTCCCTGCGATTCTCATGCAATGGGAGTAGTATTAGACATACATCAAGCTTCTCGTCAAGTCCCAAACTCGACAAGTCAACTTCCAAATTTATTGCACTCTCCTCCATAATCATCCTCCTTTTCATTTCATTCTCAGCCATCTCTTCCTCAAACCTGTTATGCGAAAATCCAGAGTCATAGAAGTCACCCACAGCTGCCGCTGCACCAAAATTATACCCATTCTCATTTAGATATTTCGAAATGTCGGTCCCGGGTTGTACGAAATCGAACGCCGTCCCACCGGAGGATGACTTGATATCTGGTGAAGCGCCATGATCAAGGAGAATTTTCGCAATCGTTTTATGTCGGTTCGTCATTGCCCACATGAGCGCGCTCCATTGATTACGGTCTTGCTTGTCGACATAGGCACCCGCCTCAAGAAGGGCAGAAACTACCTCCTGGTGTCCCTACAATTTATTAGGAAAAGAAAAACAAAATATTACCGTTGTCAGCCCCAAACCAAACTGTGATGAGATAAATAGAAGGCCCGCGCATTCCATCCCCGAGGAATAAAAGGAGGTTTGTGACCTACAAAGCAACTAGCGTATATCAGTGGCACCGTCCCCTCCTCATCCGGAGTGTTGACATCGACATATTCCCTCGCTTTTCCCCCCACTAGCTTTCGCACCCGTTCTACATCACCATTGCTGGCCGCCATATTCAAGCTCTTCTGTAAAACTTCCCGTTTTTCGCCTTTCGACATATTTTCGTCTGCGGCGATATCATCCTCATCCATACCGACGAATTCCACCTCCCTATGCGCAGCCTGGGCTGCCAACATTTCTATCAACCTCGCGTCAGAATCTTCCATGCGCGCAGTGGAGTTATCTTCTCGATCAAGGTAGTAACTATTTGTGTATTGGGAGCGAATGCTAGGTTCTTCATCGTGGCTTTCGTCATCGAGCGCAAGGTTGAAGGATAGCGGTTTCGCAGGCACTGGGGTAGTAAGGAACTGGGATTGGCCTAGTCATCTTCTTGTCAACAATTTCATCCAAAATTCTCAAGAATGAAATCAGTAAGATAAAGCAAGTCATGAGATAGCGTCCCGCCACAGTCCCCAAATCGTCCCTGGGTAGAGCAGATCAAGTATCATACCCTTTTCCTCCCCCTTCACTTTTTTTCCCAGCAACAAGATAAAGATAGCAAAATCAAGCACGCACCTTGCCACGCATCATACATCTCCGTCTCCGCCGGAAACGTCAGCACAGACCTTCTATCATCCAGCGATGTGGGTAGATCATCTGGTAGCTGTCTTGGCTTATGCGCAATATCCTCCTCCTCCTCCTCCTTATCAACACTGTAACTGTTCCTCCCCGCATTTTTATTCTTAATACCGAAATCGAAGCCCTCCTCTCCCGGGCGTGGCTCACTACCGTCCATGGTGTTTGCGGTCAATGATGTATGCATATATATTTTATGTACAAGGCGACACTAGCAACGGCGACTAGCTAGCTAGGTCGTTCGTCGAAAGGGCATATGCATTCAATCAAACTCCGGATATACTAGCAGTGGTGGTCAGCCCAACTTGGTTGGTTTGGGGGTCCATGAGGGCCAGGGACCTGAGGCGGATAAGCGGGGACGGAGCGAGGGGCAACTGATGAGGATTTGCTTTTGGGAATTATCGATTGCTAAGTTGGGGACGGTAGAATGGGATGGTTAAGAGAGTATTTTCCCGTCGTTGTTTGTATTTTGGATGTACATCCGAGTGAAGCGGAGGGCAAAGATTAGGTAACCAATGGATATGTGGTTGGAATGAGGTTGATGTTGTGGTTTTGGGAACCCGGCAAGCCTACAAGAAGCCAAGTTCCACCCCACACAAAAGGCAACCACACGTGTTTGACGTCGAATATCTACGATCAAAATATACTTTTGGCTCCAGTATTTATGTATTGATGCATCTGGTCGAGAGAATATTCTAATGTTGTATGCTTTTCTTGATTTATTTATGTAACTGGATAATGTAGAGCGCTGCTCGCATGAATCATAGATGAATTTCCAAGAAACTGTATTATCCCATGCCCTAATCCTGATAAAGGGCGGGAAAACTCCATTTATTATCTATCCCGTAGCAAGTAGCCAAACAACAGGATGCAAGAATTTATGAGAAACATTGCAATAAAAACTCCTGGTACCCGACCCAGAAAAGAGCAATGACAAGCGCGCACACACACACCGATGACATTTTTAGCCAGCTGGAGATATAGTGGGGAAATAAAAAGAGAAATTAAACCAGGTAAGAAAATACTGAACGCTGAGGGGAAACAGAGATCATGATGCCCATAATAATTATACAACGCTTATCAAGACAGACCAGAAGTAAAACAAATAGATCGTAATCCGCCATTAGATAAGGCTAAGGTTAAAAGGAAACTCGTTTCGGAAAAATCATAAGGGAAATATGAGACTAGGACGAAAGCCCTTCTATTAAACCAAAGAAATTAAACAATAAAATAAGAAAATAGGAAGAAAAATCGCCCGTATTCGCCTACTGAGAATGCTCAAGGCTTTTGCTCAGAGCCACGATCTTCTCATCAGGCAGCGCAGATATCCAAAGGCAGCGCTCGATGATACCATGGGCAGGCTCGAAAGTATACTTCGTACTAGCATCAATGAGGCGAAGCAGGCTTTTCACAATCGTCGCTGCAGTGCGATACCGCTCAAAGTTCACGAGGGGCTCACCATCCCGCGTGCTCGCTATCTGGGCAGGCTTTTGGGAGTTGTAGGTTAGGTCTTGGACGTAGAGGCCTAAATTTCAGATTAATATTTTTGGATTCTCAGGAAGCGTGGATTTGAGAAGGCATTGAAAACTGCACTCACCGATAAACGGAACACATCCGTCCTGCAAGTTAGTAGTTTCCATCTCCAACCGCAACTTATGGAAATTGCGAATCGGCTGGATCAGCAACTCCATATCCCTAAGCAACCCCTTCTCGCCGTCTGACACAAGCTCCCATGTCTTCTTCAGCCGCGTACAGTCAACTGAAGATAGGGCAATCGTAATCTGCAACATGGTCGAGTAATTCCGTAACCTCCGCGCGTGGACAGCTACATGGATGAGTTTGGTGATCGTCTGTGCTCTCTCAGCAATATTACTTGTCAGCAGAACCTCCGACACCGCCCATTTCACCATTAGATTGAACCGGGCGACGACCAGATCGATACCCCTACGATCACTCTGGGAGAGATAATCTGCCCAATTTAGCGTTGACTGGGATGAGTGGCTCCATTTCATATCAACTAAATCCTTCCAGTCAACTTCGTTCAGTGCGGCTTTTTCAATAAGGGTGAACTGCTGGGCCAAAACCATGGATTCACAGGCTAGAACGAATGGTAAATGATGAGAGTTCGGTGAGGCCATAGTCGAAGTTCCTTGGATCGGTATCCGCGCTTGCGACGGCGTCTGGGTTTGTGAATTAAACAAAACATTGTTCGAAAGATGTTGCATATCCAGTGTTCGCGGTGCCATCATACTGGGCAGATTTTTACAGTTGGGTGACAAGTCTGGGGTAATCGGTTGCCTTTGGAAAGAGAGGGGATCTAGAGGAGCAGCATAGGAAGATGTCAATCCGAGATGTTGCACGGTCATCGGTGGAGAAGGAGGGTGTGTCAACGGATGAGAAAGTACCCCTAGGCTCGGGATTTCCATATTTCTGGCACTAATCACACCTAACCCATATTGTTTGTCAACAACTTCATCTTTATCAATCACTGATATCTCTGAAGACAGTTCTGAGCAATAACCATTGTCATTATCTTCATCACAGTCGACACAGTCATTGCCATTTGCCTCCAGTGTGTGGGGTCTCGGAATGGTTGAACCTCGGGGAATTCGCTTCATACTCTCTGTCTCTTCAACCATATCGATGGATGGATGTGAAGATTGTGGCTTTTCAACCGCTTGATTTTCATATGGACCGGACAATAGCTGTGAGACTGGAATCAATTCCCTAAAATTTGGGCTTTTCATGGAGTCGTCATTCAAACCACGTTCAAGGAGCGGGATTGAGCAGTACGAATCCTCGGAGCCCATGAACGATTCAGCATATTGTCCGGTCATTGCAGAAGACCTTCGATCTCTTGAATCCAACTGGGACGCAAGCGCAGCATCAGGTTCTGCAGTGTGTTGTTCTTGATAAAAATCTCCCTTGGGATCCTGGTTGTGGTTATCTATACAGTTATCGACATAATTGGCGCCAATATGTTGATGATCCTGACGGATGGCCGACGGCTTCTCCCACTTCCCTTCCAGCTTTAGCAGAGTCGATTCAATCCCCCCATCTTCGTCGTCTGGGATCTTGGAGAACCCGGCAACGGCAGCCTCAAATGACGCTCGTATTTGTCGCGAACGACGTTTTCCAACAAATGAGTAATTTGTCGTTGGAAGGAGAACTTCATCAGGATGATCGCGTCTTTCAATCGATGAAACTTCCTCGCCATAATCCCCATTCATATACAAGACGGATTCTCCCATTGATTCGGTATATGATGTCGTAGAGACAAAAGATTTAATAGTTCCAACTTCTAAATCATGCACATTTTGTATTTTCCTAAGGTCCCCACCTGGACGACGGCGAAGCATACGTGCAAGTGGTTTCTCCGGAGCTTCGCGGGGAGATGCAGAATGTGATGCGGATTCTCTTGTAGAGCCAATGCTTGAATTTGTCCCACGCCGTATCATCCCACTGTGATAGGAAGCATACTTTCGAAGTTTAGTCGATGACGCTCTCACTGGAGTTTTTGACCCACTGCGAAGTATAGAAGGTCTAACATATTCTTCAGAGCACCGAAAATCTCGGGTTGTAGATATAGAATGATCCGAAGCATAATGTTGCAAGGACGGTCCAGGGACACTCACCAAAGTATCAACGACTTCTTCAGGAGGTTGTAACGGCGTCTCTTGGGATTGTCGTGAACCATTGGAATTAGCGATAGCTTGTAGAGCCCCAGACATCATGGGGATCGGTGGGCGGGTATCATCCACTATAACAATTGACTTGCTCCCAGCTGAGAGCTGGCTATGTATCCTCTCTGGCCAGACCCCAAATTTATAGATATTTTCCGGGTTTAGCCTGTCCACAACCGGCTGCGGAGTTACTTTTTCTGATTCAATGTCAGAAACCTCAGGTACAACAGGTACTAACTTCCGTGATTCTTGCATGCTAAGATGGCGATAGCTCTGGAGGGCATCGTCACACAAAATGTCAATCCGTGGAGTGACTCTAACATCGGGACCTGGCCGTTTCTCCCTGTACGCATCTGATCCGACCCCGACGTTGAGGGGAAGTGCAGAGGTTTTACCCCTCAATGGGGCCACGGGATTTGGACTCGTTGCCTGCGGGCCGCTCGAAGAAGAATTGTTACTATGCCTATTTTGCAGAGCTCGACGAATATTTCCAATGAAGGTTTTCATAGCTGGTGGGTTCTTGGAAGAATTCCCCCCCTTCCCTGTCGTCTCTGTTTGCAAGAAATCAAAGTGCGCCGCTTCCATCGTCGGCGACGGGGGTGCGATTGTAGGCACAGATGGGTCTATGGGCGCATAGGCATTGCCTCGAATGATACTTTCCGTCTGAGGCAACGCTTGTACGAGGGACTTTCTCTGAGTGTCAAGGTTTAGTGCTGGTAAGGGTGCTCTATCATCCCGAACCGAATCTGAAAAACTTCCACTTCGTTTATGGGAATGAGCCGGTCGACGCCATACAGGGATCATGGGTGCCGATGGCAAAGGACCAGGAGATGCAGGAGAAGTTCGTGGTGAAGTCGTTACTAAAACGAGATATGGCCCCTTCGGACGGGTAGAGCGGAAAGATTCCCTTTTTGGGACTTTGGAGGGAAGTGAACATGAAACTGCTTGAATGCTTTTTACACTATCTGCTGACGGCGGTAGATCTTGTCCGGATGCTGTCGATATATTGCGTACATGAGACTGGGAAGAACGGATGTCTTTCGCCCTGGGCTGAATGGTCCCGAGTGGAGGAAGGGCAATGTGTAAGGCAACTTCTTCAGATTGCGATTCAACGTCCCGCAAAGAGGGGATGCCGCTTAAGCAACTTAGGCGAGCATCTCTGGATCCTGCAACTCCTCCCGGAAGGACTTTCTCATCAGGGTGGGTGTCGCCGAGGAAATTTGGCGAATCCCAGTAGAGAGCGCATCTTCCATTCCAGCAACGTTTTAAATCAAGAAGGATTTTCAGGTCACTTGCGCTGTTGTTGCTGCAATTTTTCACATTCTCATATATCTGGTTGAGTTTTTGGCAAAATTGAACTCGAAGGTCGCGATTGATAACAAAATCGTCGACAAAGTAATTAAGAATCCAATGCCTTAGTGCTGCAAATGTTCGAATCCGGATAATCCTCCCGTCATCTTCTGGTTTATTAATCGCCCATTCAAGCCTTGCTAACAAAAGGGAGAGTAGGTTACTTGGGGAGAGGTAGGTGCGGAACGTTAGGAAAAAGTCAGAAACCAATTCGTAGTCCATAAATGAGTCCGATGAAATTTGTGCAACTATCCGAGCTGGAGTTGCGGCGCATATTTCGTTCGAACCTTTAACATAGCGGACAACTGACGGGTCATCCATAACGCCAACAAGGAAATCAAAAATTGAAGGCTCAATTGGCTCTCTCAGTCTGTAAAACACAGATGCCTGAGCTGGTAGCGATGTGGGTATTTCAAACAAAACCCGAGATCGGGTAAATTTTGATGACACATCCGGAAACGGCTGAGAAGGCTCTGAGGTTTGGTTTAAATGTGAGAGGTTCCGCGTCATATCAAAGTCATTTGCCGTCAATGTAGATGATCGAATGTTGCCACCTACAGACGTCCTGGTATAAGCGGAACTGCGTAAGGTCGGATTTCCTTCTGCCGTAAATCGAAACCCTCCGAGGCGGAAGTGGGGAATTGGAACTTCAATGGCTGGAAACGGAGGTTCACCAGATTTAGGACGGTCCGATTCATGCCGTTCAATCACAACTCGCAGTTCTTTGCGAGCATGTTTAGAATCAGATGTCGGAATTTCATCCAGAGAATGCCGCGTTGACCCTTGGTCGTCTGATATCGTTGACGTATCATATGTGCTTTTGTTGCTGTTCTCCCGGACAAGGTGGGGTCTAAGCTCTGACAATTGGGAGTTCGACCACATACTATGTCTAGCCAATCTGGACTCATCGTCCTGGTGGGCCTCTGAACGCAAGTATTGTTTGGTTGAGCGTGCAGTGGCGGTTTTCACGAAAGGCAGATGCTGCATTTTGTTTCGGTTCGTGGGTCTATAGTTATCCATAAATATTGTTGGAAACATCAATTTGTCAGCTCAGATAAAGCTTCGGACAGGACGCGCGTGATTTCATGTCGTTTAACATACCTCAAGTACATTTTCCCGTTGTGACCAACATTCCCAACCGTGAAGTTTCTTGCTTCTCTGCCCCCAAGCATTGCTTTTCCAATACTCTCTGGCGTGACATCGATTGTGTTTGACCGCTTTAAGGCTCTTTGCCTCAATACATCACTGCTATTCTTCACACGGCGCAGTGAATTGGAACTTTTCTTTCCCTTTGAACTATGGCTTCTATTCAGCTTCTTCGCATCTATTGACATGCTATGATTTCTTGGCTGTAGAGTGTGGTTCGAAGGTTGTTTCGAGTGCAACTGATTGGCTGCCCGCCCTGTGAAAATCCAAGGCGTCTTGCCATCCGATTTTACGGGAGTTGGGGCTGTTCGTTCCGTGAATTGAGATTCCATTTTCATAGCTATGTAGGTATCAGATCCGAGAGAAGGAATGAATCGAGGCCGCAAGTTTCTTTACACTGGCAACCGAAACACTGAAATCGCGACGACTCCCACCCTGGGATGCTCGGATACAAATGCAGTGCTGAAAGGAGATGAGGAGGAAGGAGGAATCGTTCGCGTCGCGTCACATAACCGGACCAAACGATGAATGAATATATGTCTTGGAAGTCGAAGTTAAGAGACGGACAAAACCGGTATTGGCATCGAAGCTGTCAACAACAACAACAACAATGAAAATGGGGGGGAAACAATTCTAAGCTACGAAAGACGGGGGAACACTAGCAGTCATGGGAGCCAAAGAAAACACTAAAGAAGAGATGAATATGGACAGCAAAACCCAGGTCAACAACTGCCACGGTCAAGCTCCCCGGTGAATCATTATAGCTCACTCAGGTCCGTGTATCAAGTTCGACTTCAAGCCTACTCTCCGCTCACTTTGCGTGACCTGGGGTACAACCAGGTCTGATTTCCAAACAATGCTAGGGCCAAAGCAAGGCAAGAAACCTGCCACAAACAGGGCTCACTGTACCACGGATATGCGACTTGGTTTTCCCAATACGAGGTGTTCCTGGGTTGGGCCACCCTCTTGTTCCTGAAATGGCAATATCAATAAACGGATGGGTGAAACACGGGAAAAGCGCGCCCCCAGAGGTAGGAATCCAAATAAAATGGTGGACGAAGACGTGTAATAGTTGAAGTTGGATTTGAGAGGTGAAAATGTCGAAGTAAAGCGGAGGTTATAAGAAAAAGCCCGACGGGACGTTGAACCTTCGTTACGTTAATGGATGGAGCCGTCGAATGAAACAAGCGGACTTCAGAGGGTCTGGGCCAGGAGTGAGATAAGAGAAGTACGTACTCGACCTCTGGCCTCGTGTTGATGATGAGAAGGTGAGTTTCAATGGCTGGGCTGAGACGGAACGATGTTCATTTGTTCTTGGAACTGGGAGGATGGATTGCTGCTTCCTGCCGGGCTAGTCAGGAATCGACTTAGCTGTAACGACGGTATATGCATGACCGGACCCAGTTACCTATATTTCCGCCCGAATAGCGACTCCCAGGCAGGACATAACTTGATTCCTGCTACTATTATTTACAGAGTCCTGCCCGCTTACTGGTGCCTGTGGGCACACCAAGAAGGAAAAAGCGCTCGAGTCTGCTAGTGTTCTGGTCAGACGACGCAAGAAGTCACTAGATACGGCTGCGTTCAACAAATAGGAACAGGATACAACCATATAAACTAATTCCGCATCCTCCCATGATTGTCCATGACACCTTGATATCTCGGAGTTCATGGATCTCTGCATGCAAAAAAACCCACATAAACCCTCACAATCCCCACAATCCACACCGAACCAAGGCGGTAAACATGCTCTACGCAGCGTACAAGCATTCGACCTACTTACATACATAAACATGGAAGTTCTGTGCGGATTCATACGCATATAGTGATACAGAACGTGGGGCGGCACATAGAAAATCAGCAATCAAATTTTGTCCGGAAACAGCACAGCCAGGCTGAGCCAGCCATCTGCCATAGTACGTCCGCCCCCTGTCAGATCAGAAGTGGTGCGATTAACTTCTCACTCCCTGTTAATGATTGACTCGCTTGCTGATAATAATGTGGAAATTACAGGCAAACCAGAGCTTCTCATTGGGATGTTTTCTTATGTCCCAGAATAGATCTCCATTGTCAATTGTGATTGAAGCCAGTGCAACCGATAATCCCACACTATTTAGCGGGAAGAACAGTCACATTATTCACAGCTCCTCCCTTTTTTTTTTTACAATTCCTCTCTCAAAAATGGGTCCCCAGATAGCGACATCATAGATTATGCCATGGAGGCAGTTTGGATCCATTATTTGCCGTCCCTGGCCACTCATCACATCACTGTACTATCCTGTTCAAAAGAAGAAGAAAAAAAATAAAAATTATTGAAGGAGCCCATCCATATGGCATGATAAATTATATGATGGAACCGTGTCTCATATTTCCATCGTATTGTGGCAAATTCTTTTTTTTTTTTCCTTGAGCTTGGGCACTTGTCAATTTCTAATAACACGGCTGATCCTGTTCCGATAGACTGGGTATGCTAAAATAATACCCAACGGAATCATACCAAGATTTGCGGGTCCTAGCACCTCCGGGGTCCTGGGCCCTACTGCGAAACTTAATAAACTCTTGATCTCCAACAATTCATGCTGGTGCGCTAGCAAAAGTGGAGTTGTTTTGCACCGGGAACTTTGCTTTTATGGATTTTCGCTACGGCTCAGCTTTGGGGATTTCGCCGCGGATGGTTACTCCCGAATAACAATGGGTGTATGGAGTAACTGCGAGTACGAGATTGTGTGGAGAGGAAGTGCAGAGGATTCCTACATGGAGAGGAATCATCTCGTTTCTTGATATTGAGTTTGCCAGGATACTTTCTTGCCGTTCAGCAAAACCCAACTATTGGATTTGCTGTTGACATATTTAACAAGGATGAGGTGAATTGTATTTCCCAGTATTTGGCCTTTTCTTGATTCCGCATGGGGCGGAGGACCTGGAAGAAAATTCATGCATCCCAATGTCGTAACCATGCAGAGATGGCTGCGAAAACGAAAACGCTTCACTGCGAACTCTGTGAATATTTTGCTTGCGATGAACTTCATATCTCCCAAAGAACAGCTCTAATCCGCAGAATTCCCGATTGCTAACTGCTGATAAAATATCTCAATTTTGCCGCATGAAATCGATGAATCACGGACAGTTTAGATGCCGTACATTACGCCAACAAACCCGCCACAATCGCCAAAATTGCTGTGCATCCGACAGAGAACGGAAAAAGAAGTCAAAAATCGTAAAAGGCTCCTTGACTTTTCCACGTTTCCGTTAGGGTTTGAGTCCCAGAGAACAAGATCGTGGAAAAGATAGATATAAAGTTTTTGAACACAGAAGTCATCGCTTCTGAGTTCCGATTGGCGCAAGAAAATCACGGTCCCAGCTTCTTCGTCTTCCATTTCCTCTATCCACTGGGCACCACCTGTGAACAGCAATTGGTCATATTCAAAGTCGGAGACCCTTGGGAATCATGGGAGGGAGGGTGCAACAGAACAAGTGTCTGAAGAACTTTAAAGAAATTCACATCTACAAGATAGCTGGTGAAGAGATTGAGTTCAACGGCTCTCCCAATTCTAAAATATTCCACTCCAACAGGTCATTAGAAAGAATATGGACAGCCAGGCTGGCTATTCTCACTCACAGCTCCAGCGCCGGGTTTAAGCCCCGGTATAATGAAGTACGTATCCATGGATGATAACAACGTCTTATATAACTTTTTTCTAATAAACCTTGGGTTCTCTCTTCTCGTGGATTGGCTGATTGAACAACAACAAGGCTACGCTTCTAGCAATGAGGCATCATTCGACGGAGAATGATTTTAGGAACGAAAGACATGCGGTGGAGTGGGCGCTTGAGATTGTGATGCGGTAAGGGAAATTACGTGTTTCTCCTCTTCTCCTGTCTTTGTTTGCTTCAAAATATTGCGGTTTCGAAATACACCCCTGAGAGTATCTCAAGATATGGTTCTGTTTTGAACAAATCTTCCGCTCGCCATTCAGAAGGGCTTCCTGGAAAGCAGCAATGCCACTGATCAATCTTTGCCTTGGGAAAGCCTAAATTTAAGGCTTCTTTGTGTGACTTACGCTCCCTTATTAAGCATTCATCGTCCTCATCAGAGGAAATCCCGCTGAGTTCACTATGGAAACAAGGGTAATAAAGAGTGAACAAATTATCAGACTGAGTTTTTTTAAGGTTAATTCGAAACCGGGTGATTGCCTCCCAGGACATGGGTTGTCACAGGGTTGCAAGACAAACGGTTTCGCCCTTCCATATTGCTTGTGATACCTTGACCACGGCAACTGTCGGGATGGGAGGGCGGTCAGATTTACCTCCTTATTATGTCAAAACCGAAGAATCCATGCTTGTCCTGAGGCTGCACAAGTTCCTGGACCAAAAATTCAAGTTTGGGCATTTCAGATTTCGTCCTTCGAAGCGCGGAAGCAGGTCTTCTTGCTTCTATATAACTATAGTTTTTACATCGGAGACGAGAAATGTGACAAATGTGACAAATATAATGTGCATCCATCATGCACATACATTAAGACCTGTGATACCGCAAGCCCGGTAGCAAAAGGCGTTTGGAGCAACACTCCACCTTCTGGTACAGTTGGCTTTTTGCCAGTCACGAGGGAGGTTCTTCCCTAACACACATCCCTGTACGGAGTAATTTAGCAGCAAGCGCAATGTTCACCGCCATCATTTTAACTTTGAAGCCATCATGATTCATCAATAAACATTTTCTCCATTCCCCCATCGACTTCTGGCGAGAGGAATCTGATTGGTAACTTTCGCAGTTCGCTTTCTACCTTGGCTACTACTCATGATGCAACACCCGTGGACATTTCAACCCACCTTCACAGCTGGATAGCCGGGAGATGAAGTCAGCTTCAGCCCCCCTGTAAGTTTTGGTAAAGCGGTATCGCTAGCCGCTGCCTGAGGAAGGAATTTGAAATGCAGGGAATTTCTTGACTTTTTCAATGAACTCGCTACAGTCGATTGATGGGATGACCCGCAATCTCATTTTTCCCCCCCCACAAACCTACACAAAAAAATAAATAAATAAAGTAAAATAAAATAAAATAAAAAACTGCTCCAAAGCTTCTTATTTGCTCATAAGACCAATAGAATATTGTGGGATCTAGGAAGAATAAAAATTCCAACCACTGAGAAAACAGGAAATAAATGAAATAACATATCACTTTTCACACCACAATATAACTTCCTCCCTGGATCTGTGGATTTTAGCAGGGAACAGAAAATCAAGTTTCTGTATTCAACCATTCCTTCTTCTTCTTCTTCTCCTCCATCTATCTCATTTCTTGTTGGCGGTTGTCGACTGATTTTACCACTCAACAACTGATAATACTCAAGTGAAAGCTGTCTTCCAATGCTACATAACATAGCAAATTACACCAGTCATGAGCATGCATTCAGCGTTCTTGCCCAGAGAGGTTCCATTGTTCTATTGATTCAAGGTTGCTCCTTTTTCCAAGCCCAGTTGATGCAACATTCTGCAAATTTAGTAGACATGTCTAAACCTGGTTAACGATGAGCCGACATGGATAGCGCTGCAACACGCAGTTTGGTGGTTAAATGTTGGATTATTGCTGGCTTTCCCCATTCCCATATACCTCGCTGCAAATAATCTCGAAGACTATATGGAGTGCTGGAACATCTGTCGGCACGGACGTGGGAGGTGCTGCCTCCCAGAATGCAACGGGAAGGGACGTCACTTCTAGAAGATCTGTCGTGGATCTGGAGACCCATGGATATTTGACGGGTCCTGCTTCAGTTTCCGAAATTTGTTGTTCTCCTTTATTTTGCTTCCCTCCTGTTCGCTTCAATGTTCTTTGATTAGTGCATAGGTCGAGAGATGAACTTGGGATCATAGATTTAGAATATCTCAATATGACGTAGTTGATGTCTATGGGGCTCCAGCATTTTACTTCACAGCAGACAGGGCCATATCTTCAATGACAAGAAGTCAAGTCAATGCGATCGTGCTGAAATTAATGCTGAATGTTATTGAACAAATCGCCTCAAGTCTTCAGATCCTAATCTCCTTTTCGAGTTAGGTTTAGTGACCCGCAGCAAGGAACCTTAATTGTGGTTCCGTGAGCAAGCCCCGCACTGATCTCCCATTGGCTCGTTCGATTGCACGGTTTTTTCTCTTGGCGCAAAAAAGTGTCAGCCTTTATCCCAACCTCAGACATTCTCTCGACAAACGCATCGCCAGCAACCACTATCAACTCCATTGAACCCATACAACGCCCCAGGACCATTCTACCTTAGACGTAGACAACCATGCCCGCCAAGGAGAAGGTATGTTTGGCGTATTCTGGTGGTCTCGACACCAGCTGCATCCTTGCATGGCTCATTGAGCAAGGGTATGACGTTGTGTGCTTCCTCGCAGATGTCGGACAGGCAGAGGACTTTAAAGAGGCTGAGCGCAAGGCTCTGCTGATTGGTGCGCAGAAGTTGGTTGTTGCGGATCTGAAGCGCGAATTCGTGGAGGATCTATGCTACCGCGCAATCCAATGCAATGTGAGTCAAATGCTTTGACTTTCTTTTTGATGCTCTCTTATACCCCTCAACTGGCTGGCAGTGGAGGTGGAGGTGAAGAGTTGTATACATATCGACATATCAAATTCACATACGCAGTGCGGTTCATGCTAATGTGCAGATGTAGGCCATTTGGGAAGACAGATATCTCCTTGGGTAAGCTGTAATTCCACGAAATACTGCATTCCTGGTGCCGACAGCTAATTCACCATCTGTTTAGAACGAGTCTGTATGTAAACCCCGTTACCATTTCCAGTTGGCGCCAAAACTTATATATTTAAAAAGTGCTCGTCCCGTAATTGCGCGTGCGATGATGCGCTGCGCGAAGGAGGAGGGATGTGTTGCTGTCAGCCATGGTACGTCGTGAATGTAAACATCACTTTGTTGTTCTTGGAAGCAGTGTTGGGAATATAGTTCTGTGCTAACAATTCATGTTGCAGGCTGCACTGGCAAGGGGTAAGAATGGATTTTTTCCCATCTAGACTTGTCTAAGCAGAGATTGATAAGATGTATACAGCAATGATCAAGTCCGATTCGAACTTGCCTTCTACGCTATCCAGGTATGAACGGGTGTTTGAAATGTCGACGACTTCCCTACACAAATCCACGTAATAGGATCTGATTTTTTTTTAACAGCCATCTATCCGAGTTATCGCCCCATGGCGTCTACCTGAGTTTTACCACCGATTCGCCGGTCGTAATGATCTCCTCAACTATGCTGAACAACACAAAATTCCCGTTACATCCACAAAGGCCAAGCCATGGTGCGTCTGCTTCGATCGAGAGCCCAATCATTTCCATACATTTTTGAAATACCAATGCTTACACCTAAGTTATTATTACCAGGTCGATGGATGAGAAGTAAGAGTTTCACCACCTCGAAACGGCAGAGGTCAACCGGATATTTAACCACTCAAGCTAATATTGAAGCTTAGCTTTGCCCACTGTTCCTACGAAGCTGGTATCCTTGAAGATGCTGATGTTACTCCCCCCGATGATATGTGGAAGTTGACAGACGACCCTCGAAATGCCCCCGATGCCCCAGAAGATTTCACTCTCTCCTTCGAGAAGGGTATCCCAAGTGCCCTAACTCTTGGAGGCAAGACGGTTACCGATTCCGTTGAGATCTTCACTGCACTCAACGAGCTCGGCCGCAAGCACGGTTAGTTTCTTAAACCATTTGAGCCTAAACTATACATAGAGGCACTGGAGCTAAAAGCAACACCTTTTAGGAATTGGGCGAATTGATATCGTTGAGAACCGATACATTGGCCTCAAATCTGTAAGCCAGCCCTTAGTTTTATTAAAACGTTGGATACCTTAAGAGTAACATGCTAACTCACCTTCCCCAGCGCGGCTGCTAGTAAATCTACCCCACCCGATTAGCCTTCCCTCTCACAACCCTCTCTTCACACCAGTTTAAAAAATACTAACGCACCACCCAGTGACTCGCCTGCCATGACCATCCTCCGCCTCGCCCACATCGATCTTGAAGGCCTCGTCCTAGACCGCGAAGTCCGCCTCCTCCGCGACCAATTTGTAACAGTAACCTGGTCCAAACTCCTCTACAACGGCCTCTACTTCTCCCCCGAGCGTAAATTTATCGAGAAAAGCATCCTGGCCAGCCAGGACGATGTCAACGGCCAAGTGCGCCTGCGCTGCTACAAAGGCCTGGCCAGCGTGTTAGGCCGCAGCTCGCAGACTAGCAAGCTGTACAGCCCCGAGCAGAGCAGCATGGATTCCCTTGAGGATTTCCAGCCGACGGATACGACTGGATTCATTGCTACGCAGGCTATTCGGTTGAAGGCGTATGGACTTGCGGAGGCGGAGAAGAGGGTTGACTTGAGTAAGTCGTAGGTTGTTCTTTAGATAGATTTTGTTCTTGGACGAAAAGTTGGAGAGGGTTGGAGATAGCTTTAGCTCCTCGTGCCTCGAATTTTGGTATTCGAGACATATAAAACCCGACAGGGGGGAACTTCAAAGGTGTCTCTTTTCCTTCTGGTATCTTTTGAGTATCCCGAAAATCTTTGATGAGGCTATCTATCTTCTACACTTTCCCCAGCTTCCGTTCCACGTCCCCGGTTTTTTCCAGTGTCTTTCTAGGACAATTACGCAAAATTTCACATATGAAAATAATGCTAGTTAGATCGAGACGAATGAATACGGGAAAAAGCTCGCATTGATTAACCAAAATCTAGGGATCCATGATTTATATTATACTCTTATCTAGCTAATCCATCTAGAATTATTGTACATCTGCCAGAGTAATATATCGAAAATTGCTCAATTAGGTCAAGTACCTTGATTACGCATATTTGGCTTCAGAAAACCGCAGCTCTTCGGCAGTTATCCTCTGTAGGTTTTTGTCAGCATAAAACGATAGATACGCGTCTCTATATATCTTACACTGCTATGAAAGCTCTGCGCCCTTGAAAAGCCTATTAAACTTCAGGAGTTGAATCATTGTGGTGTAGTGTGCATGACCAACACTGTCTGCAATCTAAGTGGCAAGCATAGGATTAGGTAAGAGAAGATTTTGAGCTATCCCCTCGTCCGTCTTTTGTTGCACAATTAGCGCGATTTCATTAGTGTATATTATACGTGATATTATTGGCTAAATGGTGTAATATTGCGTACTATTTGGTATTGGTGTATTATAATAAGCTAAGCCTAATTACGTTATATAGATTCTTCAGCTCTGGCCAATGCCATGGAATTCCTCCCAGCATCTAGTTTTCAAGCAAAGAGTCACATTCTTACATGCTGAGCATCCAGATCTTGATCTAGGAGCTTGTCTACTCTCCTGCTGACCTAGCTTTCGCATATATCAACACCAGACACAAATTGTAGGCTTTGGTAGAGAAATTTGTTGATGAATAAGCTCTGGATTTGATCGCTCATGGGGTAGATCATCATGGATCTTCAAATTGAATTCAAAGAGTTGCTGATAGAGCTTCTCACATAAGCTTATATGAGTAGGTAGCCTAGAGACTCCCTGCTGCTTCATATATATATACTGAAGCCTCCACGCATTGACAACAGCAGCATCCAGAATCCAATAGAAAATAGGCAACCAGGTCCGATAGCTCATTCTACAAGAGCTATAGGAAGCTCTATACTGATTTGCTAGGTCTCCTCCATTCATATTATGATTATAGTCATCAATAATCTTTGGAATCTGAAGGTTCTTCCTAGGTTGATTCTCAAAGACTGGGTGGACTATATGAGCATTGGTAGAGAGTTCTCCAGGCTGTCTTCAAAATTGTTCAATGAAGGTGTCCAAAGAATGAATAGTAGTAAGAGCTAATACCATATTATTGTCTTGCCAGGCTAGACAGAGGACCTTATTCACTTTCATAGCATGTAGAGTATTCCATAGAATACTCTTTTGAATGCTCTCAAAGCTCTGCTAGAATAGGGAGAACCTGATTAGAGCAGGTAGTCCCACAAGCTCCATAGCCATGCTCTCAAAGTAGGTGGAATAATTGAACAGAGGTAAAGTAGTTGTCTAGGTAAATTGAGTATGGAGTGACTTGTTGATTAGCTGACTCTTCAGCAGAAGGCCTAGTAGGAGCTTCACTAGTAGGGAGAGCTTTGATGATAGAAGCTTCAATGATAGGAGTCTCAGTAGGAGGTCTAGTATTTGATTCCTCAGTAGGGGGTCTAGTATTCGATTCCTCAGTAGGGGATCTAGTATCCGATTCCTCAGTAGGTCTAATAATAGGGATCTTAGGAAGCCGCTGAATCATATTCATGACCATGGATCCAGTTCTGGTAATTTCTGGAAATTGAAACATAGGCATTATGCTCTGCCAGCGGCTAGACCAGGAAAATGTCCAAAGATATCCATGTTCTGCTAGTCCAAAGACCTTATATCCCTGAGGAATTGGCTTAGCAGGCATCTTATATGTGTGCTGACTTTGACCAAAGCATCTAATCATGATTTCATCAATGGAAATCTCTGAGTCAGGGGTGTAATATTTCTGGCAGGCATTATGGAAGTTAGAAGTCAAAGGCTCTATCTTATACTACCAATCTTTATTCTTAGAATCTGGCTGGTGAGCTTCTCGAGCGTTGGATCTATGGAAATAGTGCTTGATTTGCTCAAAATGTTTCAAGGCCATATAGGATTGAACTGAATGAATAGGACCTTCTCTCAGATTATTCCTCCAATAATGATCAGTCTGGCTGGATTTATGAATCCCCATATAGATAAGAGCTCCTAAAAAGACCTTTATTTCCTCTGAAGTGGTCTTTTTCCATGGACATTGCTGAATAGAGGTCTTCAATTCCTTAGATGTTTCCATAAATATAGAGGGTTCTGCAGAAGCTTCCATAGGAATTTCCTCTTCCTTATCCTTCTTCTTATCCTTCTCAAAGCTCTCTGGAGCTTCATTATCAGTATCTCCATCATCTCCCTTCAATTTTGCATAGAGATTGGTTGAATTGACAATATTATGAATGGAATCTTCAGAGAAGAATAAGGTAAATAAGGCATAGGGGCTTTGAACACCAACATCTGGTGGAATATGAAGATTTGGCAGCCGTGAACTAGGTTCTAGAGGAAGAAATTTGACTGATTCTAGAGGTGGTATCTCTGCAATGACTTCCTCAATTACTCATTTTCACTTTGTAGAGGTTCTACCTGGCTTTTTCATAGATTCTAGAGAATATATTAGTTATTTGATGCATAGATTAAGATCAGGATTCTAGAAAATCATCTGAATTCCCTGTAGGTTCCATATTTGCAGGTGGATAGGGCTCCATGGTAGGCATGTAGGTAGATCTGAATTCTCAACACACTTTCTGCTTACATGAAAATCGCAAAAGTGTGGATCTGTAGTGACCAATAGCAGCCCATACAAAATAGTATGTGAACCTATTGGTTGAGACATGCTGACAAATGCCTTTATTTTACGCCTATTGATACCACGCTAATTGTGCAACAAAAGACGGACGAGGGGATAATAAATATTGCGCAAAGTCATAGTTCTATTTTCAGAGCACCTCCATCATAGGATATAGAGCTATTCCAGCAGCAGAAGGCCTTTGAGGAGCAGTCGAGCTGAGATAGAGCGTTAAAAGAGAGACAGAACATACAAGATGTGTAGTTCAGTAACTAGTTGTGGCGGCTGAAGCTGCAGTTAAATAACTTTGTAACTAATAACTAAACACCTGGGATTTATTTTGTTCCAAGGTTCTTGGCAAAAACAACATCATCTTCATCATCAAGTGTCAACCAACAGCTCTCGAAGATCCGACAAACGGCGAACTGAGTGCCGCTATTCGAGCTTCTTGGATATGTCGTCGTGACGCGATCAAGGTAAAATATTGCTTTTTAGATCACTGAAGATCCTCCATCTGTTCCAGCGGTGGTTGTTTCATGTGCGATTCCTGACAATTCCACAATGCGATACCATCTAATTTACTAGCCATGGACGCGAAATATATGCGAAAAATGAATAAATGCTATGACAAGAAACCAGGCTGACTAGAAGGAGAAATACTGCAGATGAGTTCCGGCAGATTTGCAACCACCCAACCAACGTACGATTTCATAACCGGAGCTTCCTCCCCTTCCACGTCTTCTGGTGGTGGACCTGGTGCGGCAAATGCTTCATTTAGACACAGTATTCGTTCAGGACAGCCACCAACAAAACCTGGTTAGTTTTGTCTATTACAGCATAATTCCACTCCAAAATCGAAGAACTTAGCTAATTAACGAGTAACAGATGCCGGAAATGAGGAGTTACGCGTGCAACTAAGCACTTTACGATATGAGTTGGACAACTTGAAACAGGAAAGGGATCTTACAGCCCTTCACCATGAGAAGGAACTCCGTGAGCTTCAGATTAGGGCAGATGCAGATTTCCGAAAGGCTCAGGTGAGTAATCTTTCTTTTACGACCTCTTTGTTGACGAGGCTAACAACGACGTTCATGAAATTCTAGGCAGCCATAAGTAGCAGCAACAAAGCGCAGCATAAAATCGAGTCCATTACCACCGAACTGAAGACCACGCAGGAATCCGCGATTAACGAGAAAGCATCCTTTGATAAACAGCTACGAAGCTTACAGGATAGGAATCAGTCTCTACAAGAAGAGTTCGACGAAGCCCAATCTCAACTGTCGGATCGAGAACGTCAATATTCACATCAGATTCATGAATTGGAAGCAATTCGTTCGTCACTTCAGAAAACACTCGACGAAGTGCAAACTGAACTTCATGAGACGAAGGAAAGCTTGCGGAGCGCTCAGGATAAATTAGCGCAACGGGAGGCAGACATGGGGATGCTGGAAAGTGAGAACATACGGCTAAAATCAGAAGGGGCGAATTCAGAAACTCTCAGTGTCCTTCAACGTGAACTTTCGGAGCAAGTCGCGCAGGTTAAGCGGTTGGAAGCTGAACTACGGCCTCTCCGAAAGTCACAGAAAAATGTCGAAATAGTGGAGGAACAGAAAAAGGCGCTGGAGAACCAGTTGCAGCTAATGCAAGAGGTGGAGGTGGAACTGAGGAATGTACAAATTCAGAAGCAAATCTTGGAGGACGAGCGGAGATCCTGGACTAGCCTTCTGCAAACGGATGGTCAAAATACTGAATTCGACTCACCAGAAGAAGTTGCTCGAGCTCTTGTCCAGGCACGCATCGAGAATGCATCGTTGCTAGATAGGATTGGGACGATTCAAACTGAGATGGCTGAGAAGGCTGAGATGGTACAGAATCTGGAGACAGAAAAATCGAAATTACAACGGGAGATAGAAAAATTACGCGCAAATTGCTCGGCTGGAAGTGGTGCAGATGCTCGTGCAAAGACACGACTGGAACGTCAGCGAGTATTAGCCATAAGAGAGGTAGAATACCTCCGCGCACAGCTGAAAACATTTGACACTGAAGAAACCACTATGAACGCAGATGATACCACATTTGATCAACAGAAATCTGACCACATCGCCCATCTTGAGAATCTCCTCAGCGAACACCGTGAAGAACTTCATAAACTACATGAAGAATTGTCGAAACTGGAAAAGGAATCTGGAGAGGATGCCAACGCTCCACGCGGAGTAAAGCGCCCGCTCTCCCCAGCAGAAAGCGATGCAGATAGTGAGCGACTCGCCATCCTGGTCCGGAAAAACCGAACTCTGCAAGACAATCTCTCCAAAGCGGAACAATCCACCGAATTACTCACACGTGAACTCGAGGCTACAAAATCTCAACTCTCAGTACTCCAAGTCCAATCCCGGACTCGGATCCTTGAACTCCGTTCCAACCCCACCGCAGAAGCCGAGAATGTCAAACTCTCCGCGCTAACAGCCCTACGAGCAGAAAATCGTGACCTCCTCGCCCAACTACGCAACAAGCACTCGAACCTCGAAGTCGTTCCCCTCTCCACCCTCGAAAGCAAAGAGATGGAGCTACGCGAGATGGAAAAGATCGTTGCAGAAAAGGATAAGCGCATGCGTCGACTGAAAGAGATATGGACTGCAAAATCGTCCGAGTTTCGAGAAGCGGTTGCTTCGGTTCTTGGATATAAACTTGACTTTCTGCCCAATGGCCGCGTCCGGGTGACGTCAATGTTTCATTTGTCACCGGCGTATAGGCATGGAGATCGGGATGCCTCGCCTGACGCGAGGGGGCCTGGAAGTATGGGCGATGGAGAAGAGAATTCCATAATTTTTGATGGGGAGAATGGGACGATGAAGATCTCCGGTGGTCCAAATAGTTTGTTTGCGATGGAGATTCGTAGTCTGATTAAGTTTTGGGTTGAGGAGAGGAAGGATATTCCTTGCTTCCTGGCGGCTATGACGCTTGATTTTTACGATAAGACGACAAGAGCGGCGAGGATGTGAAGGTGGAGGCCCTTTTTTTTTTTTTTTTTGTTGGGGGGGTGCGCTTTGCTTTGTACTCCCAATACAACAAATTATGTACGGTTGTCGGATTATGCAAACAAGACAAATAGAGATGTGAGAAGATATGAAACAGAATTATGGACAAATGAATACCTATCATAGTTGGTAGAATGTAAAGGGGCGGAAAATTCTGAGCCCAGAATTAAGAATAGCAATGGCAAAAACGAGACAGTAATGCAGGACAAGAGGGGTAAGAAAAGTTTGGAAGAGCAAGACAGAAACCAAGGAAAATGGAAAATGAAAGCTAAAAACCGAGAGGAGGATGGGTAAGAATAACAGACCAATTAATTAACCAAATTTGGTATGGATGGGAATCTTTATACTTCAAGAAGAAAGAAATTTCCAAATGTGAAAGTGAGAAGTGGTCTTATCCAAACAGGAGACTCCAAAATAAGAATGGTAGTAAACAAAGATGAGGAGCCGGGAGACGTTCATTTCCCCCCCTCTGTATATAACCCCGTTACACTCTTCCTAAATATTGCCAAGAATACAATTATTCCGCATCATCCGCTTTTCGTAATTGGATACTCTATTAATCCAAGAACAATCGCAATTCCAGGAGACATTATAGCGAGTTGATGAAGTAGACACAAGTGTGTAAGGACGGTTCAGGAACCAAAGAAAAATGCCAAAGACAACTCCTATCATGCAGGATAATTGGCGGAGCTTAAGGCTTTGAAATAATTGTTTTATTACCCGACAGAAGTATATCTCCCCACCGTTAATTTCCGTCGAGTATAGACTTCTTCCCACGTATTCGACGGAAGCTTGGGTTCAGGGGATACTGATCCATTCCGCGTTCCCAGGGACTCATCAGCGAAGGGATCAGAGACTTCTCTCTCCTGTCCACCACCCGTGGAAGTCTGCGCGCTGATACCCAGTCTTTCGCCGCCATTGGCATTCAAGAGGTCGAACTTGGCTTCAACTTTCCCCTTTCGAGGCCCGCTTACTGATGTTGAAAACCGAGCAAGGAACCGATTGTCGCCTTCAGTGGAAACTTCCAGCTCAGGAATTTTCCACGTGACGGCTGATATTTTGCGCCGGAATGAAGCGCCTGTGTTTGGATACATAACGGCACCCGTGGCCCGAGCGACTTCGCGAGGCTGCTTGGTTGTTTCGTCTTCCTGGGGAGATAGGTCTAGGTTGACGGTGAGAACGAGATTCTTAAGTGTGATGGGTGTTGACGAGGTTGCAGATATAAAGTTAAGGTTTATGGAGTAGGTGATAATAACACTCGCTTGGAATTCTTCCAAATTCCAAACAGGATTGAATATAACGGGGCAATAGGCGGATAGATTAGAAGGATCAAGGTGGACTTGGTACTTGAACGCAACAGTTGGAATCGATCGGGAGATACTGGGAAGGGAAATAAGATATTCTCCTTTCTTTTCCTCGTAACTGGCGGCCTGTTCCCTTTCCTTCCCTTTCAGGGTATGACCAGCTTCTGTAACAAAAACGGGATTTGCAGCTACTTTTTCCAAGATCTGGAAATTATTTAGGCGGACAAGTTCAGGGTCAGAAGGGGGGTTCGTGGTGGAATTATATGCCAGAGCCAATTCTCCCACAACGAAAGAACGGTTCACAATACCATCGGAGAACCAAGCATTCACAGTTTCCACTACAGATGCGTTAAGACCAGGCTCAGACATCTCAGGGTGTAAGACAGGACCTGACAGGTTATGGAGAGTGTGTGATGAATGAACTGATGTTGTATCCGATTGAGCGTGGTCATCGTAAGTTGCTGAAGGAGATACGACAGCCTTTGGCGCGTAAGATGGCGAAACAGGTATTGAAGAGGCAGTGAGGCCAGGAGATCGGTTCAGACCTACATCTTCACCGGCTGATGGTGGGCTCGGAACAAAAATGGTGTTTCTGACATCTCGACGTCCACGCAATGTCCCAACTCCACGAGAAACACCAGACTGTTGTGCTTGCTATGCGGACGAGTTAGCCTTTCAGAGTTTGGACAGTGACTAAACATCTCTTCTCACCAATCGTAAAGTGTTCGCCACTTCATTCAAAGCCAATTTCGCCTCACCCTCATCCTCTTTAATAGGTTGGTCACGGATAGTCAGGTTCATGCCGGGCTCTACGACGCTGCTTGATGGGTCAGATGATGCCAAAATTGGCAAAATTGGAACAATAGGAAAGAAACATACGCAGCAGCTTCTTTTTGAACTCGGGATATTTCATCAAGACTATTGGGCCGCTCGGAATAACCCTCGGAATCGATTTTTGGTGACTGTGTCAAGTTAGTAAAATAGGGCGAGAAATTGGGAAGCGGTGGTCGTACTTGGGTTGTAGCAGGCGCTTGTTCCATAGAATTAGCTTTTCTAATAGGCGTATTCGAGACAGCACTCTCTTCGGGCCTAACAGCACCGTTAAGAGGTGTCGTGGGTCGCTGGTGCAATGCTGAAGTCGACTCGGAATGGGATACCTCTCTGTGAGAGGAAGCCGGGCGTTGCAACGATGAATCATCCCTTGAAGAAATAGGAGCTAGCGAATTAACCAAATTGGCTTGCATATCAACTTGCTGAAAACTTCGAGTTGAATCAGTCTTCCGGAACGAAGTAAATGGAGACCGGAACTTCCTTTCCGGAGAACCTGAGGCCCTAGTTGGATGATGTACAATGCTCTTCCTGCGAGTCATGACGGTGCCTAACCGTTTCAGGCCACCAAGTCTTAAATGTCCATGTTGCTCTAGACCTACAATTATGTCAGAAGCTGGCTTGAATTGTCCCGGTTCTGATCTGAGGAGGAATGATTACTCACCAACACTTAACCTGCCTTGGTTTGACTGACCGGAATGCTGGCTGGCCCTATCATCCTGATTCCTAGGTGGTGGCGGTAGTAGGGATTCTGCGGCGGCGGTCACCGAGGCAGTATCGCCCAGAACTCGGCACGGAGGAGAGGCGGGGGGCGACGCAGCCGATGGAGGGTTTGTTCTTCTCGATACAGGAGCCCGGCCACCGATTGCTTTTGTAGTGAATGCCCTGATCTCTTCATCGGTCTGGACGTTCAACAGAGCATTGAGACAACTCTCAGCGGACTCTCTATCTCTTTCGATGCGATCGACCTCATGAGTTTCGTACTGGGTGAGAACATCCCTGAGATGATTAAGGCGATGTTCATCAACAGCCTGTAGTTGCTCAAAGACAAACGGGGCTCGCGATTCCCACTGTTGCGCCACATCCTGCGCCGCGGAAACAGCACTTGACGTCTTTGCGGCAGCCTTTGGTCCCTTGTCTTTTAGTTTGTCCGCTTTCCTCGTCACTGATTCAAGCTCCTTTGCTAAATTTGCTAAATCGTGCTGCATGGTTGACATGGATTGCATATCACGATTTTTGGTGGCATATTCTCTCAAGGGCCGCTCAGCATCCGTCTCGATTACGTGGGAAAGGATCTCGTGGGAGGAGGCTAATGTTTCAGTAGCGGACAGTATGCGCTGCCAAGGCGTTTGAAACACACTACATAATTCATGGTCAGAACGCCATAATCATTGCTTCGCAACATGTGCAAACAAGTCTTACCCCAATGCTTCATATTCATCTAGTTGCTGTCGGCGCGCAAGCCTGCGAAGGCCCAAAACATAAACTTGCTCCACCCGTCGTCGTTCCTAAGTTGGGGGAGGAAGGTGTAAGGTCATCTTCTGCTCAGGATAATTCTTTTCAAAAGAAAAACGAAACGAAATGAAATTTGAGTACCGAAAGCCAGTCTGCAATATCCAAGTTAACCTTGCTAATTAATCGCATGCGGTCTGTTAGGATGGCGCTGGCTTGCGTCGGCGTCAGGGAGGCCTAGGAAAAGAAGCAATGGGCAATTAGTAACCATCAACAAACAATTATGGCACATCCAACTGTGCAATTACACTCCATGGTAGTGTTTACTCACCGCAATGGCTGGATAGTCTTGCCGCGACAATTCCATGTTGAAGTGTTCTTATTAACACGATGACGAATTCGCTAACCGGAGGATTCATAACAGCACATCCCAAAGCTAAGATGAAGGAAGCGCAGGAAATAAAAGAGAGTATATGCAGTGGGTAGAGCTATGTCGGACCGTTCTCTATATCATTGATAAAGAAGAGAGAGACAGATGTGGATGTTGACGTTGATGTTGACGTTAATGTTAACGTTGAGCAGGTATTTGCAGGGGATTTGGGAAGGCAGACTGGCGCCAAGAGAAGCAGCATCGGTAATGTCACGTGTCCCCGATCCGGGTTCAGCTGCGGATTATTAATCGTGAATGGAAGTGATAGTTAAAGAGGCAGATATAGGCACAGACCGAGATTGACCGGACGGTGAGATGTCTGTTTAACAATTACTATGTTATACCCTGATCAACAATTGCCGGTATGCTTTTGCGGTACACGCTACCCAAACAAAAGAAGCTAGCTGAACTTATGGGCGCTGTGGCTATTTTTATTACAAGCCTCCACCATCAATACTGCCGGCCTATGGTACTTGCACATCGGTACCAGATATGGCTATTAACCTTCCAATAAGTAGCAAGTAAACGTCCTTAATTTGATAAAAGCTCGAAGAGCAATTCCCGAGACCACAATGGCATCAAATGCTGGTTGGAAGTCGGATGTGGGTTTTTCAGATCGCTTGACCACAGTGCGGTTGATGTAAGTTCGGTCTGCTTGCTTCTCCACCCCCCATTCCTGCCCTGTGATTGTGCAGGGTGCTTGAAATGTGCTCAGCTCATCCCAGCATGCAGAATTGCGGCGTATCAGCGCGCAGTGCCATCAGCCGGTTTTTCAGAAGCTCATGCGGAGGCAACGAAGGTGGAAAATGATGCTTTCAGTCATGCGTCAAGCAAAGTATGTGGTCTACGTTCCGCAGAATAATTCCCCCTAGTTGAGTCCGTTCTGAAAAACAGGGGCCCCGCAGGAAGATTATCAATTTGAATGTCAGAGGGCCATTGATGAGTGGGACGCAATGGAACAACTAGCTCCACCTGATGTCATTGAAAATGAAAGTGCAGCTGCATCTGAAGGGTCAAAACTCGACTCCGACAACGTTTCCGGCGGCAGGAAGATTGGCGCGTACGAAAATGCCATATACCATCAAGAAGGCATATTCTCCACCGTATACAAAGCAAAGAGCATCACCGGAACTACAGTGGCTCTAAAAGTGACAACACCACATACCATGTCACCGCCCCATGACTCCAGACGCGAAGCCCGCATCCTCAGCTCCCTCTCAAACCCCGCGATCATCCCATTGCTAGACAGCTTCAACCATCCAGGCGGCCAATTCGTCCTCGTCTTCCCTTTCATGCCCCTCCACTTCGACGAGCTCATGCGCCGCAACGCCCTGACCTCACGGCAAACCCGCTCGCACCTACGAGACCTCTTCCGGGCCCTATCCTACATCCATTCGCAGGGTATCATCCATCGAGATGTCAAGCCATCTAACATCCTCCTCCGCGAACTAAAGGGTCCAGCATATCTGGCAGATTTTGGAATTGCATGGTCACCTTCTGATAAGGCCTCTGAAGACGCTAATAAGAAAATCACCGAGGTGGGCACGACGTGTTACCGGCCTCCTGAGGTCTTGTTTGGAGATAAGGCGTATGGGACCAGCTTGGACCTTTGGGCCGCGGGCTGTGTTGTTGCAGAGGCGGTGGATATGAATCACAGGCAACTTTTTGATGCGGGGGAGCTGGGGAGTGAATTGGCGTTGGTACATTCTATATTTGTGACACTGGGGACTCCGAATGCTAAATCATGGCCTGTATGTTGTTTCCCCCATCATCTCCTCTTTGTCGTCTCTCACCCTACTTAAGATATGACATGGCTCTTCGTCGCCCCTGCTGTGCTTTCTTCTACTTGATATTTTTACAGGAGAGAAACTCGACTAACCGAAACCCCCCTTGCAAACAAGTTAACCAAGGATCTCCCCGACTGGGGAAAGATACAGTTTAAAGAGTATCCAGCGAAACCCTGGGCAGAAATCCTCAGCGGGGCTCCTCTCAACGGGCGCGATCTGGTCAGTAAACTGGTACGGTATGAGAGTAGCGAGAGGCTATCAGCTGCTGAGGTATGTATAAAAGACATCCATCACTGGTCCCCGATCTGTGATGGAATACGATGCCATATAGAACTCGCAAGCGAGATACAGATCCGGAAAGATAATTGCTAACCATGGCGACGGCAGGCTCTAACGCATCCGTACTTTACATTCTGAGCAAAGCGTGACGTTGAATCGAGAGGAAAGATCAAATTGCACAATTCATGCCATGATTTGATAGACGATAATGCTCTGCACAATTTGAGGTTTTTTCATTGTGGATCTTAAAAATTCCAGTCCTTGCCCTACTCCTTTTCTTTGTCACTTTTTTTTTTTTTTTTTTTTTTGGGGGGGGGGGGGGGTGGTTGGGCCTTGTCTTCCCTCTTGGCCCGAATCCCCTCCAACGTATAGCAGCAGTGGACGTAAATGATATCTTCACACATCGTTGACACAAATACATAGTTACACTTAGATACATCCGCGGATATAACCATGGATGGATGGCCGGGAACTCCGGTACCTGGCACGTGCTGAGCTCCACACCACAACGGATGGATAGTTCGGCACAACACTCCCAGGCTCTTGAAGCTAATGAAACGCACCCACGGTCGTGTTTTCCTTCGTGAAGTTAACGCCCAGGATTACTTCGAGTTGAGAAGAAGGGGTCGGAGCCGGAAATACGAGGGGTCAGTCAGGTAGGCTATTATTATTCCTCCGTGTTGGAGGGGTATATTCGTCGATCTTATGAAGGACTGGATGAAACATAACGTCCACTTGGATTGTTGTTGTTGTTGTTGTTGTTGTGAGCTGTCAATGTCATAGGAGCAGTGGAATAACAGCACGTTGGGTTAAACATAATCTTTTCATATTTACAAATGAATGTCATAGTTTTTATCAATCTCGCAAAACTCGACTGTACCGGTGATGCTGATTTTCGCTCCTTGCACAGCATGCTCTTATCTCTGTTCATACGAAGAGGAATCGATGACTTCACCTGTGCTGCAGTGCAAGTGCTCTTGTTGCAACCATTAACTTCTTCCTTAGTGATGAGATAAGGCCTTGTTCAACGTCCCGTAACTATGCATGACGGACTGCAGGCATAAGCATGACAGCCGGAGGGCATGAGTGTTGCAACATCAAATGTGGATGTTAACCAGATGAGGAGAGATCGACGTTGGTAATAATCGGAGTCAGCAGCAGCTGCCAACCACGACTAAACCCGGGGATTTGTGAGCGGATTTACGGATATACGTAGATGGCAACTCCAAGATCTTCAAGAAGCCATCCATCCATCCATCCTGACTTCATCAACTCCCCACAACGTGCGTCCAAAATACAACGACCTGAAAGAGACATCACCATATAAACCCCAACACGATAATAAATTACTCCCTCTTGTACTAACCCGCGCAAGCCCCAATCCTTAATACTCCGTACAATACCAAATCGTCCCGCACTGACCAAACCCACCCGGTACTGTAAAGTATTGTCCATACCCCTGATAATTTAAATTTGGCTGAACCTTGCAGCCCGGGTACCTGGTGCCATGCCTAAAACAGGCTGGCGACAGGGCGTGGGATTGGCTGGCCACAGACGGAACAAACGTCAGGCACACTCTGTTGAATCTTGCGGCTGTTGGGCGGTATGAATGGCTGAGACCCCGCCGAGTGCCAAGCGACTGGGCTGCCTGGATTGGCCGGCTCTCGCCTCCCTGGTGGTTGAGTGTTTCTGGCAGGCAGCTCTGGTTAGCTATAATAAATTGTGGGCTTGGTGGGTTTGTACCGTACTGTACGGAGTGGTAAGGTTGTTGCGGAGCTCAGTATTTCGGTATTATTCGATTTCTTCGGTGAGCTGTAATCTGTGTCCAATGGAATGCTGCTGTAGGCGATCTGTTTCTGCTAGATCTGTGTTTGATGATTACCTCTCCAGCGTACCGTACCGCGTCCATACGTTGTATTTACCCCCGTCTCGGCCCGTCTTCGCTTGCTCCTTGTCCAGGTTTGTCATCTCACGTCTCTCTCTCTCTCTCTCTCTCTCTCTCTCTCTCTTTCTCTCTTTTCCTCGTCAACCTCAACCTCATCCTCAACTTCAGCCGTCTCTGTGCCTCGAGGTTCCACCATCGCGTCTGCTTTCTCTCCCACGTTCTTTTCATTCACTCTCTCATTCATTCATTTCTTGGTTGTTTGCCTGGGTGCTCGTAGTCCTCCCTTCCTCTACAATTACCCCTTTTTTAACACTCCTCCCACGAGACTCGGTTAGTGGCATCCACCCCACAGTCCTTTTGTTACAAGAGCCACGCTTGAAGTGAGCCCTTCTGCCTGAGAGAACACGTAACCACACAGCCGGAATCACTTTCAATCCTTCGTGATCTCTCCTCTACGTGTGTATCTATGCGTATCACGTCCGCGATTGATTCAAATCCCCCATTGAATACGCAGAAAGAGAGCGGGTGGGAAAAGAGTCAGCAACATAAACGACAAGTTCTCCGACCCTTCGAAGTTTCCATCGAGAGCGCAACTGGTTGCTGCAAATTACATCGTTTCATTCCCTCGGTTTTATTGATCGATTGTAGTTTACCACTCATCTCCATCATCGCCAACCATGGTTCATCAAAAGCACAGACACAACGTCCGAAGCCAGGCCACGGCCAAGCGACAGGAGCCTGAGATCGTGTTTAAGACCCTGGCTCCCACCTTCGATGGCCCCATCGGTGGTTTTATGACCGAGGGTATGCCAGCACTGGGGTCTCCTGCACGACCTACAGAGCCACCAGAGCGACGCCCTCCCAGAAAACCCACCAAGGAAGCATCACCTCCCAAACCTGCACCGGAACCAACAACTGCGGCAAAGCCAGTTACAAAGGCCATGCCGAAAGCAACCGATTCCATCCCTAGTACGTTGGCAAAATCAGTCTCCAACTCTTCGTCTTCAAGCAGTCTCCCTTCAGCCACCGGTTTGGATAAGCTGAGGGAAACCAGTTCACCCTCCCCAACTGTGGGCGCTTCTTCTTTGGCGCCATCCTCGTCGTCCAATGAATCAGGAAGAGGCATGTCAGGGGGTGCAAAGGCAGGGTTGGCAATAGGAATCCTCCTCATTGTTGCATTGCTTGCGGGTGTCGCTTTGTTTTTCATTCACAAGAAGAAGAAGCGAGATCAGGCATTGGCCCAAGTTGACAATGAAAAATCGTACAATGAAAAGCCGTTCGTCGCAGCTAACGCAGCGGCTGCTCCTCGTCCTATTGACGAGGATCCTCTGCCCCTGACGCGGACAATGACCACTCCAACTCCACCGCAGCTCAACATTAGACCCGTTACAGAGTTTTCGCCAGATTTTGCTCCACCTGCCCTGACTGCCCCAGCAGGAAATGCATTTGGAGCCACTCTTACTGCTGGCGCTGTTCCAGCACGCAATCTTACTGGCGAGAAACCATCACCTCCGCCAAAGACGCCTCCCAATGATCCCTTCACAGATCCAGTCAATCCATTCGATAGCCCTACACCTGTATCCGTCCCAGCAACCCCTCTAACTCCAGCTGCTCCTAGGCGCGCAGATGCCGGCACGCTTTCTCCGGCCATTTCCGGTGCGCGTACACCCTCACCCGAGATGGGAATTGCTGCGACTGGCATTGCTACTGCTGCGGGCACAGTTGGTGTTGTTGCTGTTCGTCGTACCTTAACTAGCGATAAATCGCAGGGATCCCCCAAGAACACTGCGAGTCCTGCAGGAGATGGACTCCCAACCAATTCTGCCATGGGTATGGGCTCTACCCCAGCTGGAGTTGCTGGAGCAGGTCCTGGTGCTGCGCCTACTGGTGCTCCCAATGTTTATCGGGTGCAACTTGACTTTGCTCCTTCCATGGAAGATGAGCTAGAACTGAAAGCTGGGCAGCTTGTGCGTCTCATTCATGAATATGATGACGGCTGGGTATGTTATTTCCCGTTGAACTCTCAACAAAAACAATACCACACCACGAATCTGAAAGTAAAAGTAAAGAACCCAACTGACAATCACCCCAGGCACTCTGCGTCCGCCTCGATCGCTCTAGCCAAGGTGTCGTTCCACGAACGTGCCTCTCATCCCGTCCCGTCCGACCCCGCCCACGCAACGGATCAAACGCACATTCCGGTCCCCGCGGTCCACCACCACCAGGTATGGTCGGACCCCCGGACGACCGTTCCATGTCAATAAGCAGCCAAGTATCCTACAGCCCTCACCCAAGTCCCGTTCCCATACCCAACCCGAACCCGTACCACAACCACACCTTCAACCAAAACGGCGCACCCTCCCCACGCTTCCAGGCCCCACAACAGGGCCGTCCAGCGTCACCCGCCGGTAGTTACCGTACATTCCCTCCCCAGCAGCAACCAGGCCACCCGTTATCGCCTGTGCAGTTCCCTCAGGTTCCCCGCTCCCTATCTCCAGGACCAGGAGGACGGATTCCCCAACCACGCTCGATGAGTCCTGGTCCTGGTGCCTACAGACCAGGGCCCGCTGCGCAAATCCCCCAACAACGTTCAATTAGTCCTGGCCCGCGTGGACAAATCCCGCAACCGCGCTCGATGAGTCCCGGTCCTGGCTCCTATGGTCCTGGACATGGACCCGTTAGCAGAATCCCACAACCACGCTCGATGAGTCCCGGTCCTTACGGGCCTGGTGGAATGCAGAAGCCCCCTACGTCTGCAGCCGGCGCTAGAAGAAGGAGTTATAGTACCAGTGCAGCTATGGCGGCCAACAATAACAGCAATGCTAGTAATGGCCCGCAGACGCAAGCTTTGCCACTGGTGGGGTCGCCGCTTCAGCAGGAGCACCATCCAGGACAGCAGCCACAACCACAGGTACAGGCAGAGACACCAAAACCACCAAAGACTCCGCCCATCACCACAGGTCCTATTGAGCGAAAGCCAGTTCCTAGTCAATCACAGCCACCACCAGCAGCAGCAGCAGCGCCACAACAATCATAATGAAGAAAGGTAGTTATTTTCATCCCCTGTTTGTTCCTGGACCTCGTTGCGCGAACCACATGCGAACTTTTATTTGTCGAATTCCGCAAAGTTATTAATCTCAACACAAATCTGTCTGCCCGAGGTTGTGGCCAGGGATACGACGAGTGACACCACAAGGTGTATTTGGATCTATTTGAGAAATTGAAGTGAGATGGCAAGTTTGTCAACCATAATTGGTCGGTCGAAGATGAGAGGAACAAGTGTGCACTAACACCCCAACACGAACTTACCACGGGCTTTTCCAATGTGAGCAAGTAATTTATGGTTTATAGTTAAGATTGTGGATGAATCCTTTTCCACTTTCTCTCGATTTTTTCACCCTTTTTATTTCGTTGTCCATTTTCTCTATATCCCAACGCCCTTTCAATATATTTATCTTTTCCATCTTTCTTTTGTTGTGTACTCTCGATATGTATGTGATGTATCTTCTCTCTTGCATTATGTCGATAATATCCCCTCCCCGTTGATATTGACGATAAGATAAGATAAAGATAACCCCCGTTTTTTCACCTTCGTTGAGACTGGGTTGATAGTTGACCCTTTTGAGAAATAGAAGATGCGTGAGATGGTTCGTCTGTATCAACAACCTGAACCCTTAGTTCAACCATTTTCATCTCATCAGCTTTGAAGAACTTTCAAGCTGGCAATGCCGTTCCTCCCCTTTCTTTTTTCCTTTCAACAATAATTTTCCCATTTCTCGTGTACTCTCACCTCCTGTATCTTTCATATTTTTTTGATATTCTCCCGTATTTTTACCTGATATCTCAAATTTCCTTAATCTTTTTTCCTCTTTAGTTTCCTACTTTTCATTCCTCACACTCTACCTTCTGCCTACCCCCGACTCCCACGCATGTTATAACCCAAGTTCTGTAGAGAGGCTGAGTGATGAGAAAGGCAGAGATTGTCACTGTAACCTTTTTCAATTTTTGTTTTTAATTTGAGGCAAGTGTGATAAATAAATTGCCCCCTTTTTACTTCCTCTTTGTTAGTCTTCGAAGAGTTTCCCTTAGCTAAGGTTATAGAGAGATGAGATAACGGAGATTGGGGAAATTGATTCAAGTGAAAATTGTAGAACAACTGTGAAGAACTAAGGGGAGAAGAGTATAGATAGAAAATCATGTATTATCAATTGAACCACTAGATAGTTTAGCTGAATGTATTTTGTTTTGATGTCGTGACATATTTTCATACGCACTAGATATCTGAAGAAGTTGTTGGATCCGCGTACAGTAAACACATCTGAAACGATTCGCTGTTGGGAGTTTGAAGGAACGTCCATCGTCACGTGACCATTGCAACATGTCAGTACTCCGTACCCTGCTTCCAACAATTGCCCAAATTGCCACGAACTCACAAGACTTCGATTCACTATAAGTGAATGAGCTGTCATGAATCGATCCTGTGTTATCCGTCGTTCGTGTCCTGTCGCTCTCTAAAATTGTATGGAGTCGCTTCATGGTCTGACTAAAGAGTGGTATATGTCCAAGTTTATATATATATATATATATAAACATATAATTGGAGAGGGTTTTTATAAAGTAGAGGAGAAAACGTTAGACTTTATATAACTATAGATAAATGTACGTATTTAGAATGGGGTATCAGGAGATGTATGTTCCATACCATCTTGCAATATGCTATATGCATATCCAGGACAAAGATGATCATAAAAAGGGATGTATATAAACTTACAATAATGAAGAACATATAAGTATAATGGAGAGTAAAAGCCTTCCCATGTTGCTCCGAGATGGGACCAGAATACAATCATACATAACCAAACAATCCAAATGAGAAACTCCCAAACGCCATGGAGTTTATGTGAATGTATACAGGACATCTTGGAATATCAAGCAACCATAAAGGTAAAGACTCACAGATGGGGAACTCCAGCACTCGCCAGTACTAGATTGATAATACTCACGACACCCTCTCCCAAAATAAGACCAGACGCAAGAATCACAACTGTCGATCCCGCTTCTGAATCGTCATTCTCATCCTGGCCGTAGCCAATTGCAGCATTATCTCCCACACCACCATCCCCATCACCACGCATAACAGCAAAGGAGCCCGATCTCCCAGATGGTAGCTCAGTCGCGTTATCGTCATCGTCTCCATTATTCGACAACGTAAGTAGGCGGGCATGACTATCATCCGTACCATCACTTTCCGAATGGCATCTTCGTTGGCTGTGTCGTTGTCGTTTACGACTCCACCACCACGCGATAACTCCCCCAATGGCCCTGGCCAGTGTGAATGATGGCACATTATACATACCCACAGCAACTGCAATGCCGCCTGGTATCCATGCGCGCCATGGTGCACTTCCCCTTCTCCCCCCAAAACCACCTTTTCCATTCGTAGGTACCGAAAACGAAGGTGACGCGCCAATGATTCTCAAAATCGTGGTGGTGGCAAACATCAGGCCAGCAATCGCGGCTACAGGCCATGCCATGGCTGGCAGGCCCTGTCCCGTCACTAGTCGCGCGGTGAATATCCACACGTATGCCGTGGGTACCTGGAACATGGGGCTAGGTACGTCGTATACAGATATGTACAATTTGTACACCGCAGCGGAAACCACAGCGCCAAAGAGGCTGCCGATAACTTGTCCGTAGAACTGTGCTCTGGGGCTGGCACCCAGCAGATGGCCAGTTTTGAGGTCTTGCATCATGTCACCGGCTTGTAGAGCGCCGGCTTCGGAGACGGCTCCGGCTAGGAGGTTCGTGACCACTGCGGTGCGACGGGTGTGGCTGGAGGTCGGGGTTACAAAGGCGAAGATTAACTGGGTTAATTTGCTGATCCCGGATACGGGGTTGAGGTCCGTCTCGCCTTGGGCACGAACGCCCATTATGGAGAGGAACAGGGCCAGAATGGTGGCGAGGGTTGAGAGAGCAGGGTTGATAAGGCTACCAAAGCTAATGTGCATGCATATCACGTTGAGGAATAGTGTGAGCGGGAGGAGGATGAGTACAGTACCTGTGGATATGAGCTCGGACGATGGGGCATCATACTCTTCGTGCTCCTTTGTAACGGAGTGGTTAATAGCTGTATAACCTGTTCGGCGAGAAGAGAATGTCAAAAGATTCCGCCAGAAGTTTTTCCGGGTTATGTTGTGCTGTATTTTCACTAGAAGACCCGGCCCGTACGTGATAAATGGTCGGACAATCAACCAGCCAAGGCTGATGATTGAGTCCGCGAGCATGATGGCGAGGGAAACCCAGACAATCCATCCTTTGCTGCCGTCTTTCCAGCTGTCGACAGGCCCAGGAGCCCATCCCCGATGTTTGGCAAGTGGAGAAAGTAATCCCCAACCCAAAATCGCCCCGATTAACATATGCAAGGACGTCGAAGGTCCCATTATTATACCCTGGCCAATATATGCTGGAGAAGGATTTAGTGTCCACAACCAGTGAGTTGCAAGTGGAGACCCAAGAATAGGAAGATCGCGAAGATGCGGGATGAAATAGGAGATGAGAGTCTAGAAAAAATTATATCAGGAGCATATCAAAGAAAACCGAACCGGGAGCCCTCTTACATATACAGCAGATATCCCAAATGCGTAAGTCAACAATTTAATCTTCGCCTTCCAATCTTTCCTCCTATCCCGCTCAGCAAGCGCAAAACTCGAAATCGAATGCGAGGTGTCCTCCCTGTCATTACGAGATAGCGATTCCTGTTCATGTGCCGACCCCGACCTCCGCCTCTCTCTTTCAGCATGTGCCTCGGTTCCCTTCCCATTCTCCTCTGTCTTCCCACCGGCATGTAGCACCCTGATTACCAACGCCGTCGCCGTCCCACTTGGAAACTTCAATTTCTCCCTCACAATAACATCCCTCCGCAACGGCACCGCAAACACAACCCCAAACAAACAAACGCCCAAACTCCAAACAACCAATTTCCAAAACGACAACTTCAAAGGGCCCCCTTCACCTTGTCCATCATCGCCTCCATTCTTCCCATCAGGTCCCTCCCTTAGCAAGAACTCCATCGCAGGGATCACACCCACAAACCCACAGCCCAATGGCATTGTCCCCACAGCCCCCGCAACTGTCTGAATAAGAACATTTTCGATTGGTGTGAAGGGGAATGAGAGATGTCGGGCCATGGACTTGAAGACGGCAAATCCGATCAGAGCAGACGGCATTGCCATGCCGCTGATCCAGCCCGTCTGGAGACCGAAGTATGTGTTTGAGAAGGTGATGAGAGTACCGATTGCGAGACCCATGAAGAGGGATCGTGCGGTGAAACTTTGCGGGGAGGTTCGGGGGCGTTGCTGTTCGTCTGTACGGGGATTGTCGTCCATGTTCTCATTGTCAGAATGAAAATAACTGACACTATCATCGATGCCGTCATGGTCAAAATGTGTCTCTGTGATGCACCTCGATGACCCTGAGCCCGAGGACCGGGATTGTCTCACAGAATCACTGTGGTTAGACGGAGACGGGCCAGCCATCTTGAAAGGACCTGAGTGAGCACAGCAGATCGACGGAATCTCCTCCGCCAACGCTCGTGGAAGCTATGTGTTATAAAATCCCGACAGAGCGTCTAACAAACATGACGAGTTTAACTGCGCTGAACAAAAATATGTACAAAGTGCGAAGTGTTGATATAGTATACATGAAGATGATGATGCAAGGATAACCGAAATAGCAACCCAGGATGGTATTACTAATATTTTGATGTAACCACTGACGTCATGGTGCTCGGTGTAGTTTATCCGATGGAGATATGCCCAGCAGAGAACGGGAGAGTTTCAGGTCTCTCTTGTGACGGAGAATAATTAAGTATGGGTATACTAATATACACGAGCTTCTAGATTAGCAAATACAATAATAACCTGGACAGTGTCCGGAAGAGATGGATTTCCTTTGTAAAACAAGGACAAAAGAAGAGTACACGCGTGAATGAAACGAGCTCCCCATATGAAAATGCACCCCGAAACGGACAGTTAAATCATAACCCGAGCATAATCTAAATGAAGTATCCCCTTCTAAATACTGAGATGAATTTAATCAAAAGCCAAAACTATCCAACAATGAATTGGAATCCGGTTCCTCAAACATAGACGGGGACCTATGCTTCCCATTCTTTGGACTAATTTGACTCTTCAACTCCTCCTGTAACCCTGACGATAGTGGCATATCAGCAACAACTAAACTGCTCCTCCGTTTCAGCAGCTTTCGCAGATCCGGTGTTGTAAATGAGAGAGGTGTGGGCTGATCCTTTCTGGGTTGAGGAGACGATTTAAGGAACTCCCATTCTCGCACGAGGTTGAGAGCGAGAAGATCGCAGCCCATGCGGTCATATAGCCGGGCGTTGCGCATGACAAATTCCCACTCGTCCCTGGCTGGGATTTTCATCGCGCCTGTAAGTGTTTGCATGGTCTTGTCGCGGAGTTGTTTGTAGAGGATGACAAGGGCAGGATCGTTGGATAGGTACGATTTTGCCTGTAGCGCAATTGTCCCAGGGGTAGTGGGAGAGGAGAGTGAGGATACGATAAGGGTTTCGATTGGTGACTTCGTGATTAAAATCATTAGTTGTCGGATTTCTAGAAGGCGGGGTTTTGTATTCATTGTCTTGCATATGATGGACTTACTATCAACGCGCGTACAGCCATATCTCGTCGATTTAATAACCAAAAGCCCCATGTTGCCATCCACCGATTTCCTTCAGAAGTAGCATTGACAAGAATTTTCTCTAAGATCTCCTTGAGCACTGGCCCATCATCGCCTTCGTAGGCTCTTGAAATCGTAATAGCTAACTGCACGTCCTGGAGTTGATTCATGCATACGTAAACAGCATCACGCAGGTGGTCTGCCAGCAGAAAGAAAGCAGCAGCATACTCTATATGTCATAACTGTTAGCAACAAGAAACACGGCTATGCAAGTATCTACAATATTTATTTCTTACCAAATCTCCGTTTCCCTAGCAATGCATATGCATTTTTAAGTGCCGCTGTCCTCCACCTCGGTTCGTTAAAGTTATTGCTCAATAGCCGCTGGGTCGCAGACTGTTCACGATTCCAGTTTGCCATTCGCCAAAGACCCTGGAGAACGTTCTTCTTCCTAAGCGCGAGGTAATAAAGGCTGCAGTCGATGGGATTCTTTTCGTCTGTTTTGGTATATTCGTTGCGCGCAATGACTTCAAGTTGGGTTCGCTAGGAGACAAAGAAAAGGAACGTCAGATAAAGCAGTCGCATGTCAAAGTTCAAAAATGTTACTAACCAAGGCATTCAAATCCGTAATCCACATGAATAATCCGCTCTCTCTCGCATGTTCCCAAAGCATTTTGCTATGGTATTGCCTGGAGACCAGATCCGTGAGGATCTCATGACTATCGCTGTGCAAAGCCCATACAATCTCGCGCCATGAGATAGAGGGCTGTTCTGGAAGACCCTGGCTTTTCCTTAGCATGTGTTGCCGGAAAAAAAGTATATACCGGGCAGCGTTGTCATCCATTGACCGACGATATTTGTCGACAGTTGCCACACATTCAATAATATCAACAACACGGAACTGCTCTGTACTTGTTAGTTGAGGCAACGCGACTCGCATCAAATTCTCATTCAGCGACCTTGCGAGCGTCTCATCCACAACAGAAGCTTCATCATCCGTTGTAAAGTCGGCATAGCGTGAATTCATTTCTTTCCAATTTACCTTTGCCAATATCTGGGTTGTTGACTGTTAGTTCACTCATTTTATCAAGCACGAAGTCCTCAGCCAACAAAAACTTACATCGTCATTTCGATATATATCTTCAAGCGGGATATCCAGGAATGCATCAAGTTCGTCCCCCTCGGTATAGAATTTAAGTTTTCGATAGAGACTTGTAAGAATTAGGTGTACCAAATTTGTCTTTCCGGAAAGAATGCATTGTGACAAAAACTGGGGATGAAACACTGGTAATGTGCCATTCAACCGACTAACAGCATCGAAAAGATCCACATACGTCTGACGCGCTGGGAGACGAAGATTAGTGACCAACCAGTTGCTGAGTTCGATATGCTTGTCATAGACAAATAGCTGATTGCCAGATCCAACAACAAGATTACCATTGCCAAGCCAGCAAGAGTCACCAATCGGGTGAGGTGTTAGATCACGTATACGGATTTCCCTGATCTGCGTCCAGGATGGCCCTGCGTCAAGGTAGTCATACCGTAGCTGGGACATAAGAACCACCTTGTGGGGAAATCCAACGGCCAGAATGGATTGGGTATGAGGTGTCGACGCCCAATCTAGATCCTTGATAATATCCTGTTGCGAAAAACTCTCCTCAAACTCCAACTGAGATCCAGTGGTATCCCATATCGTGAGTCGCGTTCGATTTTGGTCAACGATTGCTGCCTTTCGCATTGAGGCACCGCTAGCAAGTGACGGGTTACATATCCCAGTCTCAACCGTAGAGGTTAGGAGCCAATCAATTTTCTCGTACTCCTTATCAACTTTCGCCGTCCAGGTCCTGACTGTTCCACTGTTGGTGTATGACAGAGCTATATCAGTTGCAAAGAGATCGAGGAAACCGGAAATCATCATAGTAGAACCTGCTGGGTCGATTGGTAAAATATAAGCCACATCTTCATCAATACCGAGATTGAACGTGCAAAATTCCCGCATCTTAGGACAATGGAATCCATTTGCCCCATTCGCAATAACATGCTCTTCTGGAAGCCCAATTTCCCAAGCAACTCCAGTCATATCGGCGGCAATTGCTGCCACGTAGACGGTTGAACTGTTCTTCTCAGTAGTCGGTAGGAGTAAGACACAAAGTGGTTTCGACGCCAACCTGAAATCGCATGTTGCCACCCTCTCCGCATATAATGAGCGGGTATCCCAAAGAGAAATGCTTTTGTGGTGTAGATTTATCAGGAATTTCCCATCACCAATCAAACAAGTGCGGTGAATATGAAGATCTGAGTAGAGAGCACTTTGTCGAACAAGAACAGAACCGGAACTGCTAGCCCTCTGTCGCCAAACCGTGGCCTTGTTATCGTCAGTGCGCGAAACAAGAACTTTCCCACTGACATTCCGTACTATCTTCTTGACAGGTCCTGCATGCCCGGACCATACTGCTCTGGAAGTCAACCGCCTCTTTCGCTGCGATGGATCAAACAACACCTCCGCCCTGGAGTCAAACCACTCAATCCTCCCGTCAAAATAATGGACCAAAATCGTGAATGAGTCCTCAGATTCTCCACCAGCAAAGGCATAAAATTGGGCATAGTCATCACTTGGTTGAATGCCTGAAGCAAAAGATATGTTCAATCCTTCCACATGCGTTATATTGAACATATTCCGGGATGACCGTGCTTTGCATCCGACATTCTCAAGTCCCCATGCAGACATATGGCCTCTGCCATCCATGACAATACACACTTCCGGGCTCTTAGTTGCCACTTCCACAAGATGCTCCAGCGCAGGATTATGCCCTTGCTGTGCAGCCCCGGACTGCACGGCATGTTCCGTAGCAACGGAAAAGTCCCGACCGTCAATTATGAACCCATACCTCCTTTTTCCAAACTCACTATTATCAGGTTGCCTTGGCTGAATCGCATCAACCATATCGATCTCTGTCCAAAGTTGTAGCGCCGACATGGAACCTGTCCGATCCATGGCCGCCCAAACCCGTATTTTATTATCCGCACATATTGTATAAAGAATATTGTCCATGGTCTGTTCCGGATGTTGCGGCCGCCTCCAGTGCATGCCTGTGACGGTATCTGGGTGAGGAAGGTAGGAGATCTCGAAGCGGACATCGTGCGTGTTGAAAGAGAGTCGTTTCCATACCTTGACCAGACGATCGTATTGGCCCGTGGACGCTATCAAGCTCGCATCGTGGGAGAATTGCGCAAATTTGACCGGATTTGCGACGTCTCTCGTCCAGATGATTTGCGGCTCGTCCGTGAGGTACCAGAGAGTCAGGCACGAGTTACCAGCCAGGAGCTCATTGGCTGCGCCCCATGATAGCACATTGACTCTCCCGTCGTCGTCCGGTGCGCGAAACGTATGGCATAAACTCCACTGATTATCACGTTAGCAGCTAATTACCCTAATACTTAAACACCCCGCTCCCTTCTAAGCCCATGTATAAAACAAACAGTATGTAGCGGGAATCTCCGGACCTTCCAGGTATCATCGCCAACCCGATATGGGTTAAAAACCGAAATATCCGGACCCCCAGCCACCGCAATTCTACCCGAAGCTTCATCGATTACGATAGCTTCGAGTTGTTCCGCGTCATCCAGGTAGATGGTCTGTTGGAGCTTGTGCGCTCCGGTGAGGATGACGAGAGCATTGCCGGAAATGTAGGACTAGAAAACAACACAGGCACGAAACCCCAACATTAGCAACATTTTACATATACGTCCTTCCTAACTCTGAGGAAACCCCAATCTCCCAGGCACATGTATACTTACAATTATGCGGACATTTTCGCACAGCGCGGTGCTCAGGGTCTGGAGCTTCGCTGGGGGTCTGCCAGGCAGCACCGCCCGCATAGGAACTCTGGAAGTCGCCAGTTTTGATGGTCGCGGCCTCTTATACCATCGTTGAGAAGAATACGGTTACGGGGTTCTGCTTCGTTAGAGACCGTAATTATCCAGTAGTACAGGTTGTATAAGGTTAACGGAGCTTGTTATCATAGGGAGAATGTGAAGTCAACCCGCTGTTAACGTTAGTTGCGTAGTCAGCATCCCTTGAGCTACCGACGTCACCAGAGAACACCAACCAGTTCCTCAAAAATATGGATTGTTGAGGCATCCAATAATGAAACAATATCCAAGCGCATTATCAACCATATATGGATGGATCCATGGATCTTTGCTAAGAACCGCTTAGTTAGTTATGGAATAGTTATCTAGAAGTCCTGCCTTCTTTGAATACAGAAACAACAATAAATACCCAGCGGGAAGCTCAGGCGACACACCTGCAGAGCCCATTAAAATACACTAAATAGCTAGACTAGAATCCCTCTTCACCTGAACCACTCATGTGCACCTCTCCATGGCGATGGGAATCAAAAATAATTTTTTTTTTTTTAAAAAAAAAAAAAAGTCAAATCCCGTCAAGAAATCAAAAAGCAAGGGCAATCCGTCCTGCTCTATTCTGGTATATAATAACCCAATGAACCAAGACCGAGAACAAGGGCCCGAAAACACCTTTCAAAAATCACATATATATATCCCATCCAGCAACCAGGAGTAAAAAAAAAATGCCAAAAACCACCAACCCTACTCCAAATTTCATATCATATCATAGGGGTGAAAAAAGAAAAAAAAAAGAACAGAAAAGAAAAAGAAAAGAAACCTTAGTTGGGTTTATTCGTAGATCTTTTTATTGTAGGAGAGAGAGGTTCATCTTCATCCACATCACCATCCTCATCACTACCACCACGCTCTTCCTCCTTATCGTCAACAAACCGTACATTAGCCCCCAGCGAACTCCGCCGAATATTAACACGTCCTCTCGCCGGAAAGCGTCGCGGTTCTGTCCGCACCTGCTCCGCCCTTAGCCGAGCCGCAAATGGAGTCCTAATAGGCGTAGCAGGAGTCGTAGACACTTGCGCCAGAGCTCTAGCCCGCGCAGCCCGCTTTGACGGGCTATTCAAATAACCGGGCGTGGGTATCGGAGTTTGTGCAGTGAATGTCGTAAGCGGGCCCAGCTCGCTGGGACTCATAGTTTGTTCCACCGAGGGCCATGGGTCGACGATGGGCTGTCTTGGTGTTTCCAGGACGCTGTAGCCATAGCCACTACCGGCTTCTCCAGCTCCAAGAATAGAGGAACGCGGCATGTCTTTATCATCTAGTAGTCGCTTTGTTTTGTCATACCAATGCCGGAGCATATTTCTGTAATGCTTGCGGAGATTTCGCTCATATAGTGCATCTGCCGTTTCTATAGTAGCTTTGATTTGGAAAATGCGTAGAGACAATTTGCGGAATTGCGCTGCAGCCACGGTGGAGACGTGTATTTTGAAAATCTGTGTAGCTTTCTCCTCCTCTGCAAGGATTTTAACGAATGACCCAACCATCCGTGTAAGGTAGCTGTAGACCAGCTGGCGATTGTAGTATATCTCCGCGTCACGATTGTTAGCTTGACGCTGTGAAGTTTCTGCTTGCCATTTATCAAACGCCTCCGTACCCATTTTGAACAACCGCATTCGATCAATCTCGACGGCCTGGCGTTCTAGCCGTGCAATAGCATCCGTATTGGATCGCCAAACTGAAATTGCATGAGCGGCTAAATTCTTCTTTATCCTCCGTCTGACAGTCGCGTAGGCACCCTGCCGTCGTTTTTTGGACGAATTCGCCGTAGCTGTGCTCCATTGCTTAAGACACATCGTCATCAGGAAATAGAAATGAGCATCCTTTGCCCAGGCCTCCATTTGCGCGATATGTTGCATACGATTCTTCCAGGCATTAAGAGTTTCCTGTTCAAGCCTTGGCGCGTAGAATACCTGTGCGACATGCTCCCGTCGTCGTTGGAGAGCAAGCTTCTCCCTCCAGTCGTGGAGTTTCGACCGAAGTAGTTCCCGTCCGCGATGGGCGTGGAACTCCTCCTCCTTAAACAGAAGGCGAGTATAGATACTTCGGGAATTTAAGGTCAATCTCTCAAACATCTCGCGCTTTAACCGCAGCTCATGGATTCTTGTCATCAGCCGCATCCGTGCCAGCAGCGCCCATTTATACAGCGTCTGCAAAACGACACGCTCATCAATGCGTGCTGAAAGTGCCAAACAGCGCAAGTTGTCATTCCATGTAGTCCATGCATTCCGCATGATCCGGAGACGATCAAATTCCCGTGCCTGTCTCGACATGCGCGCTTGTAAAGCCCATGTCTTGAGGGAGGAGCGGAGGATTCTCTCGTCAACGGATCGGGAGACTCGCACAACGATCGGCTCCAGATGTGTTCGAATGCGCCATTCAGAGAAATAATTTTCGAGGAGCCCAGTCCTCCACTGGCTCTCTGCTCTTTTATGAGCTGAGAGAATAGTACACGTCTTCTGAGAGCATTTCTGGAACGTTGCCTGGAGCAAAGCCCGTCTGTTGCTAGAATCTATCTCCTGGTCAAGTTCCCGTTGGGTTCGCAATGCGCGGAGCCATGCTAAAAGTGACTTGTGCTTTAGACGATAATCCCTCCATTGAGGAGCACGTCGGTCACAAAACGACCAGAACCACTTCCAATATGCCGACTTGATCAGGTTTTCCCGATAAACTGCATCAGGCTTGACTTCGTTTCTCTGGATTAGTTGAAATTTTGACTTCCAGGCTTTGAATGGCTTCATCAGCGCAAATCGCTGGGCTTTCATCTCGTTTACCGCCGTTATCTCCCGCCAGGCATTGAAATACTTGATGGATAAGATATGCTCTCTCGCAGCAGAGGTTCTCTTCACCTCATCCGAGGTAACATGTGCCCAATGAGTAAATGCCTTCGTAAGCAGATATAGATCTCGAGCTCGGGAAGCTCGTTTCTCCAGGTGTCTGAAGAATCGTTCCATCTGGGATTCCTGGCGTTTTTGTCGCAGTGCGCCCCGCCATATGTCGAAGGCTTGTCGATGGAGAGTGGCTGCATCATGTTTGACTGCAATGTTCTGCATCTCGACAAAGACTTGCTGTTTTCGCTTAGCGCGTGCCGCCCATTCATCAAATATTCGTCGGAGCGCGCTCCGTTGACGATACATATTGAATGTAGACGCATCCTGAAGAAGGTGGGAAAGAGAAGGCTGGTATAATAGTTCTGGGGGTAGTGGTCCTCTAGGTATAGGATCCTCATCCTGCAGAGGTGAATCGAGAGATTCAACGGCAGATGACTCGTTGCTATCGAAAGATAGCCGCTTTGGTCTGATATGGTTTTCGGGTTTGGCATGATTGATACGCCGATCCAGATGCTGCCCATCCAAATACCTTTGTGGTTCTGGGGTCTGGATTACAGTAGCACCAGCCTGTGATTTATGACGGCTATTCCTCTTTGTACCTTTGTCCCCTGTCATCCTGCCCCCAACTTCCAAAAGCGGGGGTACCGGTGCATGTCGAGGTGGCTCTCTTCTCCTGCTAGGGGATGCAGAAGAGGCTCTTGTACAAATATCCAGTCTCGAAACTGACAATCGTGAACTGGGTCGACATATACTCTTCTCTGTAGTTTCGTTGGCCGCATCGTATATCGAATTGAACGACGCTCTTCTAGAGCGCCGTCCTTTATTGGGGGTATATCCATTCGGTAGCCATTGTCCGGCACGCTCTTCCTTGACCTGCGCAACATTCGTTTCCGTATCCGCAGCATGACCCTGTTCAATTCCCTCTCTTCCCCCCCCCGTCTCATCACCATACTCAAGTCGAATGCCGTTCCGCAGCAAAAGCGTCTCAAATTTTTCATACAGCGTATTACCGGGTGCTGACTTACCCCCCAGCTGGAACAGGAAGCGCAGGTACGTCCGGTCGGTTTCGGCCTCGATGCCATTTTCCGACAACACAGAATCGTACGCGGCGAATACAGCGCGAAAGGGGAGTCGATCGACATTGGGCTGCTGCTCGGCGCGGGTGATGATTTGAAGGAGGATGTTGACATCTTCGCGAAGCCTCGAAGCTTCGAATCAGCGCCAAGCCTTCTTCACTAAATATAACGCGCAGACGTAAGCGGATGGAAAAGAAACAACTGACCTTGGTCTGAAAGTAATAGTTGCTCGTCCGGAGCGGTTTTGGGGCCAAGCGGTGGATGCATCGAGCGTTTTGCGACCTATGGCGCGTTGTTTGATACATAGGAGCGAAGCAAAACATTCATCGCATCGCCATGGGGCAAGGACAAAGGTGAGAGCAGACAATGAGCAGCGGCGGCATTCATGTTTCTACCCAGGCCCCTCATATAAGAACCAGCAGCGGGAGTTGGACGCAGAGAAGCATTATCACTATGATCATCTGCGACAAACCTTCGCACCTGTTCCTGCGCGGTCAACAGCCAGCGCGGTTCGCGGATGGCTGATCACTGTGCTTACATAAGCAGCCTCCCAGTTAAACTACCGCGGTCATTTCCAACCTCCAGAACGCTGGGGTTTAGGAAATAATTATTTCAGATCCCTCTGAGCTGCCTTACGATATGTCCGGCAGAACAAGACCAATCGAGAAATTTGCAAAAGCCGCTGCTCAGTGTTCTGCCCAGGTTCGTCGATGGCTTGTCTTCCTGTCTGGATTCTTCCCTCCAGAGCCTGCCTAGGTAACTATGTCAAAACTGATCTTGATTTCTCTTTGATACAGGCGACGGCGTACGGGAAATGTGTCTTCGCAGACTATAACACAGTACGAAAGGATATGTGCATACATGAGTTTATAAAGCTAAAAGACTGCTATCTGGTAAGGTCCAGATTCTGACCATATCACTCATTCCCTGGACTAACCTTGCATGCATGTAGGCTGCGGCTAAAAAGCTATAGATGGGGATGGAATGACAATAATATAGCTCTCATTCAGAAGACATTATATGATGATATGATACCCTAGACTACGTGTAAAATAGTGAAGTCAATTGGAGCCAAGAATGATTCATCCTATTCATGTCTAATTGAGTGAGAAAGAAGAAAACCTCAACACCAACTTCTTTAGATCTATCCCACATTCCCCCACCCCCCCGGTTCCCGTAAGTGAACCTTTTTGTATCATAAAAAGACCTCCTTAATTTTTGAAAACTTTTCATCTATTTGTAGAGAACACTCCCAACTACAACTTCACCAGTCTAAGCAAGAACGTCGCCTTTTGCACCTCTTGCTCCTCCTCTAGAATGATCCCCTCCTCCTCGCCATCAGGTGCCTTCCCTTCAACCTCCGTCACTATATGCTGGTCAATGGGTCTACGCAGCGCTTTTTCAATCGCCTTAGACTGCGTCTGGAACACATGCTCAATGCCAATGTTGTCCGGGTCAGAGAGAACCCGATACTCCATGCCCACGTCGTCAGTCGGAACCAACCCGGCCTTCTTCCGGAGCCTCTGAACCCTGTTCACAATCTCCCTGGCTAATCCTTCCTCAGCTAGCTCTGGGTATAAAACCGCGTCCAAGATGATGAGGACATCGTCATCGGTATTGGTTTCGAAATCCTTGGAAGATCCATCTTCTTTCAAACCACGCTTAATCACCAGATCACCGTCAACAAGTTCGATGCCGTCAACCACCATCTTCTTGTCAGCGACGAATTGCTTAACGTCGCTGCTTGAGAGAGATGGAAGCGCTTTTTTGACCTTTTGTGCATCTTTTTTCAGTTTCTTGCCTAGAACTGGCCAGTCTGCAGTGACACTGTATTGGACGTTATATTTATCCTCGTCAGATGAAAGTTGAAGGTCCCGAATGTTCAACTCTTCCAGAATGTAGCTTTCAAGCGATCGCACATCATCCAGATATTGCTGGTCCTGGTGGATCACAACGAGGGTCTTTAGTGGTGACTTGAGCCCGATGCTTCTGCGATCACGCGCAATACGACCAAGATCAATCACCTTCTGCATCCTACCAACCTGCCTCTCAATGACTTCGTCAAAAAGCTCTTCACGAACTTCAGGGAACGGGAGGAAATGGACGCTGCGACTGTCTTCCGCTTGAAGCGATTTAGGGATGTGGGGAAGAAGACGAAGGTAGATGTTATCGGTAATGAAAGGGATGAAAGGTGCGAGGCCACGGACTAGGGTATAAAGGACCTCGAAAAGGGTGTTAAGGGCGTGTAAAGTGTCGTCCAATCCAAGTTCTCCCTTCAGCCTCTTGCGGTTGAATCGAATATACCAGTTGGTGGTGTTGTCAATTAGTCCTAGGAGCCGTGGAACAACGGTGTAAAGCCGGTACCCAGCCATCTCCTGGTTGACAAATTTGAGCAGACTCTGGCAGCTGGCTAAAATCCAGCGATCCATGACATTGGTATTAGTCGCTTCAGCCGCAGGATCGAAGACATAGTCAACATCTTCAATCTTCTTAATCAGGGCAACCTGGGCTTCAAAGAATTTGTAACTGTTCCACAAGGGCAGGAGAACTTTGGCGACAATTTCCTTTACGCCTGATTCCTTGAATCGTAGAGGTTCTGCGCGAACGACGGGAGAGTTGATAAGGTACAGCCGAAGGGGATCGGACCCATAGCGATCCATAATGAGGGTTGGGTCTGGGTAATTTTTCAATCGTTTGGACATCTTTTTGCCATCCTCAGCAAGAACTATTCCGTTAACGACACAGTTCTTGAAAGGTAGCTTTCCAAATAGATGCACTCCAAGAACGGTGAGTGTATAAAACCATCCACGAGTCTGGTCAAGGCCTTCTGCAATGAAATCACCGGGGAATGACTTTTCGAATTGCTCCTGGTTCTCGAAGGGGTAATGTTGAGAAGCATACGGCATGCTTCCGGATTCGAACCAGCAATCAAGAACTTCATCGACACGGCGCAATACACCTTTTCCTTGCTTGCTAGGAATGGTAATGTGGTCAATCTTGTCACGATGCAGGTCAGTCAGTTCGCCGGTATAGCCACTCAGCTTTTTCAACTCCTCAACACTCCCAATCGCGATGATTTCTTTAAAATCGTCGCTGGCCCACAAAGGAATCGGGGTTCCCCAATATCGATTTCTCGAGATGTTCCAATCCCTTGCATTCGTAATCCAGCTGGCGAATCGTTTATCCTTGACAAACGATGGGATCCAATAGGATTTCTCGATTCCCTCCAGCATCTGAGGGATTATGGCGCCGATTTTGACGAACCACGAGGGCACAGCTCTATAGATGAGGGGGGTGTCAGATCGCCAACAGAATGGGTAACTATGGGTGACCTGGCCATCAACAACCAAGCGTCCAGCTGCTTTCAGGTGTTTTATAATCGCTTTGTCTGCTGCTTTTACATGCAGGCCGGCAAAATCCGGAACCTCAGAGGTAAAACAACCTCTCTCGTCAACCGGGTTTGGCGGCAGCCGGGTCTCTGTAAGAATACCATTCTCCACAGCCACGTTGTAATCTTCTTCACCAAAGGCTGGAGCCTGATGAACAATACCAACACCATCGTCCGCAGTGACATACATCGCATTGATAACCTGGAATCCTACCTCTTTAAACTCTTCATAGAAATAGTCAAAGAGAGGTTTGTATCTCCACCCTTTCATAGTTGATCCCTTGAGGCGCTCAAGAACTTGATACTTCGCCTTCTTCGGGTCCTTATACAGCGTCCCGAGTAAAGATTCGATCAGGAAATAGTTCTTCCCGGATGCCACATCGTGAATCTTCACGTATTCGAGATCAGGGTGTACGGCGAGCGCGACATGCGACGGCAAGGTCCATGGCGTAGTTGTCCAAGCCAGAAGGTTTGTCTGTGGGTCATCAAGGAGCGGGAAAGAGACGACTACCGCGGGGTCTTGCACATCCTTGTAGTTTTGCTGGGCTTCGAAGTTACTCAGGGGGGTATTGAGCGCTGTGGAGAAGGGCATAACTCTGTAACCCCGGTAAATCATCCCTTTATCGAAAAGCTGTTTCACTATCCACCAGAGACTCTCCATAAATGAAGTATCCATCGTCTTGGAAAGTCAGTATTACAAATGTTCAGAGCACTGCACAAAAGTTGCGCGACACGATTCTTTTAAAAAAATTCACCACCCACCTTGTAATCATTGTCAAAATCAATCCAGCGCCCGAGTCTGTCAATAATCTCCCTCCACTCCGTAGCGAATCTCATGACAATCGCTCTACACTCATTATTGTATTTCGCCAGGCCCAGTTTCTCCACCGCTTCCGATCCGGACATGCCCAAGGCTTTGTCGATTTCGTACTCGATAGGAACGCCATGGGTATCCCAGCCGAATCTGCGCTCGACATAGCGTCCCTTCATAGACCAGTATCGCGGAATGATATCTTTTATGGTAGAGGCTAGCAGATGGCCATAATGCGGAAGACCTGTCGCAAAGGGAGGTCCATCGTAGAAAGTGTATGGTTCTCTTCCTCGAGACAGTTCGACTTGTTTCTCAAAGGCGCCAATTTCCTTCCATCGTTTAAGGACGGCCTCCTCTTCTTTTGGGAAGTCAACAGCCATCGCCAGGTGATTCTCTATGGAGTAGTTTGTGGTGATTTGCTGTTGCAAAAGTGTGGTGAGGGAACGATGAGTCTTTTAGGTAAATATTTTTAAGAGTCAAGGTTTGGGCGCTTGGTTAGGGTTACCCCGCCACTGAGATATTCCAGTGGGATGACTCCTACTCGGCAGAGGCATAACTTCAGGACTCAGCAAATAATATCGGATAATATCAATATTTAAGTCATTGAGCTTGGTACGCAAATACTATCATATTCTCTAATCCTAGGGAAATATTTAGAGGCTAAATCCAAAATGATACAAACCGCTTCCATGTCATAAGCAGGTATCAATTAGCTACAACAGGAGTTAAAGGGGGGAAACTATATATGGGATAAGGATCAATCAATCGTTTTTTCCACCCCCTCCTCATCTTCCTCTCCGTCATCCCCATCTTCATCCTCAGATACTTCTACCCCAAGTTCCTTCAAACGTTTCTATGACTATGGGTTAGCGTGGGTTCTACACGAACATAATGCAAGAATGCGTACCTTGTCCTGGCCCCGTTTAGCCTCCAGGTCGCTAAAAACGATCAATAGATCCTCAAGTTCTCCCTGCGCAGCCTTTCGGGCCTCTTCCCTCTCCTTCGATTCGGCCTGTGCTGCTTCCAGCGCAGCCTGGGCAGCTTTGAGTTCCTTTTCTGCCTTAGCAACACGTTCATCGCACTCCTCAGTACGTTCTTCCGCGCGTTGATTCCGTGCTTCCAATGAAGACAGCTTCGTGGAATACTCCTCGTGGGCGGTTTGAAGATCCTGTATATGATCCTTACCAGCTTTCTCAAGGTTTGCTTCCAGTTCTTGTATAGTTTTTTTCAAATCTGCCACTTCAGCCTCGTGTCGCTCACGGATCTTTGAAGCCTTTTTCTCGTATTCCGCGGATTTCTGCTTGAGCTGTGTGTCAATATCCTGTAGCTGTTCCCCATGTTGTCGGAGGAGATCGTTTCGAGCCTGTTTGTTCCGCTCCTCAAGAGTTCTTATCTCCTCTTCGTGGTTTTTCTGGAGAGTTTCATTTATATTTTTGATTCGACCTAATTCAACCGCTGTTGAATCCTTTGTTTTTCTGTGGTCAAGCCGTTCCTGCTCCAATTTTCGTTCTAGGGTCAATAGGTCTGATTCCAACTTTTGAATTGCTTGGCTCTTATCCTCTACCTGCGCTCGGAGAGTGTCAACCAATTCACGCGATATTCCCTTCTGGATTCCATTGGCAATAATGGGTACCTCGAAGCCAGGGTCACGATCGATAGCACGGATCAACCGACTAAAATTGTCCTTTAAAAAGTTGATGAACGTTGTATCAAAATATACTTCGGGCAATCCATCATATCCCCCCTGCGCCGTCCGGGGTAAAACTTCAAAATCTCGCACCAGCGACAGCTCACGGAGTTTAGTGATCTTGTCAATGTATTGTTCCCTTCCCAGCCCGCTGGTCAATAGCTGATGTAGCGTAGCGCGGGGTATTGGAGAATCTTTGGTGGAGAATTCGTAAATTATGCCGAGCAGGACAGCTGAAAGGCCAGGAAGGAGTGCCTTGGATGAAGTATTTTGTTTCGTTTCTTGTATAAGCCTCTGGACGATGCTTCCCTCGCCGAGAAAATCATTAACAACATCTGGGTCTTCAAAAAGCCAACCGCTGAGAAGCATTAAATATCCCACGGAGATCCTTTCATCATCATTCCTTTGCATGACAGAGATCAAATTTCCTGCAATTGCTTGGACGCAGGTAATAACTTCTTCACCACTTGATGCATCGCCTTCAGTGACTTTCATAGCGAGAGCTTTCGATTCAGTGTCCTCGAAAACCAGATGGAACAGTAAAACAGCTGCAAGCCATGGTTGGTACGGGTCGGTATTCCCCCTGCTACCTGGTGGCTGGAGGAGAATTGTAAAAATATTAGGAATTTGGTCTTCTCCGCTGTTATGCCCCTCTATTGCCCTGCGGAGAAAATGTAGTCGAATTCCCGAATGGTTTGAGAAAAAGGCTTTGACACAGTCGCAGGCAGACAACCTTGCATCTAGAAAACTAGCCGATTGTGACTCGAGAGCTAGGCTGAGAAGAGCCTCTATTACATTATGTGTTTCATAAGTGCTTGTTTTTGAAGCACCATTTGTAAGCGGCTCTTGATTTTTTTTGGGTCCAACAGCGACATCTATATCTGCAAACTGTTCTTGCAACGCGCAATTTCCACGTATCAAATCCGCACACGTTGCAAGTGCCTACAATTATTGTTAGAGTTAGCAAAACCTATACAGCATGAGTCCGGGGAATAATTATATACCTTAGCCTTGATCCTGACATTGAAGCTTGGGTTGAATGCTGTGCGAAGAACCTGCTCCATAACCCCATTTTGCCAAAACGCAGACTGATTGACCGGCGTACTGATCCCCCCGCTGATAAGAAATAACTGTATTATAGCCAAGAGCCCCCATAAATTCTTATCCCGATGCTCCAATAGCCACTCGGAAAGGCCACCTTCGATTTCTTCCTCCTGGTTTGCCGCAACAAGGAGCGTTGCAATCCTCTTCACACAGCCTGTTTCACGGAAATACGACTGATTCGAAACATTAAGCGCTAGAAGGTTCCCTAAAAGCGAAAGACAATCTGCAACAACCATTGCTCCGTGCGTTAAAGAGCCCTCGGCCTCTATTATGGAGAAAATAAGCTCGAAGGCATTCTCAAAAGCCACAACCTTTTGAAGCTCCGCGGATGATGGCGTCAATGCGATTAAAAGAAGGAGGGCCTCTTTACTCCAAATCAAGGAGGAAATAAATCAGCGCCGTGCTCCACAAATGCGGCAACCATACATCGGGAGACAGCAAGATGAACGTAAACGTACCATTGCGAACAGGTTCACGGCTATCACTCAGAACACTAACCAGCCGCGATATTCCTAATGGTGCGGTAAAAATACATTCTTGAGTTCTTTCTGGGCGTGCGCTCGATATATGTGACATCAATTGAAGGGAATATAGTCGAGAATAAAACTCCTTGGCATCTAAAAGATCTAGGAGAATCGTGATGTTGTCTTGCCGCTGTTCAACCTCGTCAACAAACTTAAAGCTAACTGATATGAATCCCACTCACCTGTGTAAACTCATCCGCAAGCCAAAGTGCAATTTCATCAGATGCTTCCGGCTGCAATCGAACAGCGGTTAGCGGCCAAGTTTCTGCACCAATAAGTAAACAGTTAAAAGGGCGCAACATACACTGCTTTCATCCGGAGAAAACAGCATCAACAATGTCTCCAGAACCACCTTAATAGTATCGACATCCTCTGCATCGTTTCGCAGGCTGTTTATCAGCGGACGAAGGCCGCCGGATGCAACAGACGCAGGATATTCCTTTGCAAAGCTCCGGAGACCTAAGATCGCGGCTCGACGGTCCTCAAGCAACGTCGCGCTCTGGAGCCTGTTGCTCAGGGTATTGATAGTATCCGCAGCCGTCTGCCTCGCTGGAGCTTGGGACTCAAGAATTCGAAACATGGCACAGGTGAGCGCTCAAACGCATGATCGCTCTAAACCTCAGCAGCTGTTGTTCGGAACCATTGAACCCTTCTACTGTTTGAGGGCGGGGATTCTGATCAAATAGTTCAACGGTCGCTCTCCACCCATCGCCGTCCGTCCACAGTAAATAGCTATCACTGAAGTCGATGCCAGAAATAACCACAGTATATGCAATCCTAAGCTCAAGCTTAATTCATACGTTCTCCCAAGGCTGTGCGTGTAAATAGCTGACGTTCAGAGGTAAGACGGTGCTTTGGTACACCTGTCTCCCCCGACACGGGACAGAGATATCATGTGACCTTATCTCGGAACATCGTTTGTCCGCTAATTTGAAATCTCCCTAGATCTGCTCCTTTCCAGCAATAAGAATCCTAAAAATTGTTCAGGTTGTTAAATGAGCATTGCAACTTCAACCCTGCGAGACGGCTTCGAGTTGAACTGTCTTTCGCACTATCGTTTGTGTTGTTTTAAGTGGAAGTACTGGGCACTTATGGTTCCTGACCATATTTATTCATCGCAAAGCCCTCCATCAGCCTCGCGAAAACTCGCGCTGGATTGAGCCGTACCTGTTAGCAAAGATCTTCTTTTCTTTGTCGGGATAGAGTACTGCATATTACCGCCAACATGGGTGTACCAGCGCTTTTCCGATGGTTATCTTCCAAATACCCTAAAATCATATCTTCGGTCGTCGAAGAATTGCCGCAAGAAATTAACGAACAGGAGGTTCCCGTGGACACGACGAAACCGAATCCAAATGGCGAAGAAATGGATAACCTATACTTGGACATGAATGGAATCGTCCATCCATGTACCCATCCCGAGGGCAAGCCACCTCCTTCAAACGAGGAAGAGATGATGTTGGAGATTTTCAAGTATACAGATCGGGTTGTGAACATGGTCAGGCCCAGGAAACTGTTGATGATTGCTGTTGGTATGTTCAGCTACCGATGCGTTGGAATTAGATGTCTCCCTTCGAACCATTACATTATTATCGCATTATGATGATTCTGTTATCTCGGAGGGGAGTACAGCGTTTAATTTCCTACTCTCCTTTCCCACCCCTTTGCATGATATTATATGAACTTGTCCTGCTAACATTTTCTATTTTGTTATGCCCAGATGGCGTCGCTCCACGTGCTAAAATGAACCAACAACGTTCTCGTCGATTCCGCTCTGCCCAAGAAGCCAAGGAAGCTGACGAGAAAAAGGTAGAGTTCGCCAAATTGCTCAGAAAACAAAATGGGAAGAAGAGCTGTGAGGAGATTGTAGAGGAAGTCACTATGAAAACATGGGATTCCAATGTCATCACACCTGGCACACCTTTCATGGATATCCTTGCTGCAGCTTTACGGTACTGGGTTGCATATAAACTCAACACTGACCCTGCTTGGGAGAAGGTTTGTTTGCCTCAATCTTATTTTCATTTACAAGCTAAACCAGTTCTAGTTGAAAGTTATCATTTCAGATGCCACAGTTCCCGGTGAAGGTGAACATAAAATTATGGAATTCATCAGATCACAGAGGTCCTGTCCTGAGCACGACCCAAACACTCGCCATGTGATATATGGTCTGGTAGGTTTTTTCGTCCAAGACACACCTTTCCATACCAAATGACCGCTGACTGTTTATTTCTAGGATGCTGATTTGATTATGTTGGGACTTGCAACACATGAACCTCACTTTCGAGTTCTTAGAGAAGACGTGTTTTTCCAAGAATCTAAAGGGCGAACTTGTCATTTATGTGGACAAACTGGCCATATAGCCGAAGCCTGTAAAGGCACTGCAAAAGAAAAGAATGGTGAATTTGATGAAAAGGGTAAAGGAAGTTCCCTCAAGCCTTTCATCTGGCTCCATGTCTCTGTACTTCGTGAATACCTTGCTGTCGAAATGCACGTTCCGCAGCAACCTTTTCCCTTCGATTTAGAGAGAGCTCTAGATGACTGGGTGTTTATGTGCTTTTTTGTGGGAAATGATTTCTTGCCCCATCTGCCATCTTTAGATATCAGAGAAAACGGCATTGATACTCTGATTGCTATATGGCGCGACAATATACCTGCCATGGGTGGTTATTTAACCAAAGATGGTCATGTTGATTTGAATAGGGCACAGCTTATCTTACAAGGTCTGGCTAAACAAGAGGATGCCATTTTCCGTCGCCGCCGCCAAACTGAAGAAAGAAAAAATGCGAACGCCAAAAGGAGGAAAGAGGAAGAGAGAGTCCGGGAGGAAGAGCGTTCACGAAAACGACGTAGAAGCTCTCCTACTTATGGGACTATGAGAAATGAGCTCTCTCTACCCGCCCCGCCACCTCTCATGGTTCCTGGAAAGGGCAATCTTTCTAGAGCTGAGAGGGAACTCACACACTCCATGGTTGTGAACCGTGGCGCCATTTACAAGGCAAACTTGGCCAACAAAAGTGCGGCTGCGGCTATCAAAAGTCAACTCCTCAAAGGCGCTAGTAGTAATGGTGATCTTACTGGCGTTGATGCGGAAGATTCTGTGGATGGTCCACCCGACGCTTCTTCACCAACTCACCTAGGCAAAAGAAAGGCCGACGCTCTAGACACAGGAACAGAGTCCGAGACACCTTCAATAAAACCACAAGACAACGATGATGATCTACCTCCGGACACAGTTCGACTGTGGGAAGAAGGGTACGCTGATCGGTATTATGAGCAGAAGTTTCAAGTTCATCCAAAGGATATCGAGTTTCGTCACAAGGTAGCCAGAGCTTACGTTGAAGGCCTAGCATGGGTGCTTCTATACTATTTCCAGGGCTGCCCTTCATGGACATGGTATTACCCGTACCATTACGCTCCTTTTGCTGCTGATTTCGTTGGCCTGGGCAAAATGAACATTGAATTCAATAGAGGGGCACCATTCAAACCTTTTGAGCAATTGATGGGAGTCTTACCGGCGGCATCCAATCACGCAATCCCAGAAGTATTCCACGACCTAATGTCAGATCCGAATAGTGAAATCATCGATTTCTACCCTGAGGAATTTCCAATAGATCTTAATGGCAAGAAATTTGCATGGCAGGGGGTAGCACTTTTACCATTCATTGACGAGAAACGTCTCCTGGTTGCGATGGAGAAGCGATATCACCTCTTATCGAGCGAGGAGCATGCTCGAAACTCAACGGGGAGAGATGTGCTCCTCGTATCCGATCGACATCCGTTATACGACAATTTAACCGCGAACTTCTATTCCAAGAAACAAGGACTATCGAAATTGAAGCTAAACATGCGAGTGAGCGAAGGTTTGGGAGGTAAAGTAGAGCGCAACGATGCGTACGTTCCGCATAGCTCTCTTGTCCCTCCATTTGATAACGTGGATCTACCCACATTTGATGAAGATCATTCAATAAGGTAAGTTCTCTTTTCCCCCAAACATTGAAGCATTTTGGTAGTCCTTTCCTTAGTTTAACTCGAAGTAGTGTCCTCTACGATATTCCCAAATCCATGTACACTCACAAATCTATGCTTCTAAGAGGCGTAAAGCCTAACCCTCCAGTCCTCGATAAAGCCGACATCGAAGTCACCAGAAACAAAGCTCAGCGGTCCGGCCGCTCCTTTGGAGGAGTGCCGTTCAGCAATGGTAGGGGCAGAGGTGGTCAAATGTCATATGGCGGCAACCGGCCCAATAACGATAGGCCCAACCCCTTTGCCGCTCATATTAACCCTGACTTCGTGCCACCGCCAATACCGCCACCGCATATGAGTGGGCCCCCAGCGGGATGGGCCCCTCCACCCCCAGGGATTGTTGGAGGTGCATATGGTGCTTCTCGGTTCGACAGGCTCCCACAAGCTCATCCCTACCAACAACAACGGAGTCATAGCTATCCACATCAATCCGGACAACGTGGTCAGTACTCTCAGTCATATAACCAACCAAGGGAATACGGCCAAGATAGGCTATCTGGCCAAACCCAGCAATACGGGCAAAGAGGAGGGTATGGACAGTATCGGGGAGACCATAATACGTCCGGTGGTGGTGGAGGAGGAGGAGGAGGCAATGCAGGCCGAGCTCGGGGCGGCGGATCCTATAGAGGCCGTGGCCGTGGATATTACCAAGGCCAAAACACTTATAATGGCAACCGCAATGATGGATATGGGCGGTATTGATTGGAGATGTTTTCATTTAGTTAGATGATTGTTAATGTACTGTATTTGAAATACATATTGCTTTTTTGCAGCTTTTTTTTTTTTGGTTGGATGTAACTGTTAATTTGGGACGAATTCAAGCGCGATTCGAGTTCAGAAGTGTTGGGCACAAGTTGCCCGGGTAGCCGCCCCAACAGATAGTTCTAGCTAGCCTTTCACCTGAAGAGGAGATCCCACAAGAAGTTAAAAGGGATATAACTACTATGGAACATATCAATTATGGAAAAAACAGAGCTTAGTTACCGGATTTATATTCCCTCAGCCTACGTTTCGAGAATTGTATCGGGACGGTATTTTGACTGTAACCTGGTTGAAATTCGGTGTCATTGATTGAATTCAATGGCGCGACCCTAACCTACAAAATCAGTTATCTAAACTTTACATTAGTTCAAAAATAGAATAGCCTGGTGTTTTTGCGCCATATTAATACAGCGATAGGTAATTAACTAAGTTAACAAAACTCTCGAAGGGCTGGCTAACATTTAAATTACTGGACTCTAGAGCATTTTATTCCTTGCCCGATGCCTCGCGTAACTCAGAGGACAAAATTGGGTCACAGCTTGGGTCAACAACCGACAACTCACATCGGTTCTACGAAACTGGAAGAGATCGCCTTGAAAGAATTTTGGCCACTTGCAGTGTTCTTGTGTTCCCAATGTCTGTGTGGCGACTCTAAAACACCAGCCCGTTGCTTGTTCATCATCTGCAGCTTGAAAACTCCCCGCACGTCAGCTGCTGTGACAGCATCTGGTGTCACTTCATTGCTCAATTGACTCATAACCCAGCTCCAAAATACATCACGAGCTGCAGCATTGCTAATTATCACTGATTCCTTCATGCGAACGAGGACGTGGCGAGGAAGAATCCAACAACGCCGTTCCGGTCTTCCCATCCGTTCATAAACACCCATACTCCTCTACCTCCCCCAGATTCATAATCAACCATGGGAGTTCCAACCAAGATCAGCATTCTTGGCCGCGAAAGCATAGTCGCTGATTTTGGCATCTGGCGGAACTATGTTGCTAAGGATCTATTGAGCAACTGTGCTTCCTCAACCTACATCCTAATTTCCGACACGAACTTGACACCCCTCTATCTCGCAGGCTTCCAACAGTCCTTCGAAAATGCAGCAGCGGGGCTTTCTCCCAAACCTCGCCTTCTTACCTACGAAATCCCTCCCGGTGAATCTTCAAAATCCCGGGAGACCAAGGCGGAAATTGAAGACTGGATGCTTGCCCGTCAACCTCCATGCGGGCGAGACACTGTGATCATTGCCTTGGGTGGTGGCGTTATTGGAGATTTAATTGGATTCGTTGCTGCCACATATATGCGTGGAGTTCGCTTTGTGCAAGTCCCTACAACCCTTTTGGCCATGGTCGACTCGTCGATTGGTGGCAAGACTGCGATTGACACCCCAAATGGCAAAAATTTAATCGGTGCTATCTGGCAACCGCAGAGGATCTATTTGGATATGGAGTTTTTGAATACGCTACCCGAGAGAGAGTTTATAAATGGCATGGCGGAAGTGATCAAAGTCGGTGGATTACTCTTCCACAACTCCCCTATTTCCCTTTATTGCAAGCCCCTTTTAATTTCCACTGCTGACTTGTGGGTGCCCATAGACTGCTGCAATTTCCAGTGAAGAAAAGTTTGCGGCCTTAGAAAATGACGCTGACGTCATCCTAGCTGCTGTAAAATCCAAAAACACCCCGGATCGACTACGATTCAGTAGCATCCAAGAGACCCTGAAAAGAACAATTTTATCCTCCGCAGAATTCAAGGCTCAAGTTGTGTCAGCGGACGAAAGGGAGGGTGGACTACGCAACCTCCTGAATTTCGGCCATTCCATCGGCCATGCTATAGAAGCTATCCTAGCCCCGCAAGTCCTACACGGGGAATGTGTTTCCATCGGAATGGTCAAAGAAGCCGAACTGGCTCGCCATCTTGGAATTCTAAATAACGTTTCGGTAGCTCGCATTGCAAAGTGCCTGGCCAGCTATGAGCTGCCAACGTCTCTCAAAGATGAACGGATAAAGAGGCTGACTGCCGGCAAGCATTGTAGCGTGGAACAAATAATCACCTATATGGGTGTTGACAAAAAGAACGACGGGCCAAAGAAGAAAGTCGTACTTCTCTCTGCTATTGGACGCACTTATGAGCCCAGGGCGAGTACAGTGTCGAATGAAGACCTCCAAGTTGTACTTGCGCCAAGCATCGAAGTTTATCCAGGTTTCCCAAAATCTCTGAATGTCACCTGCACACCCCCAGGATCGAAAAGTATCTCAAATCGGGCCCTTGTCCTTGCGGCACTTGGGTCAGGCACATGTCGCATCAAAAATCTCCTGCATTCAGACGATACTGAGGTTATGCTTACTGCCCTTGAGCGTTTAGGGGCCGCCACATTCTCATGGGAAAGTCAGGGTGAGGTGCTCGTGGTCAATGGCAACGGTGGTAGGATGGTGGCTAGCCCCAAAGAATTATACCTAGGAAACGCTGGGACGGCCTCACGGTTCCTGACTACGGTCGCTACTCTCGCCCAAAAAGGGAGTGTCGCTTCAAGTGTCCTTACAGGAAATGCACGGATGAAGCAAAGGCCCATCGGCGATCTAGTTGACGCTCTCAAGGCCAACGGGGCTGATATCGAGTACCTCGAAAATCCGAAGAGTCTTCCACTCAAGATTACTGCTTCTGGAGGCTTTGCTGGTGGGGAGATGCGTCTTGATGCCAAAGTATCATCTCAATATGTTTCCTCATTGCTGATGTGCGCTCCCTATGCAAAAGAGCCAGTGACTCTACGTCTTGTGGGTGGCAAGCCTGTTTCTCAACTTTACGTCGACATGACCACTGCTATGATGAGGTCGTTCGGCATCGACGTCAAAAAATCTGAAACGGAAGAGCACACTTATCATATCCCTCGTGGTGTCTATAAGAACCCTGCGGAATATGTTGTTGAAAGTGATGCCAGCTCGGCCACATACCCCTTGGCGATTGCGGCTATGACGGGCACTTCCTGCACCATCCCGAATATTGGTTCCAAGTCCTTGCAAGGCGATGCCCGATTCGCCATTGAGGTGCTGCGACCTATGGGATGCACCGTGAATCAAACAGACTTCTCAACTTCGGTGACTGGAACTGCTGGTGGAAAACTCAAATCACTTCCTACCATAGACATGGAGCCTATGACTGACGCATTCCTTACTGCTTCAGTCCTTGCTGCCGTGGCAAGAGGTCAGGGATCGAATCACACTACACGGATATGCGGTATCGCAAACCAGAGGGTCAAAGAATGCAATCGAATTAAAGCAATGAAGGATGAACTTGCCAAATTTGGCGTCACTTGTCGGGAGCATGACGATGGTCTTGAAATTGATGGTATCGACCGTTCGACTCTGCGTCATCCGACAGAAGGTGTGTTTTGCTATGATGACCATCGCGTAGCAATGAGTTTCAGCGTCCTTGCATTGGTTGCTCCGCAGCCAACGCTGATCCTTGAAAAGGAATGCGTAGGGAAAACGTGGCCCGGCTGGTGGAACACCCTAGCTCAGACTTTCAAAGTGAAGCTGGATGGAAAGGAGGTGGAGGTAGAGGAGAGGGCAGAAACGAATGGCGTTGCTCATTTAGACAAATCGGCTGCATCTATTTTCATCATCGGCATGCGAGGCGCAGGTAAAACCACGAGTGGCGTATGGGTTTCCAAGGCACTTCAACGACCTTTTATAGACTTAGATGACGAGCTGGAAAAAAGTGAAGGTATGACGATTCCCGAAATGATCAAACAACGAGGCTGGGAAGGGTTCCGGGATTCTGAACTCGCACTTTTACGGCGTGTAATGACTGAAAAACCAATGGGATACATTTTTGCCTGTGGTGGAGGTGTTGTTGAATTGCCTGAGGCTCGAGAACTACTGACCCAGTATCACAAAACCAAGGGCAATGTCATACTTGCGATGCGAGACATTAAAGAAGTTATGGATTTCCTCAAAATTGACAAGACGCGCCCAGCCTATGTGGAGGATATGATGAGTGTCTGGTTGCGTCGAAAACCATGGTACCAGGAATGTAGTAACATTCAGTATTACAGCCGGATAACGCAACCCGATGGGATGGCGCAGGTACTTCATGGCTTCAATCGCTTTTTGAAAGTTATAACTGGACAATTGGACAGCCTTGCGCAGATGAGAAGGAAGGAAAATACTTTCTTCGTTTCGCTAACCTTTCCTGATCTCACTCCAGCTAGCAACATCCTGAAAGAAGTTACGCTGGGCTCAGATGCGGTAGAACTTCGTGTTGATTTGCTCAAAGATCCACAATCTGACAGCGAAATCCCCTCTGTGGACTATGTTGCTGAGCAAATATCCGTGCTACGAAGTCGGGTCTCAGTTCCTCTCGTGTTTACCATCCGCACAAAGAGCCAAGGAGGTCGGTTCCCAGATGATGCATACGATGCTGCCCTGCAGCTCTACCGCCTTGCCATTCGGATGGGGTCTGAATTTGTGGACCTTGAACTGTCATTCCCAGAACAGCTCCTGCGCACTGTAACTGAAATGAAAGGCTTCTCGAAAATCATTGCCTCTCATCATGATCCCGAAGGACTATTGTCATGGGCGAACGGATCATGGATTCAGATCTACAATAAAGCTCTTCAGTATGGAGACGTGATCAAACTTGTTGGTGTTGCAAAAACACTCGACGACAATGCTTCCCTGAAGAAATTTAAAACATGGGCAGAAGCAAAACACGATGTTCCCTTGATCGCTATCAATATGGGCTACAAGGGCCAGCTAAGCCGGATCCTTAATGGCTTCATGACGCCGGTATCCCATCCCAGCCTCCCCTTCAAGGCAGCCCCTGGACAACTATCCGCCAGAGAGATCCGAAAGGGTCTGTCCCTCATGGGTGAGATCAAGGCAAAGAAATTTGCCGTCATAGGCAAACCCGTCTCCTCCTCCCGATCTCCAGCAATGCACAACGCTCTCTTCAAACAAATGGGTTTGCCACATACATACGGGAGAATAGAAACAGACAACGTGGAAGACGTTAAGGAATTCATCCTATCCCCAGACTTTGGAGGTGCCTCCGTCACCATCCCCTTAAAACTAGACATCATGCCCCTACTCGATGAAATAGCTCCAGAAGCAGAAATGATCGGAGCAGTCAACACCATCGTCTCCGTCCCGGCAGCTCCAGGCGACAAATCCCAATCTTCACGCCTCATCGGCCGCAACACAGACTGGCAAGGGATGGTCCGCTGCCTAAGTGACGCAGGCGCGTACTCAGCTGCTACCCCCACCACCTCCTCTGCCGGCCTGATCATCGGAGGCGGCGGAACCGCCCGCGCCGCCATCTTCGCGCTGAATAGCATGAGCTACTCCCCCATCTACATCGTAGGCCGCTCGCCCGAAAAGCTGGCTTGCATGGCCTCCTCGTTCCCTGCAGACTACAACATTCGCATAGTGGATGACGTAAAGGCTCTGGAATCTCTTCCAATGGTGGCAATCGGGACGATACCGGGTGATAAACCGATCGAACTGCATATGAGAGAGGTGCTCTGTGAGATTTTGAGTTTGTGCGAGAAGGCTAATGTAGAGGCGGAGCGCAAGACTGGCATCACCCCAAAGCGTATTCTACTCGAAATGGCGTATAAACCTTCTGTCACGTCGCTAATGAAGTTGGCTAGTGATGCGGGGTGGACGGTTTTACCGGGTCTGGAGGTTTTGGTTGCCCAGGGAGTGTATCAGGTTAGTAAAATTCCTTGATTTATTCGTTTCTATTTTATGATTTATTGAAATATGGCTAATTTTTGGCGTGCGTTTTCCGAACAGTCTGAATACTGGACTGATATTACGCCCGTGTATGAAAATGCCAGGGTATGTCTCGTGTCTTTCCTTGTTGAGCTCTCCCTCTACTCCTTCATCAGTGTGCTTCTAGAAAACTAACCGATCATCTCCTTCTATACAGAAAGCGGTAATGGGCGTATCATCGAGCGATGATACCATCTCGTAAGACGGGATGCAACGTCTCGCGAGCTGTACGGACTCTACGTGAAACAGTTTGAGTCAAGAAAAGAAATTGGGGTGCCGAGAACTGGAAATTATTTCACCTTTTAATACAAAAGATGGAGATAGATGATTTCAACTTTTTCCTAATTACAGAATAAAAAGTTCAACATCCAGAGTTATATAAAAGAACAATTTCTCTTTACCTGAGCGTACTAACTGTGTCTCCTGCTCTAGGTGCGTGAGTATCTTTATCTGGCATCTCACATTATCTGTCAGATATATTAAAACACCTTCTTCCTCTCTTGGTTAAAGACTTGATTTATTAAGTTCTAATAATGCTTTTGTCAGCAGCATTTGCGTGTTTTATTTGTTCCTTTTTTTGGGGTATATACGTATATATGCCTTGTACTAGTTGCCCAACCAGTACAGATCCATCAGGAAAAAAAAGACAGAAATAAAATGTCTTCTTCTCAAAATATTCACCAATAAAACTTCGTTAAAAAAAAGTCCCTAGAATGCTCTTTCGTCTCTCAAGGTAAGGTTAAAACTCCCACGGAATGCTGCCAATGTTGTATACCCAGATATTGAATACAAAAAAGCTGCAATATGCAGAGACGAGGGGGAGAAATGGGATAGTGGGAGTAAAAGTGAAGCAAGAACTCTAGTAAACCATAAATGCCCACAAAATCCATATTCATATCCATATCCATATGCATTCGTACATGCAGAGAGCACATTCGACATTCCAAAATGCGTCCCTCCCAGAAGATAAAATTGCAGTTTCCCGCTGACAAATAAGATGCACAACACAACCCTCTCGTAACCCATGAACACCTCCCCATCATATAAGCATGAAAGCATCCCCCAAAAATCCTACCCTATACCCCCAATATACTCACACCCCTCATTCCCCTTCCCCACGCCCTCCCCACTACCTTCTCCTTCTCCTTAATCAGCCACCAACGACGCCTCCCCATTCCCATTCCCCTTCCCCTTCCCACTCTCACTCCGCACCTCCCCCTTCTTCCTCTTATAAACCGCCATCCGCTCCTCCATCTCCCTCCGCCACGAACACTCCTCCCGAAACTCACAAATCCTGCACTTCCACGCCTCCATCACCTGAACGCCACGCGCCGGCCTTTGCCCGCGCCACCAGCGCATTTCGTCAGCTAGGTAGTTGTAGAGGGAAGGAGGGTTGAAGAGGAAGGAGCGGCTGCCTAGGTGTTGCATTTGTTCATCGGAGGTGGTGGATGGGGTCATATAGGTGACTGTTAGGACGGGGGAGAGGAGGGTTGTTAGGGATGGGGTATCTTGGAGCAAGTTGTTGGTGGGTTGGGCTTGAGGATGGGGTTGAGGTTGAGGTTGAGATTGATATGGCATAGGTATTGTAGTTGGTGGTGTTTTGGAGTTTCGGGGGAGGAATGTAAGACGGAGTTGAGATTTCATGAGCTTCCAGAGGCTGGAGAGGGAGTTGTGTTCCAGGAGTATGGCCATTGAGTCTAGGCTGCTAGTGGGCTGTGATCCTTCTCCCCCGGCTTCTGCACCTGACGATGGAGGGTAATAATCCACGTCTAAATCATGTGACGCGTCGAACAATTCCTCATCAAGGTCGCCTATTTGGGCGAGGAAGGAGTCAGAGAATGGCTGCTCTGTTTGGAGACCATATCGTGAAGCGATGGCTTCGATGGTGACATCGTCTGTGGTAACGAGTCGGGTGAGGAAATGGTAGTATAGCTGTAGTTGGACGTGGGTGGGACGAAAGCTGGTGCTGCTGAGAGAGGGAATGGAACCACTGCTTTTCCCGCGCGTCTTGATGTCCGTGAGGTATATCTTCCCTTGAAGACTTGAAGGCGTTGAAGGTGTCGTCGTTGAGGGGGCCATGTTTTGTTCAGAAATCGGCACTCCTATGTCAGACAACCTTCTCCCACCACTAGCCGGAGATAGGAAGAATTCCGTAATGGAAGTCTGGTATTCCGGAAACAACGATTTAGACGTTCTAACATCCGCATAATGCGCCTCTGCTAATGCGTCTAGCTCATGGTCGGGACACTCGTAAGAGAGTTGGTCAATTACTCCCGTCACGATTTCTCCATCGACATTCCCCCAGACTTCGAACTCCCTCGTCATCCCCGAAACGCGGAGCGTACGTAGCCCCTGAATAACATTCCAAAGTCGTAAAGCCCATCCGTCTTCCTTAGTCATAACCTCAACAGGAACGGTTGTATGGACCTGTTCCTCCAACTCTTTATGCACTATGGTCCCCTGTTTCATAGCCGGTGTAGCCCTCTTGCGTCCAAATTTCGTCAATGTATACCAATACTGTAACTCGCACCAGGCAGGAGACACCAAATCCGTAACCGACAGAGCCTTTCTTGGCCAGGTCCGGAACCGTTCAAGGGGGGATCGCTTATCTTGAGCAACCAGACCATTCGAATCTCCATTCGCACTCGCCTTCTGTATATTCTGCTCTGCGGCTATCTGCTGCATCTCCCGCTCCCGATCTCTCTGTCTATCCTTCTGCCTTCCTTCGGGTGAATTTTCGTGCTCAGCTAAACGCTTGATTGTCAGAAGAGTCAGTCAGTCTTCTGACGGTAGCTCCTAAAAAAGAGATCAAAGGGCAAAGATTGGAAGAAATAAGAATATAGCAAGAACGCACCACCCCAACTGCCAATCCCCTGCTCCATGTTTCCCCTACCCCTACCCCTACCCCTACCCCTCCCATCGGTAAACAAAGGCATCCCCCGCCCAGTTCTCTGCGAACTAAAACTCCATTGTATCCTCCCCAAAACTTTATGTGATCTGCTACTCGACACACCCGCATAATCCTCAATATCCGGCAGCAGTAAGACGGGGATCTTCGGTATCTGGTCGGTTATCTCAGCGGCAGCGGCCGCCGCGAGAGAAGCACTGCCGTCTCCACTCGCAGAAACCGCGACAGGTGCAAGGGCAGGCGTAGCAGCTCCTGAAGAAGAACCGGGAACAGTTCCTGAATTCTCGTGATCCGCTCTGATCTTCGCCAGGAGCAGATTCAGCTCCTCCAGCTCGTCGGGGGAGAAGTCGGATCCGTAATCGCTGCTCGCTGCGCTGTCGAGGCTATTATCGCCTATTGGTGACTCTGCCTGTGATGCTAATGCTGTTGCCGGTGCTAATCTTAGAGGTGGAACCGTGGTTGAGACTGAAAGCGGGGCTCCTAGGAGCCGCTGCGGGAAATGTGGTGCGAGAGCAGAAGCGGGAGGCGGAGGCGATGTGAGGACGAAATTGTCTAGAGGGACTGGCTGGTCCATTTAATAGAGCAGCAAAATGTGCTTACCATGGTGATTTTCAATTATTGTGTGGCAGCTGGTTACCTGAGAAAGTCACCTGGAGTTATATCGAAGGTGTATATAGAAATTCTGCTTTGGTTCTTCTTGTTGCTGGTGGTTGCAAACAGTTTTTGAATTCAGTGCAACACTATTAACTAACTAGATAAGGTTAGTTAGTTAGTCAGGGATTCTTAGTAACTAACATCATATTGTAAGTTAACTAACTACATAGTAAGAAACTTCTATTAGGAATAAGCACCGAGTAAATAACCCATAGTTGTATTCAATAAGGGAGTTGAAATCATAGAATAGTGAATTTGTATCTACATCCCCTTACCCTTGTTTTCTCTATCTATCAAATCTGTGACTGCCTCCCACCATTATCCTGAAAGGATCATAACGAAACAACCAATAAGACGAGAAAAAATGGTATCACATCTGCAATGACCAGCATCTAAGAATACAACATCTGTCTCTCTATCCTGTCGACAGCGACGGGACGAGGAGCGAACTAAAAAAAATCAATAGAATTCCAACAACCCCCGTCTGTGAAATCATCTTAAAAACAGAATATCAAAATCTCTCAAAAATCAAACCGACACCGCAGGCGTAGCCAGAGTTGTAGCCCGTACACCTCCACCACTCCGCCGCCCCATCAACTCCTCCCCCTGCACTGCCCCACCAATATCCCGCGCCGCCTTCTGGTTCAACCAGCTCAAATATGTCTGCCAACCAACCGCAATGCTCCCCGCAAAAATACTCCGAAACTGCGGATCAACATACATGAACATAAACGCCGTGATGGCGGGCCAGAGCTTAGCGCTATTCATGACGCTGATGGGGAGAGCGAGTTTGAGACGCTCCCATGTATCTTGGAGGGATGTGCCGGCGAGCAAGGATTGCATGGAGAAGAAGTATGTGTTGAAGATTGGGGTGAAGATGGCTTGGTTGATGGATACCTTTGTGAGGATTGACAGGAGTTTGGAGCGGGCGTAGTTGAAGTTGTTGTGGAGGAACATGAACCTGTAGGGGTTAGTTAGATAGGTGGTAAATATATGAAGGTAAAACAAGAGGATAAAGCATCCGAGTCAGAGAGATGGATTGTGGGCCCGGGGAAGGGGGGGGGGAAATGAAACGAAAAATCGAGAGAAAAAAGTAAAATAGCAAAACTCACCATCGATAACTCGGCACGGCAGCCACAGCACCAACTGTCAAATGTCTCACCGTCCTCAACGGATCATATCCATACCGCGCCATTAACTCCTCTCGCACCGCAGCTCCATCTCTATCTCCAGCTCCATCCCCTCCTATCACCCCGTCCTTCCCCTTCTCCTTCCCTGCATCCTCGACAACAAACTGCGCGCTCAAATCCCCACACAGGTATATAAACAACGTACACCACAACTGCGTCCAATAAGGTCTGCGACTCTGCATGCGGCTGTAGAAATCCGCCGCGCGTCCTATGGAGGTTGATTTTATGATTTGGCGGAGAGTTCTGGGAGGTGGTGGTAGCTGTGATGGTGTCGATGGTGTAGTGATAGTAGCGGTGGTAGCGGTGTTGGTATTATCTGTAGTTGTCGTGCTAGGGGTGGGGGTTGGAAAGGTAATAGCGGGTATCGATGCGCCAGCAGATATCTGAGCGGATGTTGGGTTGATGGTGGTTTGCTCTACAGGTCGTAGGTCTTGTAACTGTTCTTGATCTGATTCCTGGTCTCTTTCTTGTTTCCTCCGCTGCGGTGGAGGAGGTGAAGGGGGAGAGGCCTTATCGCTACAATTGATCATACCATCATTACCCGAAGGCCCCGACGAATTCCCATGCGCAGGTTTGTCTGTCCTCTCTATTCTTTTCAACGACGCTGACGAAGGCCCTGTCGCAGATGAGGACGATAGCGGAGACGGAGACGGAGGCGGAGTTGATCGCGAAATCTGCCCGAGAAGCGATGAATCAGGAGTCCACGCGGACGAGGACGTCGAAGTTGAATGGAACTCTCTTTTTATTTCCCTCCTCTTCTGCCTCTCCCTTCCACTCCCCTTCCCCTTCCTCACACCCACTCTACAAATGCGATGGATATCCTGACAAGACAAACAATACCGCGGACCCCTTGTTGTCTGGCACGATGTCGTCGTTCTCGCAGCTGCGATAACAGTGCGCAAGCCTCTCGGCGCAATAGAGATGCGCATCTTCACACCCCCAAGTCGTTTCCTTGTTACGTAGACAGATAAAAATTTCTCCTCCAAATTTTTAATGAACCTTCGCATCAAACCCAAACAATCCCTCACTCTCCTGCGCTCGGATTTTGTTCGGGGGTCTTTCCTGTTTATTCTCGTGGCGTATTCCCAGCGATGCGTATCATGTGTATCATTCGGATTAATCTAAATCGGTAGTTTAAAAAAAGAAAAGAAAAGAAAGAGAAAAAGAAAAAGAAAAAGAATAATGGGGGGGGGATGGAAAGTGTAGTTTAGAGCTGTAGGTAAACAAAAAGTTATGTCGATATGACGTGGTTAAACTTGGTTTAACTTGGTTTCTTCCGTCAAAGTTTCAGTCCTGGCGCTTCGGTTAACCCAAAATCCCAAGATCGACGCAAACCCTAGATAAACCCCTAGATTCCTAGGTGCTCAAAGGCCCGAAAATATGACATGTGAGCCTTTGGACAGATACCTATCGCAACCGCCGCACTGAATGCAAATCGCTGGGAGAATTCGAAGGCAGGGAATCCCGCATTAATTATTCTATACAATATGGCCCTTAATCGATCCTGCTTATACCTCCCAGATGTGCGGTGTAAAAGTTGTGTGATTCTCTGAATCCTGCCGGCATGTCATGCACTACCTTGAGGAGGAGGCTTGTGGCTCTAAGATTTAACCGTGAGATTATTGAGTAGAATCTTGGTAGTTGGTGGTATTGTCCTGGAGATTATGAGGAATATGCCATTTCTATTGGTGTGATGTGCTGTTGGATGATGCGTTGCAGCCCGGGGAGAAAATACAAATATATAGTTATCTCAGGTAACAGGTGTAGATGGCCATGAGAACAACTGCACTATCATGAGACTATATCGAATCCATATGGAATCTACAACAGATATTTCACGTAGAACTGCATTCACCATCCTGTGATAAAGAATTCTATCCTGATAATTTCTCCCTGAGGTATTGTTATATCCACGCTCGCCGTGAGAAACCAGAATGAAGCCAATCAGAAAAGCAATAACTGTACTGGTACATTACTTTTATATTCAAAATAGTTAAAGCAATCTTCCTTACATGTGAAATCGTGAGGGTTACGGGTGATTCTGCGGTAGTGGTTATGTTAAAAACGCCTACCATCCATTTTCATCCCCCACAGCAGCAGCGAAGAGAGGAGATAGAATCTGAACCGCGTATTGGGGAAAGCTGGGAAATCAATTATAGCCAGATGCGCTACGATATGGAGCTGCCCAAATTGGCTGAGTTTATTGAGTAACAGTTCTCGTCTTTGGAGGGCGGATGAATCATATTCGAGAGAGAAAACAGGGGAACTTCGTTATCGTTTGATGAAGGACGAGGAAAAGCCATCAACCAGATCATAGTATGATATGTATATTATCCCACGGGGATCGCATTACCGAAATACCTACGTTATATTACTCCACTGATGTCTACTGTACTCTACTCTGTGCAGGGTTGAAGCGACCTGTTTGTGTTGGCGCAGGCACTAGAAAGTAAAATCAAAACGTGAACGCGTGAATATCCGGGTGATACTGCCCCTGTTATTATTACTATTTGAGAGACGTGAAAAAGTAATTGCATGCTGAAGAGCAACAGAAGAGGGGAATCTAATCATTTAAGACAAACAAACCATTTTGTTTTCGTTGTCTTGTGTCAAGTAGCAAATTAATGTACAAAAAGCAAAATTAAGGACGCCTTTGAACCGAATCCCAAACCGCCATTTGCCACTCTTTGCTGCTGATCGATTCCACACTTTGATAATGTGCTGGTATGTAAATAGAAACCGATAAGCTAATAAAGAGAAAAAAGAGCCCGTATGAAAAAAGGAGAATCGCAAACCCATCAACTCAGCCCAGTCATAAAAGACGAAAGTTTGTTAGGAACACCCATAGCCACGATTTAATAAATAAAAAAAGCACTAGTAAAGAAAAATAAGGAAACCCATTCATCATAAGAGTGAAAATAAGGCTAGCAAAGACAGAAAACTAAGACAAGCGACATCTACGAACGCTCACCACGCAGACGACGAGCGAGCTGGATGTCCTTGGACTGGATGGTGACACGCTTGGCATGGATGGCGCAGAGGTTGGTATCTTCAAAGAGGGAGACGAGATAAGCCTCAACGGACTCCTGCAAGGCACCGATGGCGGAAGATTGGAAGCGTAGATCGGACTTGAAATCCTGAGCGATTTCACGGACTAGACGCTGGAAGGGGAGCTTGCGGATGAGGAGTTCGGTAGACTTCTGGTAACGACGGATCTCACGGAGAGCAACGGTACCTGTTGTGGTAGTGTGTTAGGAATGTTGTTTGGTGATACGGTTGATAGTTGGAAGACGACGCGTTGCTACTTACCAGGCTTATAGCGGTGAGGCTTCTTGACGCCACCGGTGGATGGGGCGGCTTTGCGAGCTACCTTGGAGGCGAGCTGCTTACGGGGGACCTTGCCTCCGGTGGATTTACCTATTGAAGAGGATGTTAGAGTGTGCTTGATGGATGGATGAAATATGGTTAGGAAGGTGTTGTTGTAGGCTGATGTCGTCCATGATTGGAGCGATGGCTGATGCGACGACAGCGACGACAGCGACGACAGCGACGACAGATAAGGGCTGTTAACTACTTACGGGCAGTTTGCTTAGTTCTGGCCATTGTGATAAATGGATGAGGTTATTTTTTTTTTAAAACGGCTGTTTTGATGCAAGTTGTTGTTGATGGAGAGTGTTGGATGGATGATGTGGTTGGCGTTGCGTTGGGTTGGGGCTGAGATGACGAAGTCGCTGAGAGTTGTAAGAAAGATGGAGGGAGACTGGGTGGGGGAAGGTATTTGTAGTGGCGAGAAGGCTAAAAGTGTGATCTTAAAGAGCCGTGGGAAGGCAATTAGGTAATCCATATAGGTTGGGAAGTTCAAGGCAATTCTGCTGTATACCTAGCGCCGTTTCTGATTGGGTTTGATTTGTTTGATTTTCCAGAGCCAACAAAGCGGTTGATTTTCGCAGAGGGAAGCCGCGTCGAAAGCGGCAGGTTGAGTTTGATTTCGCTTGGCAGCTGCCTCGGCTTGGCGGAAAGTCGGGAAGAGGGCGCTAGGCCAGTCAAAGGAAACCCTGGGGAGCCAATCAGAGCGTAGGATCAATGAGGATCAAGCACAATTTCGATGTTGGCTTATGGCTCTGATCCCATCCACAACACCGTTTGATTTTAATCACAGTACCTCAGCGCCGTTCTTCGCGGTGATCCGATTCGGAATCATGGGCTAATCACTCAGAATTTGCGTTGGGTGAATTGCCATGGGCAGGATCAGAAATTTGCCCTTCTTTCACAAGTCCCGCCAGATCAAACCTGGTTGGCTGAGTCACTGAGAGCCGTGATTGGCCCGATTTGGTCCTAGCGTCGTGATCACACCTTATCACCTTCTCAGCCCCGGACACCCTTCAAATAGTGCACCCCTCGACTTCTCTTCTCTGTTTCTTCTTCCCTTCCCTCACAGTCGCAACATCAGCTCTTTTACGCGTTGACAGTTCTACCTCTACCATTCACCACCACTCCACAATCCTTCTCTGCTCTTTTTTAAAAAAAAAAACAACCTTCTAACCACCCCCCTCTATCAACATGACTGGACGTAAGTTGTTCACTCACCCTTCCAATCAAGACCCCCCCGTCTCCCGACGCGTCTTTAATTCCAAATTCACCACCACAGCAGTTCACTGACTTAAAACTTCATCTCAATAGGCGGCAAAGGAGGCAAGGGTCTCGGCAAGGGCGGTGCCAAGCGTCACCGCAAGATTCTACGCGACAACATCCAGGGCATCACCAAGCCCGCCATACGTCGTCTTGCCCGCCGTGGCGGTGTCAAGCGTATCTCCGCCATGATCTATGAAGAAACCCGTGGTGTCCTCAAGACCTTCCTGGAAGGTGTCATCCGCGATGCTGTCACATACACTGAGCACGCCAAGAGAAAGACAGTCACGTCGCTGGATGTTGTCTACGCCCTGAAGAGACAAGGACGTGAGTTTTTATCCCTGTTTCGGTTACTGGCTGTTTTCGACTTTGTATCTGACTGTGACTCCCTTTTCAAGGCACTCTCTACGGTTTCGGTGGATAAACAACCAACCTTTTTCTCTCCAACCATTACATTCCTCTGCCTTTAACGACCCTCTTTCTCATTCCGTTTTCTCATTCGACGATACCGGTCTCGTGGTGTTCAAATGCTGTTTTTGTTATTTTCAATTGCGGTCATGGGTTTACTGTTTGTTGGGTTTCTAATTTCTACATGTTTATCTCCTTTATTCCTGGGTGGGCTGGCTGTGGCCATGGAGTCAAATTCTGTATCATATAAACCAATCCAAGAGTGATGGGGTTTTTTTCCCCCCCTCCCTCCTTATTTCCTTTCTACTCCCATTTTTTGTTGTTTCCCGCTATCCATTAACGGAACCTGGTGGCGTGGTTATTCCTGTGGGATATCAAAGGAAATCAAAATCCAAGAATTACACATACAAATATGCTTCTCTATCTCCTTGTTCGTAGGATATCTGAACATTTCGTGTTCCTGTCTCGCCGCTTCTCGTTGTTGTTATGGCATCTCACCTTCGACGCGTAGTGTCTCGAGTTTTAGCCGGTTACCGTTGGCCTTGTCCTTTCCCATAAAATTACCCCCGAAATCTCTCTATAGCAAACTTCCATGTCTCTTGAAGCAAAAGCACATTCTTTAAGGTACACAATATATATTGATTGTAATGTCAATTTCATGCCGTATGGACTTCCCATCGATCACTCTACACCTGAGGTCGTTCTGAGATCAAATCATCCCACTTCAACAAAAGTATATGGTCATGTGATGTCGTCTTCCCGCTGAAGTTCCAGCTCCCAGCAGAGCTTTTGGAGGACGGTGCGTATAATTCTTTTGTTTCTAAGGAAGAATGTATATGTAGTGGTTTATGGTGTGGATTTTTATTGTGGTGGTTATTACTGATAGATGGATCTAATATATCAAGCATTAGGAAAGAGCTATAACGTTAGTCGCAGGAAAATATATAAATATTTATATATATATATATTAGATACTAATGGTTCTGTACAGTATGTTCACGAAATCAACATACCAGCCATCAACGAGTAAATATATTTACATATGTATGGGTAAGACCCGGTACAATCTTCAGTCTGAGAAATAAATAGTTTAAATTGTTCAAACACACCCCCTACCATCTAAATCTACAACCCTAACCGAAGAGAGCAACTAGAGGAAATAACGTTCATCGTCAGGTATATCAATCTATACGTTTAATTTCCTATTCTCATTCCCACATCGCGAGTAATTCATCAATAAAAGTACCACGGAAGGCAATAGACAGATGTATACACTGTCGTTCCCAAGTCCAAACACCCTCTACATATCGCATCGTTGCGTCCCACGTCCATGCGCTGCGCGTTCGTATCTCATCTACCCCAACATTAACCCAGCCCAAAACACACACCGATGCTCACGTCACTTATCCCCCATACCATTGCCTTCCGCTACCATCATGCGGGCGAGATGGGAATATCCATCTGCCCAATTCACCCTGGCATTCGGGAACATATATATATATATATATATATATATATATACCTACGCATGGTAGTTCGAGTTGGAGCGTTGGAGGGCGGGTGTACAGCGCATGCCCTTGGGTTTGTTTGACGTTAAATAAGTAATATCGTGATTGGGGTCAACGGTGAAGGGTTGGAGGTGTTGGGGTTGTCTGGGTCGGTATTTATTTCGGATACGAAAGAAGGGAAGAGCGGGGGTGAAAACAGGCCTTCGAAAAGGGAGGATAGCATTAAAGTTGTAAGTAACATGGTGTTTCTGGTTTTAAGGATATGTCGGACTTAGCTTTATATATCGTGTATGTCCTCGGATGGAAAAAGAATATCGTGGCTCCTGGATAAAAGGATTCTCACCTCGCTAAATAGCGTTTGTCTTCAAGTACATGTATCCCTCCATTGGGGATAATTGAATCCCCTTATCATCTAGGGATCAATGGGGAATGGCGAATGAAACACGAAAGAAGCTCCAGAGGCGGGCACCTTTGAAGGATGGGAAATTATTGAGAAAGTCGCACTGTGATTTCTCCCGGATAAACAAAGGCAGAGAATTTCCTGGTCTCTGAGTGTGCACCAAATGTATTATTAATTTTGAAAGGGTGGAGTTAATTCAGTTCTGCAATAATTTGCGTTTGTGTCTGTACTGATGGATTGCAAACCCATCTGAGCTTGATCCGCTCTTGGTGGATTCTACGAAGCACATTTGAACTCGTGGGTGGATTCTGCCTTGCGCTAAGTATCACCGTTTAAACCTGACTCTCTGGAGATATCTGGTGGGGAGTAAATGGAGAGTGTAGCTTTTGGTCTCGGAAGTGGCTCCGGAATAGCCTCTCACTCTGACCATCCCCAATTGAAGGCTTTCCAAGATACCTTGGGAGATGAAAATAATAGAAATTCACCACGGGTCATTGAGTTGGTATCCTATAAATTCACCCAACTGGGCAGTTGTGTCGCTCTGCATAGAATGTGCTATTTTTAATATCCAGTTGAAGTGGTTTGGATAATACAATATTGGCGGCGATATGCTGACCCGTTGAACGGTTTCCTCTAATAAAATACATGCTTGAGTGGTGGTGACTATTGCTTCATGCCAAATTACCTATACTCCGTAAGGACCGACTAGATAAGGATGGATGTAAGAAAGCAAAACGAAGCCAAACAATCCAAGCGCTCCGCTATGCCTCGGGATGGAGTTTCTTCAAATCGAAACTGGCTGCTGACATCAGCCCAGCCATTTTTCCGTCTCGTTGTTTTGGGAATCTTCATTTTCTCATTTTCTATTTATTTCTTCAACCTTTTTAAATTAGAGAGCTTTTGGGGCCATATCGACAACATGGCCACACACACTTTGGATACGATAACTCTTGATGAGTACTACTATTAGAGTGTAGATTCCTTATTATTATTTGCGCTGTCAGCATAGATATAGTATTTTACCCCGGGCTTTCGGAGAGTTTTTGGAATTGACATTTCCTGCCCTGAAGATGATCTGCACTGCAAGAACAGTGTCAGTGGCTTGTTCCATGGTGATATAAATAGTATATTCACTTTTTCGCTAGTCTGCTATGAGAGCTTCAAATCTCGAGCTTACGCAGTACTTCTCCGGATAGATATTGTAACAAGCTTGTTTGAAGAAACTAATCAGACAAACCACGGGAAACTCGTCAATTGGGGGGGTCCCAGTTTTTTTTCTCTCTTCTGCAAACATTGGAACATCAATATTGTTGCTCTGAGTCTGGGCCCATTTTGGGCCGACTTGGAGCAGCTTGGTCGAAAGAAAGTTGGATTTCCCACTTTCATCAACTTGCCGGTTTTTGTCATTCTGTGGTTCCTGTCCTTGTTTGCGCGATAATTTGCTATATAGTTGGGGATATTGTTTTCCCCGTACTTTTTTTTTGCAATGCCAAAAAATATGGTGTCCCTTTTTTATAATACCACCACCGTTCCGCATAGCCACATTTTGTTCCGGCTCTGGTTGATCAACGATCCAACCGAATTGGCATTTATGTCACTCGTCATCAATAAACTGAAACAACAAACAGAAGAATACTGAGATCCCGGTTCCGCGTTCATTTCTCTCTCAACCGGGGTATCAAGCACGAAGAGAGGAACGAGAGAGTTAATAAGAGGAACGAACTAGGAAAAGAAAAATACAATCTCAGTCCCATCCTTTGGTGCGCAAAGAACAGTGCATGAGAAAGGTATCATCTTCATGCTTCTAGGAACAGTTCTATCGAACGGAGACGTGTCTAGAGAGCGCGAAAAGTAAGAGCTGGTAGAGCATTGAGTAGGGACTTAACGTTGTATGCGGTCGCATTGGGTTCCGGAAATTGGCAACCTCCATACTCCGCACCTCGACAACTCATCTACGATTTACACAAGGACCATAAACAACTGATTGGTGTCACCCGTTGCTGAGCCTTATCTTCCTACTCTTTGGTTATTTACGTCTCTTGGAACCTGCTGGGTAAACCCGGAGACCCTACCTAGTGCTTACTCCCTCCGCCTGTGTGCCCTATACCCTGCATCAGTTAATTTCCACTTGGTGTAAATAAAAAGAGAGTGGGAAAGAAAAAGGGAACAATTGCCGCAATTTGCGACGACGACGACTTTCCCTTTCGCTCTCAAACGATCCAGCAACCATCGTACCCACTACCAGATATTCATGTCAATATGATATCGCCACCACCGACGCCTGATTTGCCTGATCAGCCAAAGCTGCAGTCAATGGTGCACGATTTAGAAGAACAGCAAGCGACTCAGAATCATAATCAACAAGATCAACAGCAACAGCAAGAGGTGTTACAGCAAGAGGAACAAGAAGAACAGCAAGCGACTCAGAATCAGAATCAGCAAGATCAAGAACAACAGCAAGAGGTGTTACAGCAAGAGGAACAGCAAGAGGAACAAGAACAGCAAGAGGAACAGCAAGAGGAACAGCAAGAGGACAAAAGGCAACAATACCAACCATACCTCCAACAGCCCCAGCACCAGGGGTCTCCCAACCTCAACGGCCCTAACCACGAGGATGAGTACATCCCCCGCTGCCTCCCACTGCCTTACCTCGACACCTCCGCTCCATCCACCCGCCCTTCCCCGAAACGCTCTACTAAGCCCGTGAGATTTTATGCAGCGCTCCAACTCGGCAACCCGGGTTCCGCATCCACCTCCGCGCCGCCATCGCCCAGCCTCATTTCTCAAACCCCCTTCATGGGCTACTATGCCTATTGTCGAGGATCTTCTGTCTCCCTATCATTCCCAGATCACTACAGCGCCAGCACATTTTCCACTTCTCTACCGCACAGCTCGATGACAGGCAGACCCGCCTCAATAGCTGCTGTTTCAACACTGACTTTAACCTCAATGTCCTCAGAAGTCGCGTTTCCTAGGCCGCTTGAAAGGATCAGTCAGTCCCAGTCCCCGACCCCGATCAAGCCTACAAAATATCGAATGTTCTTAAGGGGAATGTCATTTTCTTCGCGGAAGAAGGGAAACATGCGGCAGTCGATGCTTAGTCAACCTCTTGGAGGAGGTAGGGATAGGGTTGCTGCTGTTGCCGATGGCGCAGGGGGGCAGAAGGAGACGAGATGGTCTCGGTCAGGTTTACGGATATTAGGGAGGTTGGTGAGGAGGGAGAAACAATGAGTTCCCTTTTCTCTTGCAATTGTGATTTGCTGAATTATTGGCGTTTGGGACGTTGAATTTCATTTGCGTTATGCATTCGGCGGTGAAAAACGATCTAGAAAAAGGAGAATTAGCAGCATACTTCTCGAGCATTTTCGCTTGTTTTCAATTATCTTTTGCTCTGGGTTCTGGTATATGATTTTTGAGTGGAGGGATAAGCCATCGGTCCCGTCTCTATTATTGCCCAGCTTTATCGTTATACTAGGCTTGCTTTTCTTTCTCCTTTTCACCTGTCGTTTCTCCTGGTTGTCGTTACGCATATCTCAAGTTCAGCACATGTAATGCCGGTATACTGCTGGAATGCGTTTCAGTAGATAAGCATACGTAGTGGCCAAAATAGAAATTAGGGCATGGAGGTGCGATGGAAGAGGCAGAGTTTTCTCCCCAAATTTTTGCCCATTGAAGCGGTTGGGTAGGATTGTCCTTTGAAACCAGTTGTATTTACGCAGCCTCTTTTTCAGCTGCCGCATGCTGTTGGAAAGGATGAATAGATGGTACATCACTACATTTCGCTTCTTCCTTCCCTATTTCTTTTCAATAAGGAACATGATAGGTTGGACATTCCAGAGAAGCTGAGGCTGTATTCAGCAGGTCTGTTTTCGCGCAAATAATCGTACGGACAGAGAGGCAAACAGGATACGAGAATAATCACTGAGTTGATGGTTGCCAGGATATTCGAAGATTTTCCCTCACGTAGAGCTGTGTTTCTTGAACGAAAAAGTCGCGCTGGCGCAACCGCCGGAGCTTACCTAGATTAGGTGTTGGAAATTATTCTAGCTGCAACATCGACATCGCCCGGAGCAGGCATTAAGCATGTGCATCAAGTTCGCCCCGGGCAGAGCGTTTCCCAGGAAGCCTGGGTCTGAATCAGGGACCCAAAATCCTTAACGCCGGGGAAAATTGTATTGATTCTGCGTCTGCTAACCCTCTCTATGGAATCTGTGGGCCAGAAAAAAGTGATCTAACACGGCGGTTGGCTCACGAATAAGTGACGTTGAATGATTCCAGGAAAGAATATGCCTAAAGGGGATCCTTAGAGTATATCATTTTTGAGGTATAGGCAGGGCGACTGCTTATAATAACCCTGGTAAAACATTGAGTCGCAGCTAGAAGTTTCGTTCAACTCTTAATTATATAAAATAAACCTCGCTTGGTGGTACCAAGATGGGGATCCAGCCTTTCCCCCCCTTGCTGCCCTTCTCTCTTCGTCCCCAGAAACTTGTATGTTAATCGGTATGACTCAACGAAGCGTCCTGTTGAAAACAAAGTCAGACCCGTCGTCTCTTTCAACCAGGTAGAAGAAGATGGGACTTTGAAAGACAAGACAACCCTGGACATTAAGGGGGTGTATATGATGATATTCATCCGCCATTGAGGGAGGGCATGGCAGATTTGAAAAACGGATCTTCCAAGTCTGTATTTCGGATGATTAACGTTAGCCGTAGAAGTGTATGAAAGAGCAATGTCCGTTTTCGGTTTAAATGTACCCGGTACGGGAGTGTGTGGCGTGACGCGATTGTGGAAATAGGGATGGTATACATCGAATTTAAAGCAGTGCGCAGGGCAATCCGACATAACTCCGGACGGAGGCGCAAAATTAGGAGTGTCTTTCCTATCTCCACTGGCAATTGCTCAAATTCATCTATCTCCACTTGTAATATTTTTCCAATCATGGACACTGTTTTTGGAAGACACGGCGAAGAGACGAAATATAAGATGCGCGTTGGTAACTAGTCATCATGGTACTACCACGGGCTTGAAAGACAAAGTTAGTTAGCGAGACCAGTCAGTGCCTGTGGAATTAGGGGCGGTAATTGTGAGTGAGACGAGATCGAAAGTATAGACACTTGAGTCCGGGCCTTCATTTTTGTTGTCGAATGCATGTTTGTTAAGAGACCGATTCTCTGCTGGTCGGCGGATGTCGTCGTCTTTGGAGACAAGTGGACGCCAAGACCCTAGTCTTAGCCTTAGCTTGGCCGGACCCCCCTGACAGTGCGAAGAAAGAACGATGGGGCCACTTCCACATATATATATCAGTCAAAAACCTCCTTTTAAGGTAGGTACCTAAGTACTTTCTTCATTGACGGTTTTGCCTGATGCTCGACATCGTCTACCTCTATCCATAGACGCTGCAAAATAATACATGGTAAAAGGGTTCGAATTATTCGATCCCAAACAGGTGATTCAGCTGTCATTAAGCCAACTGTAGTGAGACAGGCATGAAAACCACACTTTGCATATCATCCTAGAGACGGTTTCTAACTGCCCAGAAATTGCCATGGGGAGCTCGCGTGGAGCATCAGAATTTTCAGATTTGAAGCAGCGGGAACTGAACCACCCACACCGGTGATGGACGACTTCAAAGAATCCCTCAGATGGATGAGAAGCACGCCCGTGATCTGTTTTCATATGACCTGTAGTCCCCCCCCAGGTGCTTCTCCTGACATTAGTGCAATACCCTTCGGATAATCACGGGGCTTGGAAACTTTACGGTCCCGCAAATGATGGTCTCGTTGCATCCATCTATCATGAAATAACAACTGGGAACCTCCGGGGCTGCTTGGGTGGGTGTCGTATGGGGATCAGCATGATCGGGTGGATGGAAGTTGCACTTTGTTATTGTGCATTGCTGGGACGGCGTTCCTAGGAATACAACTGTGGACCCAAGAAGGGACGTTTCAATGCCCATAGTTCTTCGTTGGAGGCATGCGATTCATTGAAACTGAAACTCATAAGAAGTGCTAGGGTTTGGTTTGGGCATTTGGTTTATGTGTATTGACTGGTCGGATTGAGATTTAATACTCATTCCGCCTGCGGAATGATTTCCTGTCTGTTCGCTGGTTGGAATCATTGTCAAGGGGAAAATAGGACTTTGAGATCATTCAATCCATGGATCTGTGAAATCCGATGTCGACTATCGGAGGATGGAAACTTGACTTTTGCAATGAGTGATTGTCAAATTCAATACCAAAAAGGGGGCAGAAACGTGAAATCTGCTCGTGTTCTAACCGCTTGAGACAACAGTTGACGAATTCAAGAGCACGTGGAATTGTGTGAGCGAGATATTATCGACCCTCAACTAGCAACGAATTTCCAGCCGATATATATATATATATTTTTTTTGTTGTTGTTGTTGTTGTCATTGATAGCAGCACCCTTGTAGACCGGGAGATAAACTACCAAGTATACTTGCTGTTATGCGCTTATGTTCTTGCCGTTGCGGTAGTTTTTGCAAGAATAGCAAAAACCCCCACGTTTGAAAAGGACGCTCTAGACCTTGATCGAATTTCTCTGGCGACGCTGAGATCTAGACTCTGCCCTCCCAAGGTTTGGCGATCTCGACCCTTCCGCTTCTCAACGCCCAGAACCGTACAATACGCTCTTCTCCATAAAATATATTATTTTTGCAATACTTGCGTCGTAATAACTAATGTACCCCTAACTAGTTACTGGGTACGTACATATGCATCCGGCCTTGTTGCCCCAGAAATGGAATCGCAGCAACGAAACGCCCTCCGAGAAGCAACTTATGGTGGTTGGTGGTGGAAGGTGACCAAGAACTCGCTAGAAGGATTGTAGAACAACGCGTGGAAATCCACCCCGAACTGTAGAAAGGAAAGGAAAAGGTAATGGTAACTAAACCACCGGCTCCTATGAGCTCAGAATTGAGACAGAGGGTCTCTGTAGTATCGTTCCTTGGTCATTTTGAACAGTCCCAGGAGTTGATTGAAATATTCATGGATGCCTTCTGTTTCATGTTTTTTTTTTTTTTTTTTTTTTTTTTTGGGGGGGGGGGGGGGGGGGGGTTCTTTGGGGAACAGTGGTCTCTGTGGACCTGAGGCATGGCTGCATGCGTGTTCATACTTTCTGTCCATTATTCATTATTCCCGTAAGAAGGTTTGGCTAATCAGAGATATCTGATATAGTACCAAATTTAACCTGCTCTGAGGTATTTCCCCTCCCACCCCCCGTCTTCTCCATTTCAGGAGAAAATTCTGGTTTCATTCAACTGGTTGGCCTCTTAACTTGTGGTTATCTGTTCCTGTTGATGTGAAATTGGTATCTCTTGAGAAAGGTAAAGCTTATTGAGCACAGAGATACATGTAGCAATGCGTATGCAACGGAACATGTATTAAATTGAGAAGCGATGGAAGAAGGAGAATGGAGAACAGAGCCCGGGAAACTTGCAGCTGAGAGAGTCGTTAAAGGAAAGAAAAGAAAACAAAAAAAGTAGCAAAACTCAGCTTCTCTAACCGCACTAATTTCTACTAATACAAAAACAACCAACCACCAGAATGTGTAGTTATTTAAACCTCGCTCTTGTTCTCTCTTTGTTTGACGGTTGGGGGGATATCAGCCACAGGGACTTTTAAAGTCCGCATTCGAGTAACATGTTGGAGAAACTGAGGACGGAAACGGTGACATGCTCTGGTTCCGGGTATATGGCTGTTCCACCATTGGCCGGTATAGCAAGAATGACAATATACTGGATTGGACCCTTTCAATAGAGGGGGAAAGAAAACATGGAATCTAGAGAATTTATAAGCAATTGATTCTGCATTCCCTGTATTCCCCACATTCCCTAATGTGTTGGTGTCAGAGCCATGTCAAGCGATGCTTGCAACCATCCTTATTGTTCACTTGAGGCTGTCACCCGCTTCCTCGGGGCATTTTGAAACATTAATATCAATCTATGAACCTTGCCATCATCTCTTCGTACCCCTAGTATGAATCCAAGTTTTCATCGTAACCTGGAGTTGGCGAGGAATGCGCTTTCACAAACGTGAGTTGCTAAGGCTGCCACATGATAGATCCATCTATCAAGGATGTATACCAGCAACAGCATATGGTATATGAGATGTATTCTTCAATGACTCACTGGAGGCATTTAGCCTCAAGATAAATATCTATTGCGATAACGTATAACGTATGGACATGGGGTTGTAAAGCCAATGCTTGACTGGAAGGAAATGGACAGTAAACTGGCATTGGAGTAGAACGAAGAGCGATTATGTCAACCTCAATAGATATCTTGAGAAAAGGAGCACATAGAGAATCAAGATGTCCAGGCTCCGTTTAGCTCTCTTGTTAACTCTATTCTCCAAACTGTAGACGGTCACACGACGTCTAATTTGAAGTCTCTGGAGCCAGGTTTTATTTTCAATTCACCATTGATCACTAACTGGCCTTGGTCGGTGTGGGAAATGAACCTAGGATTGAGGGAAATTGAATTTATCGATACGGAGAAAAAAAATCGTGCCATTCCGTTTCTCACGCGAAAGTTGGCTCTCCCCACGGATTAGCGTTGGATTTCACAACCTCCTCCATTTGCCAATAATGCGATTCATTACCTGCTTCTCCGTCGTAGGATGGGCAAAAACGACAAAGTCTTCAACGATTCATCGATACTCTGTCAACACACCTCAGCTGACACCGGCATTTGTGGTTCCTGCGGGGAGCAAATCACTCTGATCTGTTCTCCCGATGCATTTTGATACGCTAAGCAATGACTTCATGGTACATGCATATGTCAAATCGCAAACCAAAGGCCGAATAAAATGGCACTTATAAAAAGGCTTTCAAGGTGCGACATAATCCAAGGTATCAACGGGAATTGCCCCGCCAGCCCGCTATGAGTAACTGCTCGCAGATCCTATCTAGATACTCCTTGCTCGATGTTCTCTGTCACTGGAGATGGAGGAGCTCGGGGGAACGGCGCCGTTTCTGACCTGACTGACATATGAGAAGCCAGGGAATTTCGCAAGCATCATCAACTGGCATTTAAGCTCAGCTAACAAGTGGGTAATTTTGAGCTTTTCGAATCATATTTTTGAAATGTGATGCACTCATTCCTATCTTAGTCTTTGATCCTGTGAGAACAGAATTGCAGCAACCTTGAAGTCAAATGATGGTCTTGATATTTATTACCCAAAGGGAGACATTGGGTACTTTGGTACTTTTCATCAAGGGTGGGGAAGGCAACAGCATTAAAAAAGACCCACCACTACTTAACAACTCTCAACATGTGCCTTTCGCAGAGATTTATATACCAATTGTTGGGTGGTGCGGAAGGGCAAGGGCGGGGAAACTACTAACGTCAAACCAAAGCCACTCGAAAGTGGCAAAGAAATGACAAAGCCAAACCACCCAGTGGCCCGCACCCAGTCTGGATGCGTGTGACCCCCACACCTCTCCTCTCCGACCCGTTGGGCCGGGGCATTTGGTTCAACTTGTATCGAATCAAGTTCAAGATAAACGTGCGTAGCTGTTGAGCACTAAAGCCACCCTCTCATTCGTCGATGCCCATGCCCGGCGACAAGATACCTGCCTAGGTATGTATAGACAAGTAATCGGTCCAGGATGAACCGAACCAACTTTGTGTGGGATATCTCATGTACACCCAATAGCTGGGCAGAGCAGGATAACAGCAAGGTGAAATGAACAAGACAAGACAAACAAGGGGTTCTCTAATGTCTCTTGTTGACAAGACAACGGCAAAATTAAACCATCTTCACTCAGGGATAAAGGCATCGTATATTGCATGGGAGTTACATGCATGAACACATATGTGCACATACGTTGCACATATGCAATATAAAAATCAAGCCTCCCTCATATTTTCTTGTTCCGGTTTGCTCTTGAAATGACAAACCAGATCTGCCTCTGTTGATTATTTGAGTTCACAAGCCAAAAACTTTTCCGCTCCTTGCTGCTACCTAGCACGCCATTCAAAGAAGAAACTAAGGTAAGGAAGTAGTTGGGATAGGTGCGATATGTTGGGCTCCCTGGTGTCGTTCCCCAGCATCGGAAGAAGGGGGGGGGGGGGGGGGAAACTGGGAAGAATGAGGCCCAGGCCAAAAAGAAGAAAGTCAAATTATGATGATGATGATGATGATGATAGAATGGTGTACTACTGTACGGAGCACATACGTCGCAGACAGTTATCGTAGGTAATACGAAGAAATCCCGGGGTCATGTTGGGAGAGTGCACACCATGTGTCTTCTTTCTTCCCCTAAACGATGATGAATTTTGATCGATCGAATGATGATGTTGAGAAAATGACAAGCCAGTTCTGGCTTGCAGAGAAGAAGAAGCAATTTTAAGGTAAGGTATTATTAGGGTTGTCCACTAAGGGGGAGGATTTAAAAATAGGTCAACCCCGCATTGGCTGAAAGTCAATCGGAGAAACTTCTTCAAAAACGACGGGATTGAACCCAAAGAAGGAAAATCCACATCCTTGGGGGCGGCGCCCTTGCAGCTTCTTTTTATTTCCAGAACAAACACACAGCTGAATGTCACACTCTCATTGGCACAGTGCTACCGTAGTAGGTGCAGCTAAGTGGGAATCTTGTATTTTGCCGGCATAAAACGTGCAGATTGAAAATTTTCACGCGCTAGATATGCAGGTTGGTTATGCTCAGCCCATTGAGGGCACGGACGTTTAGCCGAGGAACAATGGACTGGAAAATTTCGGCAACGAGTCACACACTTCTGGCGTGGGTTACATACATGCAAGACGTCGGTGGAACGCTGCCATCTGAGCACGCTTGATGTGTACGTATTTTTGCAGCCTGCATGGCCGCTGTTGATCCATATCACCCCCTCCCTTTAATCCACAGACACCCATGCACGTGCGTAGGGCCTATTGTTTGCAAAAAAAGAGGGGCGGTGGGGGCAGGAAGACCCCTTCGTAATTTTTTCGAGACCCGATTGAGGTTGCCGGCCAGAACCGCGCTCCATATTATTTACTTAACGCTTAACGACATAACGAGCTGGGTCTAAGAGCTTGGCAAATAGGAGTGGATGTGGAGAACACGTGTTGAAAGGATTTGCAATCAGCAAGTGAGTCAGCTAACCAACTAATAGCTTGTTACCTGGAATTATCAACGGATCTGCCGTCAAACCACCGAGCCCTCCAGGACTCGAGGTTTGTTCTAATTTTTGCAGATGAACGAATCGTCCCCCTATATCGTGTGAAAGAATTCGCTCTAAATGTAATGGTTCCATAGGCAGAAAGAACTGAGGCAAAAGCTGCAATGGCCAGCTGAACCTCCGCATGCTGCGATTCGTATGCAAGATCTTCAATCCTCAAGCTCTATTGGGCCCCCAGCGTATGCAGATGCATAACATAATATGTACACAATCTCAGCCACAGATCCCGGCGCCACATCACTGGGACCCTGTCGCTAGATTAGATCCTCGCTTACGGCGGTGGCTTGGAGGGTTCCTTGATTCTCGGCGAGGTTGGCTCTCCCTGCCTGGCTGGGGCCCGCCTGCGCACTTGGTCGCCCCGATTCCGAGATGTCTAGCCTCATTATCGCCAAATAACATACATACCTGGTGTGTCACGGAGGAAATAACGTGGTCGTTAACTATGCCATTCCACTGCTTAACCATATTCCTTCTAGCTTATCTTGGCATGATAGTTTTTGGGAGAGAAAAAAGTCGACACTCAGATTGTCCAGCTGATTTTGCAAACTGCTCCATAACATAATCAGCGGAGAGGGAGTCGCTGTCCCAGAGGCCTTTACGAAAACCTTACCCCTTTTCATGACGATCTCATCTCCACATCATACCGCTGAAATCTTGTTTTTTTTTACAACTCAATAAAGTCAATCAATCATTGCCAAATATCACTGAAAGCCTCTCTGCTCTATCAAAGACACTACTCTCAAGTGCTCTTTTTACATTTCACTTCAAAGTGGTGCTCCTCTTGTTCAGTTATATTGAAAGCTACTACTCCGCATATTTGAACACAGCTCTTCCTGAACAATCTCTTCAAGCCCTTGCCGCAGCTCAAACTAGGTAAACCATTGGTACCTTCCAGCTTTCTAGTCATGTTTCATATGAACCTCACGTAACGATCGGTTTTAAAGTCTTGCCAAAACTTGAAATTTATAGGCACGACAATGATATCACTGGAACACACGGGAATGGATCAGTATATTCCGGATAAACCAGCCATCAGCTGCTCCTTGCCGACCCGTCCCTGCTCGAGAATAACATCTGTCGCACAGTAATTTAGAAATGACCGAAATGTAAATTCTTTAAGACAAATTTTGTGTTGGGATATCACAGGCGATTGGGCGGGGATTCTTGAGTCGGAAGGTGGCTTGCTAGGGCTATCCGTTGATTTGGTCCCCAGGAGATATATGCAATAGAAATCCACATTACTTCGTTCAATAGTATGGCTCCCAATTACCCACATATGGATTGATTTTGCAAAATTCATTAAGGTTTGCATTGGTAGTTCCAGTTAATCTCAGAAACTTTGGGCAGCGTTGAATGATTAACCGCAGAACGAACTTCGATCACAAAATCAACTCTAGGTAAAATATAGCTATATATCACGAGAGGAAAATACTGGTACCCACCCTTGAATTTTGGGGGTTTTTGCTCAAGGATCTACGTCTTCATCTTCCATATCTTTGTTTGGAGCAACAAAAGCTCCATTGCGCACCCTTGGCTTCACCAGGGACAGTTGAAAACATCGGAGTCATCTGAGGTAAAGCTATGTCGGAGCTCGTCCTGTGCTGAGATGCAGAATTGCATTGGGACTCGGCCTCTGTGAGAATCTTTCATCTGCCACGCTAATAAATTCATCCCTCGTTCCCTTTGCCCAATCTCGAGCATTTCAGTATGTGGATGCTCCTTGCTGAGAAGTTTCCAAGTTACCAGTCACACCCCAAGTATTCAGCCGAGTCATACTATGCTCAGGGCAGCAGCCTGGGCTGAGATGAGTAGTATATAGCTTGAGTTGACCGCCATGATCAGTTGATGTAAGAGAATAGGCGTTGTTTTCATAGATTGATTCATCTTTTGGTATGGCCGAAGCGATGGCATCTCTCGGGCTCCTAGAGCACCACCATAACAAGCCTGTCATGTAACGGCCGCCAAGAATTCATCAGGGGCCTTTGGCTTCTAGAAAGAAGTTTGTTGCCAGTGGAGGATCATCCTGTATTGATGGTATGCTATGATTGCTAACCACTTTGCGGACTTGACAATCAAGAGGTTCAGGGCACGCACCGTAGAAGTGATCTGGTTTGAGGCAGTGTGTCATCAGTTAAGGGAGCAAGATTTTCAAATGGGTAGCTAACCTTCCTCCAGCGCAATTAAGATCATCAATATCACCCTCAATGATAGAAACCACTGATGTTGTGACTGGCTATTCTTTAGATGCATGTGTATCTGCTCGTTTGAATTTTCCAGACATGCTCATTGGAGCCATCATCATAATCATCAAGAAGTTGATCAAATAGGAAGCAGTTATTCGACTTATTTGAGTGTATTTTTGAGTGTCTTTAATCAGAGTTGAAGATAGGGATTTCTTAAGTAGAGTCACATAGATCAACGTGTCCTCTTTTCTCAAAGTACGAAGGCAGAGCAAGCGTGGTTACAAGAGTTGAGCCCTACAACTATCAAAGGGAAATGGAAGCTTGCTGCAGAGGAATACGGAAGTGGATAGTCGCGACCAGTGCGCGTAGCGGAGAAATGTCAGCGCTGCATTTTTGTCAGCCATCTTTTCATGCAGCGATATTAAGACTGGACTTGTCCACATCATGTAATTCCTCCGCTGTAAGGACAGCTCGACAGGAAGGGAGTGGAGCTTTTCAGCCTTCCCTTTAATCCATCATCCCCTGGCCTCCCGGAGTAGTTATCTGTCAATGTAAGAAAAATTTGGGATCAAATAGAAATTTAGTAGAAGTCGATGAAAATCCGTGGCTCCTGCTAACGACAATTGCAGTGTTCGAGGTATTTTCATTGAGCCATGACAAAATCAGGGACCCAAATTTGCAGCCTTCGGCAAACAATGTCAGAACAAAACTATCAGAAAATACCGTCTTCGTCGTCGCCGACGTCAGGTTAGCACGAATCGGGGACCGATGAGTATGGTGGCAGGGTGGGAACAGAGGAGCAAGGGAATGTAGTCATGATTCCCTGGAATCATAACTGGTAGTATTATTATACCATCAGCCCCTTCCAAACAGGGCATATCAAGAAGATGGTTTAGAGTGCCTGGGTCAGAACATCATCAGTGGACGTTGTGTGGCACAATGATCGCTTAGTTTCCTTGAGAGAGGAATCGTTATGAAGGGCGAACGAAGCATTTAGATTGTATGTTAGGTAATTATTATTAACTATCGTTAGGATATTCCACCCTGTATCTGAGGGTTGCTTCTTGGGCATCCTGGAGTTAAAACTATTTATATTCAACTAACATTATTTTAATTAAATTAAACTAGGCTCAGGATATCTTTCTCTTGTATGCTTTAAGTGTATTACAATTGCTGCACCTCTGCAGTGCTCAGAGGGTGTAGAGATTTGAATTAAAGACTGTTCAGTAATCTTAAGCAGATGGGATAGAAGTTTCATTCCTTGTTAATTCCTCTTCATATTGAATTCAGACTAGATTTTATATGCTCTTACTTCTCTTTCTCATTCATAGTAAATATATTGCGATAATACTTCAAATTAATAATGATGTTGATTGCTTCAAACTTGGATGATTTTAAAATCTAATCTAGATTTTTTTTTAAAACTTTGAGCAGAGATCTCAAGGCTTTTATCTTATTAGAATTTTAAATTTATTTAATTACCAGATTAATCGATGAGAATTTTCAAATACTTACAAATTTTAATAATTTAATCTAGACTTTTACATTATTATAAGAGATCTTAAGCTTTTATCTTATTAAATTTTTTATCTTACTTATTTATTAGATTAATTGATAAGAATTTAAGGCTATAATAAGCTTAGCTTTATTTTATTAAATTTTTAATTTTATTTATTTACCAGATTAATTGATGTGAATTTCTAAATACTTACAGATTTTTATAATTTAATTTAGACTTTTCTTGAACTATGAGAAATTTTAAGATTTATTTTATTAAATTTTTAATCATATATGCCAAGTTAATTGATAAGAATTTTTAAAAACTTGTAGATTGTGATAATTTAATTTAGACTTTTTAAACTTAAAAACTTAAGTATTTATTTTATTAATTTTTAATCTTATTTATTTATCAAGTTAATTGATAAAAATTTTTAAATATTATATATTTCAATAATTTAATCTAAATTTTCTTTAAATTATAAGAAAAAATTAAAAGATTTTATATTATTAAAATTTATATGTTTATCAGATTAATTGATTAGAATTTTTAATTACTTTATAAATATTAATAATTTATTTAATATTTTTTAAACTATATATAAAGCTCTTAAGCTCTTATCTTATCAGATTTTCAATTTTATTTCTTTGTCTAATAAATCAATACCAATTTTTAAATACTTTTAGATTTAATAATTTAATCTAAACTTACTTTTAAACTGTAAAGTCTTCAAGCTTTTATTTTATAAAAATTAATTTTTTTATTTGTCAGCTTAATTAAAGAGGTTTTTAAATATTTAAATATTTAAATACAATAATTAACAATTGCTAGATCTGCTGATTAAAAGATAAAAACTTAAACTTAAATCTTAGATCATTGAATAATTTAATATGAATTAAAAAAAAAAACTTATATTAATAGTTATTAAAACACTTTGAATAATTTAAGTTTTATATTTTATGTATATAGTAGAATATGTATTTAGGAATTCAAGTTTTTAAGTATATTAAATTCAAATTATATGCATTGCTTAACTAAGTTATTATATATAACTAGCTATTTTTTAAAACTATAAAAATATTGATATTAAAATTATTAAAAAATAAGATACATACATATATTAATATAATTACAATAACTGTATCTTCATTTTATATTTAAATATATTTTATATATATAACCATTAATATTATAAAAATAATATCTGAAATAAATATTTTAATAAATTATTTAATCCTAATTTTAGTTACGCTTTAATATAGAATCTTTAGTTATTTAATATTTTAAAATATTTAACTTTTAAAAATAATATAAAGATAAGAGTTAATCTAATTTTATCTATTTTAAATATAATTATAGTTACTTATTTTACAATATCTAAATTATAAAAGTTTTTCTCACAATTATAATAGTTACTTGATAATATTAATAATTTTAATAATAATAGTTAATAAAGCTTTTGTTTCTAAGTTTATTTTATTAAAGCTGTAAATATATTTACTTTAAATTTTTATACTCAGTAATTATATTTTTAAAGTCTTGAATTATATCTGAATAATCTTTTTATTCTCATATTTGACTTTATTATAATTATATTTTTTTGAGATAGTAGTAACTATTGAAGCTTTATATGATACTTAATTAAATTTAATATTAAGTTCTTATCAATAAAATAAGAGGAAAAAATGACAATGCTGTAAAT